GATCACAGTTAGGCTCGTGAGCACATAAAACTGTAGAGATACTCCTTGAGCAGCGCCACATTGGCTCATGTGCACTGAGGACAAAAAAAAAAAAGGGACAATGCGGTAAAGAGTGCGGAAAAACAGCAGACCTTCTTATACCATTAATAATGGGGATACAGAACAGTGCTTGTTTAAGTGTTAAAAGGCTCTGGTTCTAAATTGTGTTATTTGCTAGTGGTAATGTTCCTAAAAAGTGAATTCAGGATTACCACATACAATGCTTGTTAAATGAAATTTGTCACTGGAATTAATGTAAATTTATATTAAATGGACATCGAAGGCAACCAGACCACTTAATCTTAATGCTATCTTATTATAATAGCCTGCACCTGCTGGCTGCATGGCAGGTGGGGGAATAGGGAGGTTTAAAACCTCCCTTACAGTAATATGGGAGTCTTATTGACTCTCAGAAGCTTTTTATTTACTTAGATTTTGGCCAGTCGCCAGTAATATGGAAGTCTTATTTATGTCTCAGAGGGTTTTTTTTTACTATTTGCCCAGTGCAGCAGGTAAATAATTCAGATATTTTTTTAATCCAGGGCTGGATTTGAAGCTTTAATTAATTCTGGGTTTAATTAATTCAGTCCAGATTTCAGCCATCAGGTGGCATTTGTTCTGACTGCAATACAATATGTGTATATTGTTAAAAATTGCGAACAATTTCTGGATTTTGCAGTCCGAAGGGGTCTGTAGCCAAATAGTTTTGCTCCATTCGGTAAAGGGCTAGTCAGACTTTGGTGAATAACCATTTCAATGTTGTATCAGGTATACATATAGGATATTAAAGAAAATCGCTGTCCTTTAAAGGGCCACACTAGGCATCATAACGGTTTCATCTCATTGCAGTGGTTATAGTGTAAGGAGCATCCTAGCCCTGTCCTTTCATTCAGTGTTAAACGGTTTTAATAACAAGAGACCCAGCAAGCCATCCTCTCTGTGCTGCTTAAGCTAACGAGAAAGCATTAGCCTATGCAGCAACAGACAGCTGTGATTATCTGAGTGTCAAATGACCAGATTAAAGGGACACTATAGTCACCCAAACAATTCTCAGCCATTTAGGAGTTATATCATTTTGTTTATGCAGCCCTGTCACACCTCCCTGCATGTGACTTGCACAGCCTACACACTTCCTGTAAGAAGTCATCTAATGTGTACACTTCCTTTATTGCAAATTCTTATCTGTTGCTTTGTTAATAGCAGATAAGACCCTGCAGGAGCCCCATGTATGTAATTAAAGTTCTATTTACAGAGCAAGAAATAAAAAAACGGATACATGTGATTGAAAATGAAACCAGTTTGTTTTCATGCAGTCTGTGTCAGTCTCAGCCAGGGAAGGTGTGGCTAGAGCTGCATAAACAGAAACAAAAGTGATTTAACTCCTAAATGGCAGAGATGTGAACAGTGAGACTTCAGAGGAATGTTCTATACACAAAAACTGCTTCATTATGGTAAAGTTGTTTTGGTGGCTATACTGTCCCTTTAAGCTGTGCTCATTGCAGGTATGAATTGGTATGGCTACAAGGAAGTGTGTAATCTCTACCTTCATTGGGAGCAAAGCTGTGGGAAGCAAGTCATCCTCATTCTGTAATAAACCGCTCGAAAATGGTTTAACACTGAATGGAAGGACAGTGCCAGGGATTATCAATTAGATAATATGGTTATAGTGCCAACAACGTCCCTTTAAAAAAAAATAAATAATAATAATATTTAAGGGGGCAATTAAAGAGAACCATTTAAAATTATGGTTGAACAAAAACAGTTAATGGATGTTTTTTTTTATTTTTTATTAATTGATGATTTCATTTTTGCTGTAAAGTAACAGGTTGGTGGGTTGTTTTTATTTTTTTAATCTGTGACCTTTGTTGCAGAGTACATCCGGCTAGCTGAAAACATGTTGGAAATCTGTATGTATATTGTAACTGGACAGAATATGACTCTGTAAATTTTTTGCCCTTATCACAGGTGGAGTCAACACTCAGAATACCATATCATATTTGTGCATAACTGAAACTAGAATTTTGTGTTTTTTTTTAGAACATTAGACGTTCAAACTTAATGGGGTCCTTTTGCTTATGTATAGCAGGTTCTTATAGGAAGGTATTGCCTATGACATTGGCCACCAACACTGACTAGTGGCGAACACAAATTTTTATTGAGATTTTACAGACATATTTAATGGTTAAACTTCCCTACTGTTTAAGTAAAACATTTGAATATGTTGACATTTTAAAGAAAGTCCAATGCAATTATTATGCCAATTTAAAAAAAAAAAAAATCTTATGTACTCTAACGTGCACTAGAAATGGGTATATCTGAGCTGAATAATTTAAAATAAAGTAACATTTCTTTGTATTTAGTATGTTTGCGATAAAGAAAGAAAAAACAACAACTCCCCCACACTTTTCAAAACGCTTACATTAACCTTAATACATACCAGTGATCAGATGGATAATTAGCGATTGTTCCATTTATAACTAGGGTAGCTGATCCACCACCATCTAGGTTGATAGCATTAATAACACCTTGTTCTTTTAAGAATGTGGCCACTTCATGAAGGCTCAGGCTAAACAGAAATGACAACATAATGTTAATACTGAAGCATTTGTTTGCATCTATTAAGATCATTTAATGTGTTTCTGCTTTTGTAACTCACAATGTGGTAACATTTACGATTGCAGTAATAAAACGGTCTAGATTCGAAACCATTCTAAAAATCATTATTATGAGAATGTAAGTTTGAGACAGAAGTTAAAACGTCCAAGCAAGTAAAACCTTGTTTTGGTTTAACTGCCATTGGAAATTGCAGCTATTCCTTCTTTTTCACACAGAACCTAGAAAAACGCTTAATAGATGCACTCTGCATTTTTGTTCTCAAATTAGTCTGTTCTTGTGAGAAGACGAGATGAAGTTTGAAATGGACAAAATATTTAATCCACGGATTCCACCCAACCCCCTTTTGATCTACCTTCTCTTAGTTCAGATATAGGTATTCCTCTAAGCATTCGTCCAAGTTTTGATACACCATGCTTTTGTAGATTCTTGCATCTTGTTAAAAATAAATAAATGTTATTTTGGATGCTTATGTCAACTCTTTTTGTCAAATCTTGGAGGGGAAAGAAAACGTTTTTCTTGCAATTCTCTTCTTTATCAAATTAAGGGTGGCAGTGACATGTTCCATTTCTTTTTAAATGTTTATTTCTCCTGGACATTTTTATGATATCAACAACATATTACTGCATATGAAACAGTTTGCAGTTAGGTAATGTTGGTATTAATATTACCAGTCAGAAGGATCAATTAACAGAGAATAAACTCTCTTGGATAAATTTCCCACTCTCCCCACCCTTTCCAAGGTCCATCAAATGTATGATAACCTTTCATTGTATAAGCTGTATTTTTTCAGCATGGAGTTGGGGTTAAAACAACGTTGAACACTTACATAAAATAAAAGTAGACATTCCAGATTCAACTAGTAGGTGGCAGTATTACAAAAATGTTAGAGATTTTTAAGTGATGTCACTTATAAAGATGAATTCACAGTTACAGAGCAAACTTTGTAATGAATATAGCATTCATATTTTGATAGAAGCACTATAACATTGTGCTGTTTGACAAATGTTTAAGCTCAGCTAGGGGTTTTTGTACACTCACTGTTTAGTAGTACTTACTTGGGGAGCGTGAACACGAACACTTATTCCATAGAATCATATTTTCACATTTATGAAAATGCTCCACAAAATAAAATCTTACCTGCCTACTGACCCATATGCCACATTGCAAGATTTATAAAAATTCTCTACAACAATAAGCATATGGTCATGTTTTGAATGCATGTGTTTCCCAAACAGTCATGGGAATGTAATGGATTGTTGGTCTGTTTAAGTATCTCCAAGATCGAGAGGAACAGAATCTCTTGGCATCTTCTGAGTGGGCATTGCAGCTGACATCACAACAAGTCAGACGTAACACCCACCTGGAAGGATTCTGCTCGTTTGCTATCACACTGCTCGACGGTTAGAATTCTGCCCACAGAAACAAGTTTAAAAGGCAAGGAGCTCAGACATGGCCTGTTCAAGAGACTTTACCCAAACCCCAAATAAACCTTTGTTGTGTATAACTGAAGACTGGAATATTCTGCACAGAGAATTTTCCACTTTCTTATTCATTTGGATCTTTCGAGCTGGCTGAGTCCCCTATATGGGTAATGATTTTATGTTCCAGGCGAGTAACAGGAACATCCACCTTCAGTAACTAATCCAATTAGAATTTTTCCATTCCCTTTGGGTGACCTTAAAGGACCACTATAGTGCCAGGAAAACACTCTCGTTTTCCTGGCACTATAGTGCCCTGAGGGTGCCCCCACCCGGCTCTGGAAGGGGGAAAGGGGTTAAAACTTACCTTTTTCCAGCGCTGGGCGGAGAGCTCTCTGCCTCCTCTCCTCCTCCGATCCGCCCCGTTGGCTGAATGCGCACGCGCGGCAAGAGCTGCGCGCGCATTCAGCCGGTCACATAGGAAAGCATTCTCAATGCTTTCCTATGGACGCTGGCGTGCTCTCACTGTGAAAATCAATGAGACAGCCACTAGAGGGAATGGGGGAAGGCTTAACCCATTGATAAACATAGCAGTTTCTCTGAAACTGCTATGTTTATGAAAAAATGGGTTAACCCTAGAAGGACCTGGCACCCAGACCCAGGCCCGGACTGGCCATCGGGCATACCGGGCAAATGCCCGGTGGGCCGCGATGGCCGTGGGGCCGAAGCCGGCAGGGAGATCACAGGAACTCCCCGGCCGGCCCCTGCAGGGCCAGCGCTATCCGAGCGCCGGCCCCGCTGTGTGCCTCCGTGGGCCGGTGGGGAGATCACAGATCTCCCTCACCGGCCCACAGGCACTGTTACAGGCAGCCGCAGGCTGGGTGAGGGAGGGAGGGAGGCAGGAGAGAGGACCCGGCGGAGCTCTAACAAGCAGCTCCGCCCGGTCCTCTCGCGGCAACGCTCAGATCTCGCGAGAGTGAACTCTAACCCGCAGGTTAGACCACCAGGGAAGGCAGCATGGTCCCCCTCCTCCACGCAGAACGGATCTCCCCCCCCTCCCAGGCTAAAGGTAAGAAGGGAGGGGGGTGGGGACATAACTTTTTTTTTTTTTAATTATTAATAATTATTAATTATAATAATATTATAATTATTAATAAAATAAAAAAAATATTTTAAAAATAATTTCCCTAACAGCCCCCACAGACACACACAGCACCCCACAGACACACACAGCACCCCACAGACACACACAGCACCCCACAGACACACACAGCTCCCCACAGACACACACAGCTCCCCACAGACACACACAGCTCCCCACAGACACACACAGCGCACCCACAGACACACACAACACCCTCAGACAGACAGCACCCTCACTCCCACACATATACAGCACATATATATTATATAAAATAACCCTCAGTGAGTTAACAGACAAATAAAATTAAAAAAACCCAGAATGTGACTGCAGATAAAAACACCCTTACACACAGCACCCCTCTTACACAAACACGCTGCGCACCTCACACATACAATAAGTCCAAATATATATATACACACACACACACACACACACAAAAATCAAAACTGGGGATGCACTCACAGGACTTGCTTAAAGTGAAAAAAAGGGACTTTTAATTATTCCATGTGAAATGTACAGAAAAATCAATTTTCCATTCACATGGAATAATTAAAAGTCCCTTTTTTTCACTTTAACCAAGTCCTGTGAGTGTATCCTCAGTTTTGATTTTTGTATATTTCTGACGTTTGGGATATAGCACCCAGGCTATTAGTTCTTTCTTATTACTTAAAGGAGAGTGCCAAGCATCCTGTTTTTTTGATAGATATATATACACACACACACACATTACGCTCCAGATACACACTAGATCCCTTACCCTATATGCACTCTTAATCCTCTACACACACACACACACAATCTTCTATACACACTCTGGGTCCTTTACACACTAGATCTCTTACACACACACTGCACCACTTACACACACACTACATTCCTTGTAAGCAAACACATACAACATTCTCTAAACACACCCTCTCTACACACAGTAGTGTGTGTGTATAAGTGACACACACTACATCACCTATACACACATACTACTGCCCGTATGCACACACTCGCTACATCCCCTATAACACTATGCCCCTATACATGAACTCTGTACAGCCCCTAGCCACACATATTACACCACAAAATTGACCTATTTACACAATACCACACCACACTCTACACACAGGCAATCCCACAAGCATGCGCCAAACACATGCACCATACACTTTCCTGGCTCTTTTGTCCTCTGGTATCCTACTTGTGGAGACACCAGAGACAATTTAAAAGCAAACACAGCGCAAGCATGTTATTACATTTGCTTGCGCTGCGCAGAACAAATACAGGGCCTTTTTCTAATGCTAGAGCTCTTCAGCGGGGCTCTGCGCATTGAACCAACATGCTCACTTTCTCTGGCACCGCCCCCTTTTTGGGGGGCCGCTCTAATTGAAAAATGCCCGGGCCTAATTTTTTTCCCAGTCCGGCCCTGCTTGTGGGTCTCATCAGCAGGCACCGGTTCTGGTCTGGAAGTTGAAGTCTCTCTGAGAGGATATAGTTAGGTATCAAAAAGACTGTGGTGAGGCCAAACACAATACAACTCCCCAAAGTGCAAATACAAAAAATATATATTTTTATGCATCATCTGTTTATTTCACGTTGAGGGATCCTTCTTGGGAATATAAACTTGACTTGCAAATGAGCACAGGCAGGTATATTATTATTTATAAAATATTTTACCAGGAAAGATACATTGTAGACAGGGGCCAGCCAGCACATCTTAACTTTCCAGCAGCTTCTGCCTGTAACTCTCGCGAGCTGTGCCTGTTTGCCGCGCGGAGCGTTGTCATGGTAACCCGTGACAACGCTCTGCCGGCCGCGGAGCTCGCGACAGTTACAGGCACAGGAGCTGCTGGAGAGTTAAGATGGTGCTGGCCGGCCCCCGTCTACGTTGTACAGGTAGCCAGGGCCTGAGGTGAACACATAGATAGCGATAATCGCTATCTATATGTGCACTTTTGAAATGTGGGACCCGGGACTCCCAGAGCAGTCTGGGCCCCCAGGACCGCCGGGCCCATGACAACCAAACTTCTGAATACCAGAGTGTATATATATCTCACTAAGCTTTGACAAGCTGAAAACATATGTCAAAGTATTGAATGTGATTAAAGGAACCCTAACATAGTCAGGGCCAGTGCAAGGATTTTTGCTGCCCTAGGCAAAAGTAAAATTTGACGCCCCCCCACCCCATGTGACATCACAATGCCCCACCCATATGATCTGCCATGTTAACTAACGCCAGTGCTGCAGTGCCGCTGTGTTTACATTAAAAGGCCTGCAGGGACAGGCTATAGACACCAGAACCACTACATTAAGCTGCAGTGGTTCTGGGGACTATAGTGTTTCTTTAATGTGAGGTAAATTAGAGATTAGAGCTGCAAGGTGTGTTTGTGTATGTATGCGATGCAGTGTGTGCGTCTGTAAGGGATGCATTGAGTGTGTGTAATGAATGCATTGTGTGTTTCTGTGTGTGTAAGGGATGCATTACTTGTGTATGTGTGTCTGTGTGTGTAATGCATTGTGTATTTTTCTGTGTGCAAGGGGTGCATTGTGTGTGATTGTGTGTGTGTGATGGATGTCAATCTTCCCTCCCTGTCAATTTCCTTCTCCCCCCCTCCGTCAATTTCCTTCCCCCCCTCCAATTTCCTTCTTCTCCTTCTCCCTCCAATTTCCTCTTCGTCTCCTCTCCACTTCTCCTTTTCTCCCCCTCTCTCCAATTTCTCTCTTCATCTCCCTTCCAAATTTCCTTCTTTCTCCCTCTCTCCACTTCCTCTTCTTCTCCCCCCTCTCCACCTCTCTCTTTCTTTCTCCCCTGTCTCCACTTCTCTTCTTTTCTCCCCCTCTCCACTTCCTTCTTTCTCCCCCTCTCCAGTTTCTCTTCTTTCTCCCCCTCCAATTTCCTTCTCCCCCTACAGTTTCCTTCTCCCCCTCTCCAATTTCCTTTCTTCTTTCTCCTCCAATTCTCTCTCTTTCCCTCTCCACTTCCTTTCTTCCCTCCAAGTTTCCTCTATTCTCCTCCCCTTCTCCAGTTTTCCTTTCTCCCCTCCAATTTCTCTTTCCCCCTTCTCCAATTTTCTTCTTCTCCCCCCTCTCCAATTTCCTTCTCCCCCTCTCCAATTTCCTCCCCCCCCACCACTGTTCGAGCGTGGCCGAGCTCTGTATGGTCCGAGGGTACAGGGAGCTTTTGTTTCCTGTACCCGGCCGGACTAAAAGGAAGTGCACACTAAGTTACTTCCTGTTAGTGCACATTAAGCACTTCCTGTTAGTCCGGCCGGGTACAGGAGACATGGACGCACCAGCCCAGGCAAAGCTGCAGCCGCCTCATGCTGCGCCCGGGCTTGCCGCCTTGGCGTTATTTTCCCATAATACATAGTAACATATCCTGAAAAGAGACATGGGTCCATCAAATTCAGCCTCCCTCACATCTGCTTTTTGCTGTTGATCCAAAAGAAGGCAAAAAAAAATAATAATTTTGCAACAAACTAGGAAAGAAATTTCTTCTCAACGCCATTATGACAGTCATATTTATCCTTGGATCAAGAAGCTATTACCCTACAGTTGAAAATTTTTATAATTGAATATTATGTTTTTGCAGTACGCATCTAGTTGCTGTTTAAACATCTGTACAGACTCTGATAATACATGGAAAAACCATTAAAGAGCTATTATTACCTTCGGGGGGTCTTTACATATTTTGCCTCATATCTTGGGGTGCACCTGAAGTTAATTATACTTACCTAAAGGTATCCCCCATGGGCTTTTGTTTCCCCGGCTCTAGGCACATTATCTGTCAGAAGCCACGTCAGTGCTATACTCTTGGACATACACTGATTGTGCCTATTGGCGGATGCCTCCATAGATCATGTCATTTGATGAGTGAGACAATGTCTGATTCCCACAGCTGTCTCTAGTGACGGCGGTAAGAACTGACAAAACTTGACGGCAGAAGTTCTGCGTTATGCAGCTTAGGAGGATTCTCTACTTTGACTTATATCTTTTTACTGCATAGGAAATTTCAGTAAAATTCCAAAGCAGTGTTTATGAGAATTTCATACAAATTTTATTTTTCTATCCTATCATTTTCTTCAACATTTTGTGAAATGAAGAAGGCAGTGTTAAATATAGATTGTTATATGCAGCATCTGTATGCCATTAAAGTCAAAATAAATATTACACATTCTTTCTATTAAAGATATACGAGCGGAACTGAGCCTTTAATGTTTTCAGTGTGTTGCTTTGAGGTTCATACAGTTTCTGTTAACCACACAATAATTTAGATCTAATAAAAATCCTCACCTCATACGTAGTGTTTTACCCTCCAAGTCAATTATAACACTTGATCTTGAAGGTATAATTTAGGTAGCATGTTCATTAGATAGTTCTGCCAATTTACACTTAGGGTTTATTAACTGAACAAGGATTTCAAAGTCAACTTACCTGATGGTACTAGCCAAGTCATCTTCTCCCGTACAGCCCACAGTACAGTACTTGAAATTGCAAGTGCACACTTGCACATATATACTCTCAAACACACATATAGATGCACACTCCTTTCCAACCACGCAGATATATACAGCTACGCATAGGAAAGTGCAAACGTACACACATGCACATAAACACATGCATGGATAAACATAAACACAATCAGATTCCAGCACAGTCAGATGACAACATACTCCAATAAACACACACACAGCTACAATCCTTCTGACACACACAGCAAGTTTGCCCTAAAATATTAACTTATTTGGTTAGTAAATGTGAATAACCCCATGATATTTTTGTTTTGAAAAGTGTACTTAATGCACTTATAGAAAATTAGAGGGTTTGCTATTCTAACTATAAACATAGAACAATTGCAGAAGTAGGCAAGTTAGGTGGTGCAGCAGTTGGTCAGATAACAATAGAGTCTGACCCAACATGGATGTTCAAACAGATAAAAAAGTTAAATTTTCTCAAGCAAATCAATATTCACTGTGTTGTATTGTCATAAAATACTGATAGAGGGTTCAGAGCTTAACCAGGATCTCTTCATTCTGTGTCTCTCATTCACCACTGAACTATATCCTGAGACCTATTGCCTGTTCCAGGTTACATGACAAGATTTAAAGTGAACCAACACATTAACTATTTAAGGTAGAACAGTGCAGTTAAACAATTAACATTAGTGATGTCACAAACAAAATGACATATCATTATATCTTCCCCCTCAAGCATTAACACAGTTACAGTGAAACAAAATCTTTCTATATTTTGGGTTTCCGTTTATGACCATAACTGGAGTGGGTGTCTCTTGTGTCACTATGAGCATTCAACGACTCCTCTACATTACTTGCATCTGGAAACTCCATAGTGCCCTCAGTATCATTTGGTTCAGTGTTGCATGCGGTATGTGAGTCAAGTTTGCTTTCTATGACGGGAGTGCTGGGAATTTCATCATCATTTGAATTGTGTGTGGCAGAACTTGAAAAGTCAGTGCGTAGATGCCATCTGTTCCGTCTGAGTTCCTGACCCCGAGGATTCTCAATTACATTTGACCTTGGGGATTCAGAGACACGTACGATACGTGCCGGTTCCCATTTCTTCCCGTTGATCTTGTGTCTTACAGCCTGTCCTAAGGTAAGCGGTGCAAAGCGGTTTGGCTGATTTGTTGTAATATCGCTTTTGTTTTTAAATGTTTTTGTCTCGTTGAGTTGCAACAAGTTCATGTGTAAAACTCTGTGGCTGAAGTTTCTTTGGAAAAATGGCCACCGTGGTTCAGGAGAACATAATACTTCTAGTGGAGTTGCACGATTGTTTAGTAGACCCAAATGAACATATTGCCCAGATGATTCTGCCTTCAATAGAATGGATTTGGCGATGCCAACATATTATTCAGCCAGCCCATTAGCCTGTGGTAGATATGGACTAACAGGCCCCATTCCCTCATGAAGGATTGAAACTCATCACTTGAATATTGTGGACCATTGTCTGATACGAGTTCCTCACACACCATGCCTGGCAAGTATTGAGTTGAAAGCCAATATGATAGTGGATGATTTCCGGTCCTGTAGCTGTACAATTTCAAAATATTTGCTGTAATAGTCAACAATGATCAGGTAGTTTTTCTCTTCATTATGAAAAATGTCTGTGGCTAGCCTTTGCCATGCAGGAGAAGGGCTACTCCAAGGGATGAATGGTTCTTTTATGTTCTGCCTTTCAAATTCACCGCATGTATCACAAACTTTCAAAAATCTTTCAATATCAGTGTCAATGTTAGGACAGTACAACAATTCACATGGCCTGTGTCACGGCAAGGGTGCATAATTTATTATTACACTATGGAATATTGCTATTTAATATAACTTGTGTAGTGCGTCATTAATTTGACCTCTGGGTAGAGTACAAATGGCAGAGAGAAATTGCTCTTTTGCTCAAAAGGGGCTTCTGCAAGGTGTGAAAAGGATTGCCCTTTTGATCTATCAAAGGCCCTGCAAGGTGAGACATTTTACACTTGAGCCGCCTGTATGTTTAGTTTCAATGTAAACTATCTGACTTTGACTATATGGCCTGAAACTCTCAATTGATGGTTCAATCCTTTGATATGGTAATGGTATTAGTTTCATACCTTCGAATAGCTAGAGGTATTTTCATTGAAGCATGTATAACAGGGCGGGACCCTTCTTTTATGCAACTTTTGTATATCCCAGGAAGACACCCGAGTCCTCTGAATACATCACTGAAATCATGCTTAAAGGTATTAGCTGTAAGTGTGTTGTCATTGCTATTGACAGCCATTATAATTTTGATAAGTCCAATATCCTGGCTGTAGCCTGAGTTTCTACTACACACAGCTGCAAGCTACTTTCCAATCTTTTATATGCACACTTTGTATGACACCGTCCGATGACATCGAGGACCTCACCTCCATACCCCATCAGCTTTGGTAGTCTCTGTGTTTCCAACTGGCATTCATGACAGAGGAATTTGTGATGTATGTGGCCTGGTATACAATTTACCTGAGCTCCTGTATCAGTTTTAAACTTGACAGGTATTTGAGAAGCCCCTAGTTCCAATGTGACCACTGCCTCATATGGGAGATGCCTGTGTCATCATCTGAATTGTCCATTTCATTTATACTATATACTGGTCGTGGCTGTGGCTGTGGCTTCATTTGTTCTATCTTGTGACTGTTAGATTGCTTTTCAATTGCACTGATCTGTTGTGGCCCTCCCAGTACCTGCAAGTCCTTTCTTGACATCTCATATGCTCCTCTTCTTGCAGTACTTTTTTCCTGAACATTTTTACACTAGCTGCCCATTAGTATCCTGTCTTTGATCATATCTCTAGAGTCATGAAAAGCAACGCAGTAGCTGTAATTGTGTGACCCATTCATCCACTGATTCACTGCCCACTTGGTACCTCTCATAGAACAGCTTTCTCTGCCCTGTGGGTTTTTGCATGGATTACAGTATGCATCAAACCTTGCACACAGTACCTCTGTCTTTTTCTTGCCCTCTGCAGTTATGTGTCCACTTGCACACCATGCTCTGCATACATCACAACCTGTGTGGCCCACACTGATAAAGTATGCTGCCTTTTGTTGGTCACTCCATTTTGCCCAGTTCCCTGATACATTGCCAGATTCTAGATCAAGGGGAGGCGTGTTTTTTGTGATGCAGCTGCTTGCCATTGTTCTCTGCACCCCGCTTCAGGTACCATGTGTTGTAGTGACATAAAATACTGAGATAGGATTCAGGAGCTTAAAGGATCACTATAGGCACCCAGACCACGTCAGCTTAATGAAGTGGTCTGGGTGCCAGGTCCATCTAGGGTTAACCCTGCCTGTTGTAAACATAGCAGTTTCAGAGAAACTGCTATGTTTACACTAGGGTTAATCCAGCCTCTAGTGCCTGTCTCATTGACAGCCGCTAGAGGCGCTTCCGCGCTTCTCACTGTGATTTTCACAGTGAGAAGACACCAGCGTCCATAGGAAAGCATTGAGAATGCTTTCCAATGGACTGGCCAAATGTGCGCACGGCTCTTGCCGCGCATGCGCATTCAGCCAATGACGTCGGAATTTAACCTCTTCCTCCCCCTTCAGCCCGGCGGGAGGGGGGCCATAAGGGTGGGGGGACCTATTAACACTATAGTGCCAGGAAAACAAGTTTGTTTTCCTGGCACTATAGTGGTCCTTTAACCAGGATCTCTTTATTCTCAGTCTCTCCATCACAACTGAACTATAACCTGTGACCTATTTCCTGTTCCAGGTTACATTAAAAGATATAAAGTAAACCAACACATTAAATTTTTAAGGTAGAACAGTGCAGTTAATCAATTAACATTAGAGATGTCACTAACAAAATTTAATTTCATTAGAGTTATCATTAAGAAAATATCATTACGTTTCACTAAAGGTAATAAACTTCTAATAAACGAGAAGTGAAAACTTGATGAGAGTTATCCTTTAATGAGACTTTAATTTTCGCTATAAACAAGTAGCTGTACACAATCTGATTTTACTCATAATATACAGGTTCTAGCTGTGCATTGTACCACAGAGTGTCTGACTCTAACAGTGTTATTCACTAAGGTGAGAATTCAAGGTGAATTTCAAATTTAAGGCCAAAGTAGTTGAACTGTAATCATACCTGACTTGAGAATGTTTTTAAGTTCAGCTATTATGACCATAAATTTGAAAATCACTCTCAATTCACTTTGAACTCTCACTTTAGTGAATAATCTGGTAAGTGCTGCACTTGCCCCTTTTTGTATCTGAAATGCATGCCTTTACATGTTTTTACCACCGGCACTGATAATATTGCCTGAACAAGCATCTCAATGTGTATATAATCAGCAGTTACTTATATACTGCCAACAAATTACAAGCAACTGTAAAATCGTACCGCAAACCTGGAAATGAGGAACAGAGACTGCATTTTTGCAAACACTCATCCAATGACATCATGTAAAAGGAAGGCTTATCGCATGCTCTGTCAGATGCCATCTTGCACTTTGCATGAGATGCCTGGAGTGTGCCTTTAATTTCATATTATCAGCCATATTGATTAAGGCACAAACAGGAGCTATTGTAGTTCAAAGTGTTAAACGTTGACAGATACTCTGTTGGTTTCTGTGGTGATTGTTCCTTATTGAACATCTTGCCCCAAAATAGCATCTGTTTGTGCATTGTTAAGTATATGCAAAATATCAATATATCAATGATTTATTTTATATATACCAATCTTGAAAGCATCTGGACCAGTTTATTTAAAGCCTTTTAAGGTAACACTAATATTTTACATTGTAGTTTGCACATAATTGTGAAATTGCACAGTGCACATTTTCTGTGCCAAAGACAATATTTTGGTTTATTTTCACATTGATAAGCATGGCCCAACATTTTAAAAAAAGGTAAGTAATGCCATGTTCATAACCTTATAACAGATTTATAACCCCCTGTTGTGGAAAAAAATATTAACCCAATCCATGTTAGTAAAATGCCTATTTACTCAACATAACCACAATCCGCATTATGCTACCTTATATGTGATTTACCTAAAATGGCCACTAGGGAGTTTCCCCTTTGACATCGACTAACACCCTCATTAACAAGATGGCGCTGGAATCTGGGGGAGACCCCCAAGATACCAGTGACATCACACCCAGTAGGAAGAGCAATAAATGAACCACTTAACACCTAACCAATTATTGATGTATTATTCCATGTTATCTCTGACAATGCATATGCACATTCCTCAAGTTTTTCATTAACCCGAAACCTGTGTCTGGTGTGAATTACATTAGGAGCGTGCACGCACTACTTCTTTAATTTGGCCGGGGGCAGATACGCAAGATAATCAATTTATTAATTGATTCCACATCACCCCCCTTGTACAGCGCTATGGAATTACTGGCGCTATATAAATAATAAAATAGTAATAATAATAACAGGACTTGGCCAAACATTTGGCTACATATATATTTTTATTAGAAATCACAAAGGAGTATGCATAGGCTTTTTAACTGGTATATTTTTGAACTTATATTTTTAGATTATTCCACATTATTATAGCTTCGATGACAGTAAGTGGGGGAAAATTATGAAATGGGTAGGAATATGCTAAATGTTTCACGTACATGAATAGCTACACACATACTACTACATGCTCCCAATGGAGTTAGTCTATGTAGGTCACAATTTTTGACGACATTCGGTTTTTAACCATTCAAGCACGTAAATATACGTTTTACAGACACCTATTGTATGCTACTATGAGGGGGCAGCAGTCACTTGGAAATTAAATAAAAGCTTTCTAGATCATATTGCATCAATGCTACTTTTGTTTTTTAAATAACACCCCAGACACCTATTTAAATTTTAGATGCAAAATGTAGGTTAGGTGACATGTAATTAATTTCTCTCCATAAGACCACAATCTATGCCCCTCCCTCGACCTTCAGTGTTCCCCATTTTGTTTTGAACAGCTGTATATGATGCAATGCCTATGGTTTCTTTGATATGTAGTCCAGCTGTTAGATTTTTAAAGTAGAATGCTTATATTAGAGCTCTAAACATAAAAAGTGTGCTGTGTTTTTAAGACAATTGCAATGCTAAGTGAATACCACAATCTATAAATTATTGTTGAACCAGCAAGTGTTAATTAACAACAAAGTGCACTATTCAGTCAATAAAGTGCATAAAAAGTGCAATTAAGTTGTGTATAAATCACAATTAAGTGCATCAAAATACAGTGCAATATCAGTGTGAAGTGCTTCACGCTTTACTTGCATCATACATTATCCATGTGTCATACATATTCAAACATAAAAAGAAAAAACATATAGTGTAATATAGTTATGAATGAATTATTCATGTATTAGTGAAATTTCACTCACAAATGTAGAGCAGGTGAGTCTGCTCAGGCTATAAGTGCTTCTCTCCACCATCGCAATGCACCAATATGGTAGGTGGATGGATCCAATGAATGCAGTAGATCAAGGCAGCAATCATCTTCCAAAATATTTATTAGACAGCTTGCATAAAAGACTCCAGGCATAAAAAACATTTTAACAATACCTGCCCATAACGCACTGCTTATGGGATAAGCCCAGCAGTGCTCTAGACAGGATAATGACCATTTCAGGGCCGTTTTAACATGGGGCAAAAAGGGCATCTGCCCCGGGCCCAGTTGCTCCTGGGGGGCCCATGGCAGCTACCTCTTGAGCCCTGCTGTCCACAATAATATGCTACATATTTTTTTTGCCTCCCGAGTCCTTCACTATGCGAGCGACATCATCGCATAGTGAAGGAGTCGAAGGACTTACTCGCTCCTCCTCCAGATCTCCTCCCGTCACTCCCGACCTCCCCTGCCTTTTACTTGCGCACGTTGCCGTGACGTCATGCGGAGGCAGAGTCACGGCAACACTAGGGTGAGCCCGGTCTCCCCCAACTGCAGAGCGGCACCGTATACCATGAATCCTGAGCCCAGGCCCCAGAGCACTGATCCCTATTGTACTATCTCTATCTACGCATTGTTTAAAAAAATAACAGTAATCTGTAAAATATAAAGTATTTGTGTCAGAAGTTGTGCTTTTTTAATTTTTAGAATAATGATACAGCCATTTTATTTCATACATTTGTGCTAATTTCAAGTGCTGGTTGGAGGGGGATGAGGGGCAGTATTACACAATCTGTATATGTATATTTATAAAAAATATATATATATATAAAAAGATTGTGTAATACTGCCCATCACCCGCTCCAACCAGCACTGAAATGAGCACCAATATATGAAATAAAATGGCTGTATCATTATTCTAAAAATTTTAAAAAGCACAACTTCTGACACAAATATTTTGTATTTTACAGATTACTTATTATATTTTTTTATACATATACAAAGTAATCTGCAAAGTATAAAATATTTGTGTCAGAAATTGTGCTAAAAATCAAGCTAGGAATGTGCATAGTTTATTTATTTATTTTTTATAATTTTTAGAATAATGATACAGAAATTTTATTTCATACATTTGTACTGATTCCTTTTTTCTCTATATTCAAGGGGCACTATAGTCACCAGAACCACAACAGCTAAACGTAGTAGTTCTGGTGTCTATACCATGTCTTTGCAAGCTTTTTAAGGTAAACACTGCCCTTTCAGAAAAAAGGCAGTATTTACATTACTGCCTAGGAACACCTCAAGTGGTCACTCATCAGACGGCGACTAGAGGTGCTTCCTAGTCCAGTGTTGCACATCGTGCAGCACTGGCATTCACGCTGAACACTCCTCATAGAAATGCATTGATTGAACGCATCTCTATGAGGAGATGCTGATTGGTGCAGCGCAGTGTTTTGCCACGCATGCGCAATAGCCTCCCAATGCTTTATTAGGGCAAAGCAGTGGGTTGGCTGATATATACTCACACACTGCACATTTTTGTGTGTGTTGTGGTGGTAGGCGTGATTGCATGCTAGGGTGTGGGAAGGTGGGATCCCGGGGGCCCAAGTAAATTCTTGCGCAAGGTCCAATCAATATTAAAGATGGCCCTGTACCATTTTGAATGGTTAAGTCACTTATTGGTTTGGTAAGAGCTCATTACAGAAGCTGTAAAGCCTGAGACTTTCTTGCAAATGCATTTTCTATGTGATGCCTTCAGGTTGGGAAAACCTTCTGATTAGAGTTTCTCTTTAAAGGGATACTTTAGGCACCCAGACCACTTCATCTCTCTTTCTCATCTCTTTTAGAGAAACTGTAATGTTTCCATTGCAGTACTAAGATGGTGAAACAATGCTGGACCTCCTCAGACTTTGCATGAGGACATCCAGCGTTAATCAAAATCCCATAGGAAAGTATCTATTCAATGCTTTCCTGTAGGAAAGGCCTAATGGTCGCATGGGTAGTTCTTCCCACATCAGTTGACGTTGGTGGAGAAGGAGCATAGTGCTGGAAGCAGGTAAGTGAATGAAAGGGTTTTTAAAAACCCTTTCATTCACAAGGGGGGACACAAGGGCAGAGGGATACTTTAATGTTAGCAATACATCTTTGTAGTCTGAACACTAAAGTGTTCCTTTAATCTAATGTGTCATGAATGAATTGCTCACCTAGCAAGCAAATGGTTAAATATTTTTTTTCTTGAATGCAATCTAGTCCCCATTAGAATGTTTCCCTTACTTATAAACATGTGGTATATATATATATATATATATATATATATATATAAATATATATTAACCTAGGGTTCATGTTTATTGCAGCTTTAAATGTTCTATTTATATGTATATGATACCATTCATCGAGATTGATTTGTGACTGGGACATCAGAGGTTTAGTCTGTGTTATTCTGTTTGAAGATTAGAAAAGAACTGACAGGGGAATTGCAAACTGTTATTTTATCACCCATTGTTAAAGGAGCACTCCATGCCTAATAACCACTACAGCGCATTGTAATAGTTACAATACTACAGCGGATTGTAATAGTTACAATACTACAGCGCATTGTAATAGGGTAGAGAACTTCCACTTGGAGAAAGGCTGGGGACAGCACTCCGTGTATTCAGATAACAAGTCAAACCATTAGAAGGTGGTTTGACTACTTATATTGAGGGGCACCATGGCACTTCTGGCGATTCAATCGTTCCAGCGCATTGCAGCCAATAAATATGAAGAAGTCCACGGATTCAACAGGTTATGCAAAAAACAAAAAATCCAGTTTATTGATAACAGGGACACAAAAACTACTGTAGTAGTTATGGTGATTGGAGTATTCATTTAAGGTAGATGTCTAAAGTGTTACAATAACTGTATGGAATTTTGGAATATAAAATATATCCCATCATGTTATGTGATGGGCATTAATAGATGTACAGATCCTAACCACTGAAACTAACATGCATGTTACCCTGACTTCATTGACACCTGTAATATGTAATCCATTACCGGTTTATGAAAGTGATCATACAAAGTGAATTTCAAATTTAAGGTCTAGATCAGCTATGTTTTCAAGTTGGCTACTCTGGTTCTGAATATAGAATTCATTTTTAATTCTCACACTAGTAAAATATTTATTAGACAGCACTAGTAAACCTTGTAAAATTCCCCCCCCCAAAAAAAATCCAGGCATTATTATACAGCTGACTTTGTGACCATTTACAGAACGTTTACCATTACAGAGGTCATATTTAAGAAATGTTTGCACATGTCTAAAGTGCCACTAAATTATGGTACACCTGGCTATGGCTAACTGCTACCTCCTGTCAGTAACCTTTCTACAAAATGGAAAACATGTTCAATGATGTTTATTCTCACGAATTGAAATGTAACCATTTAGTTCATGCCATTAATTAAAATGTGTCTGTCAAACTAAGTTTTGTTGTTATACATTTTACTGAATGCATCCAGCACTACTGCATTTCACAGTGATATTTAGGAAAATAACACATTAGGACAAGTTGGTATGGGATATACAGCCAGCCTGCAGATTATTTTACAAAACAATATCAGTACAGTCCAAGTACTATTAAAGCAACACAGAATTAGAAGAGACATCAGTCTATTACTTTAACACCGCCTCAGTGGTAAATCAGTGAACTGGGTAGTATATAAAGTGTTAATACAATATGAATGCTGATTTCTTACCTGGATGAATCATAACATGATTTACTTGGAAAAGCAGGTGATATCTTAGTTCTTCTTTGACATCTATACTTAAGCAAGACAAACTCTGCTAAGTACAGTTAGCAATTTGTTTAAATCCTCACCTAATTGTAGGCTTGCCACTTCAGGATAAATCCAGTAGGTATTAAATATTATGGGGTGTTGGATTTGGCTGGAGTATAATTGAAAGGTTGACTGGAGAGGAGTGATTGTGAGCAGAAAGGAGGTGCTGGGAGTCTCTTTCTGTGCTTCAGACAGCTCTGCCTCTAGTGGGGATGTTCCTTGGCTGCTGTGGACCACTACCTCATACTTACATGGAATGTGAAGGAGAAAATATATATCCCTCCTGGGCAAAAATAACTCAGCAATGGGAAGGAATGTCAGAAGGAGATCTGTTATAGCAAATCAGCTTATAGCTTGAGAGACCACTCACCTGGGGCATATACTAAAAAGGAAGAAAAAAAAACCTTTTTATAGAAAATATTAGAGTTCAGTCCCTGGAAAGGTTGTTTTTTTTTCATCATATGTCATGTGTAACTATTATATTTTATTGCTCAATTTCCAATGCAGCAAGATTTTAGCTAACGTTACATTGTTTAAAGGACCACTATAGTGCCAGGAAAACATACTCGTTTTCCTGGCACTATAGTACCCTGAGGGTGCCCCCACCCTCAGAGTCCCCCTCCCACTGGGCTGGATGGAGAGGAAGGGGTTAAACTTACCTCTTTCTCAAGCGCAGAGCGGGGAGCTCTCCTCCTCCTCTTCGGCTGAATGCGCATGTGCGGCAAGAGCCACGCGCGCATTCAGCCAGTCTCATAGGAAAGCATTTACAATGCTTTCCTATGGACGCTGGCGTCTTCTCACTGTAAAAAACTCACTGTGAGAAGCACGCAAGCGCCTCTAGCGGCTGTCAAGAGACAGCCACTAGAGGCTGGATTAACCCTAACATAAACATAGCAGTTTCTCTGAAACTGCAATGTTTATAGAAAAAAGGGTTAACCCTAGCTGGACCTGGCACCCAGACCACTTCATTGAGCTGAAGTGGTCTGGGTGCCTATGGTGGTCCTTTAACAATGGTTTCTGCGTATGCCATCCTTCAGGCTTTGACCACATTCTACTACAGCATAAATCTTAGAGTCGATAAAGATAACATGGACCACATACTTAGTAAATGTGCTATGTAAGCTAGGTGTGCTGTTCATAACAGAGATTCATAGCATTAATACTCACAGTAAATTGTCTTTAACTCCTTAAGGGACAAAGCTTCTTTTTTTTTTTTCTTTCTTTCTTTTTTTTTTTTTAAGAACAAGGATGATACATACATTGTACATCTGGACAAAAACATTTGATAACTCTGCATCATAGTTCACAGCTGAAGATGATCAGAGGGGAGGGTTTTTGGGGGGATCGAGCGGTATATAGTACATCATGTTAGCAGTATTGTACTTGGTTTTGTATTATGTATATATTATTGTTTATTTATGCATGGGGTGTCAAGTACGCCATTGTCCGGTCCTTTAGAAGGCTTAATCTGGTCTGGTGTGTGCTGAGGGATGGACTCGTGGTAGTGGTATAGTGATCTCATCACTGGGTTATGAACAGGTTTTCCTCGTTGGTCAGGGCCTTTTGTCTGTGAGGTGTGGTAACTATACCTTGAAGGGACAAAGCTTTTTTGAGATGAAATGCATTTGTGACCAAGGCCTTTTTGGCGTGTTTGCCATGCATTATTTCTACCACCATTTCCTCCTTTCTGTTTAAAGGGATACTATAGTTTTCAAAACAACTTTAGCTTAATGAAGCCGTTTTGGTGTATAGGTCATGCTTATGAAATTTCACTGCTCAATTCACTGACATTTAAGAGTTAAATCACTTTTGACGCTGTTTGTACAGCCCTAGCCACACCTCCCCAGGCTGTGACTGACACATTCTGCATGGAAACAAAATGGTTTCATTTTCAATCAGATGTAACTTAATTTAAAAGTTTATATCTCCTGCTCTGTAAATTGGTCATTAATTACATACAGCAAGCTATTAACAGAACAGGAGATAAGAAATTCTAAATTAAACAGAATTTGCAATAAAGGAAGTGTAAACATTAGATCACTTTTTACAGGAAGTGTTTAGGAAGGCTATGCAAGTCACATGCAGGGAGATGTGCCTAGAGATGCATAAACAAAGTGATTAACTCCTAAATGGCAGAGGATTGAGCAGTGAGACTGCAGAAGCATGATCTATACACCAAAACTGTCTTTTAAAGCAAAAGTTGTTTTGGTGACTAAAGTGTCCCTTTAAGTGCACGTATGCATATTATATATGATTTTTAAAGAAGAAATATAATTTTCTTTCTTTTGATACCCTGTATGACTACATAACGCTATATTGAATAGGAAGAAAATATATAAAAATTGGAGAGGGGGGATTTTAAGAAAGCATCAGTTCTCAGTTTTACATGCAATAATTTCTGTACACCGAGTGCAAGTAATGAAACATAACTCAAAATAGAATCACTGATTAGTTCTGATTATTGAAATGCCCAATATGTCTAGGATTTCAATGAACTTTTAGAAGTTATAAAACAAATAATGTAAGAACTTAAATATGGTTTTAAAGATGAAACTTTGCAAATCTTTGACATGCTGAGATTACAATTTTAATAGTACTCACATAATCCAAACCTGTTACACAAAAGTATATATTTGTAGAACGTACATTCCCCGGGCTATGTAATTAAGAGTATTTTTTAAGAGTATTTTGACACTTTTCATTTAACCCCCCTTTTTTTTTTTTTTACAAACCTTTATCAAATAATTAAAAAAATGTTGTGGATTTTTTTTCCAGACAGACACATAAAACTACTGAAAAAACCCCATATTTGTATTCTGCTGCTGTTCTCGAGTACAATGCTGCTACTGTTTTTGAGCAGGGAAAAAGGTGCACATACCATTTCCCCAAGTCCTGCCCCTAATCCAACTCATAATCCAAACTATGACCATACCCATAATCTAAACCCTTTTTCTACCCATAATCCAAACATTTATTCCAAACCATTATCTAACCTATAATCCTACTCATAATTCAACCCTAATCCTATCTAGAATCCAATGCTAATCCGACTCTAATTCAACCCATAATCTAACCCATCCCAGGCTGGGGATTTTAACTGCACTACTGCGTCATTTAAAGGGAATTTGATGGCGCTATATAATTAATAAAATAATAAAAATAATAATGATCAGTGCTTACTTTGAGTGCTTTTCATAGCCCTTTTTTCAGTCTGGGGCCACTAACTGTAGCCCCACCTGACAGAGGGGATCCCCAGGTATTAAAAGATAGCTGTGGTTCCCTCTTTAAAAAAAAAAAAAAAAGTTAACATCCATTTTTCTAATCAGACACACACTCACTGATAGTAACACACGCTCACTGAGAGAAACACATTGACAGATGCACACTGGCAGACACACACTCTCAATGACAAACACAATCTCACTGATTTGAAACACACTCACTCACTGACAGATACTGCCAAACACACACTCACTGACAGACAGACAGACACACTCTCAATGACAGCCACACAATCTCCCTGATTTGAATCACACTCACTGACAGAAACACTCACTGACACACACACAGTCTCACAGATTTGAAAAACACTCACTGACAAACACATATGTTGTTGATATTTTAGAAATAGACCATTATGTACATGTTTGCTTTTTTTTTTTTAACAATGTCACCTTAATAAACTTGGAAGGATCTCGTCAAGAACTAAATTTTTAAAGGTTAATGTCTTGCATTTTTCTACCTCAGTTGGCACATAACTATCACATGTATATTTTACATGAATAAAGAATGATGTAGGAAATATTTACAAAATAAAGTGATAAGTTAAATGATGAACTACTAAAATTAAAAATAATGAAATCTATCTTCAAAATATAAAAAATATTTACGTATATCACAATGTATGTATGTTATTTGTTATGCTAAATGCATAACTGTTCAGACGTTTCTCAATAAGTGTGAAAATATTTCAGTGACTCTTATCCATTTGCAATTAATTGTCCTTGCAATGACAGTTACACACTGTTTCTGCTCTGCTACAGTGGAATAGGTTTCTGCTCTGCTCCAGTCCTCCAATTCCCTCGCATCTCATCCGTACTCTGTCTTCTTCTCTTTCTCCACCTCTCACTAAAATTTTTAATCTCTCTCTCTCGTCTGACATATTTCCATCGCCCTTCAAACATGCAACTGTAACCCCAATTCTAAAGAAGCCCAACCTTGACCCTAATTCCCCATCCAACTACCGTCCTATCTCGCTACTGCCTTTTGCATCCAAGATCCTTGAAAGAGTAGTGTATGCAAGATTGACAGACTTCCTTGAGTCAAACTCTCTGCTAGACCCGCTTCAGTCTGGTTTCCGCGCTAAGCACTCTGTGGAATCAGTACTGACCAAAGTATCCAATGATCTACTCGCTGCAAAATCTCGTGGTCACTACTCTATCCTAATTCTCCTTGACCTGTCTGCAGCTTTTGACACTGTTGATCATCAACAGCTTCTTCTCATCCTCCGCAATATCCGTCTACAAGATATTGCTCTCTCCTGGTGCTCCTCCTACCTCTCCCAGCTCTCTCCTCGGTGTTTATTTTTCTGGCTCTGCTTCTTCTCCCCAACTCCTCTCTGCTGGTGTCCCCCAAGGTTCAGTCCTTGGTCCCCTACTGTTCTCTATCTATACTGCCTCGCTTGGTAAACTCATTAGTTCCTTTGGCTTACAATATAATTTCTATGCGGATGACACGCAAATGTCCTCACGCAAAATACCTGTCCTCTCCTGATCTCTCCCCGTCCCTCTTGACTAGTGTCTCTGACTGCCTCCCTGCTATTTCTAAGTGGATGGCTGTCCACTTCCTTAAACTCAACTTGACCAAAACTGAAATTCTAGTCTTTCCTCCCTCAAGTGTTGCTACTCCTGTGTCTGTCTCCCTCCAAGTAAACGGTGCTACCATAAGCTCCACTAGGTGGGCTCGCTGCCTAGGTGTTCTCTTTGACTCTGACCTCTCCTTCACGTCTCATGTTCAGTTTATCGCCAAATCCTGTCGTTTCCATCACAAAACATTGCGCCCATCCGACCCTACGTTAACACCAGATGCGACTAAGGTGCTAGTCCATTCCATTGCCCTTTCTGGCTTTGACTACTGTAATCGGCTGCTCAGTGGTCTTACGTGCTCCCAACTTGCGCCATAATAAATGCGGCGGCGAGGCTCATCTTCCTGTCTGCCTGCACCTCCAACGCCTCACCTTTCTGTCAGTCCCTACATTGGCTTCCTGTACGATATAGGGCTTAATTTAAAATTCTGGTTCTTGCTTTCAAATCTCTACATAATGGTGCTCCCACCTATCTATCCTCACTAATACACAAGTGTGTCCCGTCTAGGCCCTTACGCTCTGCTGAAGACTTACATCTATCTTCTGTCCGTCCTCCCACCTCTGATGCCCGCCTTCAAGACTTCTCCAGGGCTGCACCGTTCCTGTGGAACTCCCTTCCCTCCCCTGTTAGATGCTCACCCAGTCTCCGCTACTTCAAAAAATCATTAAAAACCCACTTCTTAGCGTATCAATTAAACTGTTATTAGCTCCCGACTGATTCCTCTCTTGCAACTGTCACTAGTCTAATACTATCCTTACCTTTGTAGCATGTAGGCTCATTGAGCAGGACCCTTAACCCCTCTGTTCCTCTGTGTCCAACTTTTCTGGTTACAATTACATGTCTGTTCGTCCACCCACTGTAAAGCGCTACGGAATTTGTTGGTGCTATATATATAATAACATAATAATAATAAAATGACAGACACAAAATCTCACTGATGTGAAGCACATTCACTGACAGACACACACAGTCACAGACAGACATACACACTGACAGACAACACACTCACTGACAGACACACACACACTTACTGACAGACACACACACTGACAGTATTGCAAGTTCCAGAAGGTGCAAGAACCAATGCTTCTGAGGGCCAGAAGGGGGTGATCAATAAGATACGTGTCGCCTGAATAGGAGAATCATTCTGGGAAACATAGAAAATGAGGGAAATGCATAGTTGCGACCAGGGCCGCCATCAGGGGGTGACAACCATGATGGTTGTCACAGAACCCGGCGGTTCTGGTGGGCCCGGACTGCTCTGGCAGTCCCGGGCCCCACTTTCCCTCTCTGCACACATAGATAGAGAATATCGAACATACTGCATACACTAACACAACACACACACTGCATGCACTACCCTGACACACACACTGCATACATTAACACAACACACACTGCATACCCTGACACACATACTGCACACACTAACACAACACACACACTGCATACACTAACACAACACACTGCATACACTAACACAACACACACACACTGCATACACTAACACAACACACACTGCATACCTTGACACACATACTGCATACACTAACACAACACACACTGCACACTAACACAACACACACACACACTGCATACACTAACACAACACACACTGCATACCCTGACACACATACTGCATACACTAACACAACACACACACACTGCATACACTAACAACACACACACTGCATACACTAACACAACACACACACTGCATACACTAATAAAACACACACTGCATGCACTACCCTGACACACACATTGCATACACTAGCACAACACACACACTGCATACACCAATACAACACACACTCTGCATACACTATACACTGACACACACTCTGCATTCACTACATATTCACACACTGTGCATTAACTGTACACACAGCATCCACTACACAAACATCCTGTATTCACAGTACACACACTACATCCACCACAAATTGAAACACTCTGCATTCACTATACACAGACATTGCGTCCAATACACAAACTACATCCACTACAGACACTGCATACACTAAACACATTCCATCTAGTACACACAAACACTACATCCACTACACAAACACACACTACATCACTGTACACACACTACATCCACTACTCAAACACACTCTGCATTCACTATACACACTGTATCTGCAACATAAACATATACTCTGCTTTAACTGCACAAACAGTATCTAATACACACAAACATTACATCCATTACACACATTCTAATTCACTTCCACTATACACACCACATTCAGTCCTGCATCATTGTCAGCGGACTAGGTAGGGTGTGGGCAGGCCACAGACCTCCGGGGAGGAGGAAAGGGGAGGGGGGCCCAGACCTTGTGCTTTGTCTGGGGCCCCAAAATTTCTGATGGCGGCCCTGGTTGCGACTCCTGCTCCAATCTTGAAGAAATACATCCACTGCCACTGGTCTGGATACTAACTTAAAACTAAAGTAGTCTGGTGTTCAGATAGGAAGCAAAGAGATCGAAATTAAGGGGATCCAACAACAAGCGCAGTGACTGAAAAGTCCCGTTGTCCAGGGTCCAATGCTGGAATCTGTCAGGAAGCACATGTTCCAGTGCACCTCTACATTGGTCAAACCCAGGATATATTCTGCCCGGATTGAGAGGTTGCAATCCAAACACAATTCCCAAAGGTTCTTGGCTAGGCTTGACAAGACAGCTAACTGGGTATCCCCTAGGTGATTGATATAACAGATGGCCAGTATGTTGTACATACATAGCCTGATACAGGTCTTGATGTAATCATTTGAGAGACTTCAGAGAGCAAAAGATCCAGCCGGTAGCTCCAAGCAATTGATGTGGAGAAGCGAGCGAGGTGTCTCAGAGATATCATTGGAAGGATGAGTGAGCACCTGATTTCCTTGTGAATGGCTTGTAGCCTGGCAAAAGGCAAGCTGTTTCCATTTCCAAATCCACTACAAAACTAAGGAACATGAGCTGATTCAAAGGGGGTAAAATGCAATTTCTCCCAGATGATCAAAAAAGTGTTTATCTTCCCTGCCAGGCATACACATCTTTGCACCATGCCTCTGAGGACATGTGGTTCAATAGGCGTGTTATCAGCAGCTGCCATCATATGGCAGATTTGGAGTGGGCTTTAAGATCCTTGGCCTTAGGAGTGGAATTCCCTTTGACTGAGGCACGAGCAATCTCAATAGTGAGGCTGGTGGACCTGTAAGAAGGCATGAGTAATAGTCTGCAATATGACCACAGACATTGATCCCATAGCAGAAAATATGTGCCAGTCAGGTTATCAGGGCTTAGGCATGTTGGCAAAGGGAGAAATATGGACTATAATGTGAATGAATAATAAAAGTACACTGTAGCGGAGAGCTGGTATATCACAGGTTATCTCCACTCAAGATCCCAGTGTGGCTCAGGAACAAGTATTAAAAATCCATAAGGCAATAATTAGAGCAGACAAGAAAATATGAATACGAATATCCCAATACAGATCCCAATGACTGGACGACACACAGCATCAGGAGCAGAAATAAACTTTTATTCCCAACAACCTTCTTTTAAAGCTTTCTCCCATGCAAGGGAGGGATTCACATTAATTAGTACAATATCCAGTAGTGTAACTGTTACCTCCCACACATCTACTCCCCTCAGTGTGACACATAATCCACTTATACATACTGCAGTTTTACCTGATTTCTGGATGTACCCCAAAACAGTCAGATAGCATTATATAATGGATACCCCCTGGTAGCCCTGATCTGGGTGACTAACATATTCAAAATTCACCCAGAGCGGACCAGGGGTTCGGGAGTTAGGTGGTACTACACGAGGTAGTATCCGAAAAAGGCTCCATGTGTTTTGGCCTTGTGGTTGGTCTCTGTTCGGGAGATAAAATGCATAGAAATACTTGCCATCCAAAGGTAAATCGGTATTCGTCTTAATTCCCTTGTTCGGGATATTTATTTTACCGAACGAGGGGCTGGTTGGCGGAGCTCTGGAGGTCTCAACGGTGTTCGGGTAATTGAGTGTCCGATTTGAGTTCCAGACACTCAACGACCAAACACCGCTGAGATTTTCTTGCGTAAGATGGCCGCCGCCACGCGGTTCGTATGCCGAACGGTAACCACCCAGATCTATACAAAGTAACAATTGCATGGTCAATTAGTTTGTGGTTACAGATTGTGAAAGCTTAACAAGGTACACACTTCTCTCTGGGGTGGTCTGATGGTTCGGTATTTTCATTCGTATGGAACACGGAATGAAAACTACCGAACAATCGGCCGAATGCTACATACATTACAGCTATACATGGGAATAATTACATAAAATGCATTTTTAAAACGAACTTTGAGGACAGCCCAATGTCATCCGCTACATACACTGGTTACAAAAGACCCATGAAGTAACAATGAATACCGTATATATCAGTGATGGAGGTGGTAGAAACCAAGAGTGTATAAAGCACAAAACAACGGCAATTCCTTGCAGTTGTCCTCAAAAGTTTGCATACCCTTGGAGAATTGGTAATATACACTGAACAAATTTATAAATGCAACACTTTTGTTTTTGCCCCCATTTTTTCGTGAGCTGAACTCAAAGATCTAAATCTTTCTCTATGTACACAAAAGGCCTATTTCTCTCAAATATTGTTCACAAATCTGTCTAAATCTGTGTTAGTGAGCACTTCTCCTTTGCCAAGATAATCCATCCACCTCACAGGTGTGGCATATCATGATTAGACAGTATGATTATTGCAAAGGTGTGCCTGAGGCTGGCCACAATAAAGTGTATGTACCATTTTTAAAGGAAACATGAGTGAGCAGGCAAAACACATTTTTTGTATTTCTTATGGGATTCATATTCAACTGTAGGTTATAACAGAATGGCACAATCATAAAACAAAACATGGTAAAAAAAAAATAAAAATGTAATGATCCCTGTTCAAAAGTCTGCATACCCTAAGTTCCCTAATACTGTGTAGCATCAATGACACTGTGCAGTCTTTTCTAATAGTTGTCTATGAGGCCCCTAATTCTTGCAGGTGGTATAGCTGCCCATTCGTTTTAGCAAAATGCCTCCAGATCATACAAAGTCTTTGGTCGTCTTGCATGAACTGCATGTTTGAGCTTTCCCCAGAGTGGCTTGATGATATTAACCCCTTAAGGACCAAACTTCTGGAATAAAAGGGAATCATGACATGTCACACATGTCATGTGTCCTTAAGGGGTTAAGGTCAGGAGACTGTGAAAGCCACTCCAGAACCATTACCTTTTTCTGCTGTTACCACTGGAGGGTCAACTTGGCCTTGTGCTTAGAGTCATTGTCATGCTAGAAAGTCCAAGAGCATCCCATGCACAGCCTTCGTACAGAAGAATGCAAAGTGTCTGCCAGTATTTTCTGATAACATGCTGCATTCATCTTGCCATCAATTTTCACAAGATTCTATGTGCCTTTAGAGCTCACCCCTCTCCCCACCCAAAAAAAAAAAAAACATCAAAGAGCTACCACCATGCTTCTCGTAGGGATGGCATTCTTTTCATTATAGGCCTTGTTGATCCTTCTCCAAACATAGCGCTTATGGTTGTGACCATAAAGCTCTATTTTGGTCTTGTCACTCCAAATTACAGTGTGCCAGAAGCTGGGAGGCATGTCAAGGTGTTGTCAGGCATATTGTAACAAGGATTTATTGTGGCATTGGTGCAGAAAAAGGCTTTTTTCTGGCAACTCAACTTTGCAGTCCATTTTTGTTCAAGCATCGTCGTATTGTGCTCTTTGAAACAGTCACACTGTCTTTTTCCAGAGCCGCCTGTATTCCTCCTGAGGTTACCTGTGGGTTTTTGCTTTGTATCCCGAACTATTTTACTGGAAATTGTGGCTAAAATCTTTCTTGGTCTACTTGACCTTGGGAGATCACTGAATCAAGAAATCCTGAACTTTCCACATCTTAATAAGTGACTGAACAGTACTGACTGGCATTTTCAAGGCTTTTGGATATCTTTTTATATCCTTTTCCATCTTTATAAAGTACCAATACTCAGTATCTAGCCTGCTCAGTGCATCAACATGAGAGCTAACAAACTCATTGACTATTTATACACAGACACTAATGGCAATTTAAAAAGCCATAGGTGTGGAAAATTAACCTTTAATTGCCATTTAACCTGTGTGTGTCATCTTGTGTGTCTGTAACAAGGCCAAACATTCAAAGGTATGAAAACTTTTAATCAGGGACATTAGGGTGATTTCTGTTATCATTATGATATAAAAAGGAGCCTGTAACTAAACCGCTGGCACCTCGACCGGGTACCTTCCGCTGACGGATGCTCCTAGTGTTTTCCGAGGTCTCCAAGCACTCCACCTGACACCATAACCACTGCAGACCCCACAAACCGCCATAGCTTGGTTGTGGTCTCGCCGTCTCCACCCACCTTGGACGGCGAGACTCCAACCAAGCTACGGCAGTAGGTCGACCTCTCCAAATTCCAGAGAGTAGGAACAGGAATAAGCTCTTAGCAGAGCTTAGTGATTATACCCTGGGGAGTAAAGTGATTATAGCAATCCCCAGAGTGTAGTTCTCCAATCCCCCAAACATGAGCTGAAACTTCATAAAGGTACATGATGATCTATTTTAATTGGCACCAAAGGACTTTCTTTTATGCAGGTTTTACACATACAGTCCTGCCCACAGGGTTTTGTAGAACAACCAATAAAACATGTCCATTACAGTAAAACATTCCCAGCAATTACACACAAACCCTCCCCTCTGCCTGTGATATAATTACTGAACACAATGGGTTTAAGTTATTATCACAGGCAGGAAAAATACACTTTTTACACATGTACTGTAACTTTAAAAATATACATCACATTCACATAAAACATATTCAGAATCAGCATACTTTAAATATACACATAACCAAAAATCAGACAATTCCACCCAGTAGTTCAAAAGTTAGCTGGAAGTCCTTTGTGACCGACAGCAAGCACATTTTCATGCCCAAAACAGTTCCATATATTTGGGCTGTGCGGTCGGTAAATTTCACACTGAAAAATGACTAAGTCCCATTCAAATGCACGAACGGGGCTGTTCGTGCAAAAGGGCTCAGTATAGCAGTGAGTTCAAATAGCCGAACGGGACTTAGTCTCTGTGGCTGAACACTCAGTGGAGGAGAAGGTACGGGTCAGTGGTGTTCATCTAAACGTGTAGCCGATTTCAGTTCCATAGATTTGGCTGCACACACCGCTGACCGTGTTCGAATGAAGATGGCCACCGCTACGTGTTCGTTTGTACGAACAGCGGCCACCCAGCAGTCGGCAATTTACCTACTGCACCCTCCCAGCCTGGGAGGTAAATTAGCTGCACGCTTCCACTTCTGGGTGGTCCACCTGTGTAATACTTGGTTCAGTGAGCCCCATTTACTGAACCAAGTGGGAAAAAGACATGGACAAGTTATTTTCAGAGTCTGGGGACTCTGGGGACACCGTCCTAAAGAGACATTGTTCCGATTTTCACCATGCCCCAAAAATGTGCTTAAAGGGCCCGCACCAGTCCCATAAAAGTCCATAAGCCCCAATACAGTTTTTAAAGGACCATACACCCCCGGGCCGTAGTCATAAGGTAGGAGGCTGGCAATCAGGCTCCTCCAGAAGCCAGGGGCAAAGGGCAGTGGGCCACATAAACAGCCAGTGACAAAAGGCAGTTTGTCACAGAGCCAAACAACTATGTGATAAATGGTTTCATATGATCACTATCCTTCAATAAAAGTAAATGTTATGCATGATCAGTCATATTTTCAAAATCAATGCCAAAATGTCACACTTTCTGCCAGAGTATGCAAACCTTTGAGCACAATTGTATATCCCTACTCTGGATAAATGCAGAGACTAATAATTAGTAGCAGGGCTAAGCAACTAACTGAAGTGATCAAGCATTGGCCAACCTATAATAGCGACAAACCACCAGGACAGGTAACCATCGGATCACCGGCCATAGAGAGATAAAATGGCAAGATCATAAGGGGAGGCTCATGTTACCAAGGAGGCTGTAATCTCATTAGACTGCAATCTCATTAGATTGTGGCAAAAAGGGATCTCAGACAAATTTAAATCGACCTCATGGTTCATACAATAGGTTGGAGAGCGCAATTGTGGCTAAATGAAACAGCCAAATCAAAGCCAAATCAAACAGTCCCCACAATGGTTAGGAGAGCGTGATTGTGCCCGCCGGGATAAAAAAAAAAAAAATTGCGGCGGGGCTTATCATGTGGTGGGTCGGGGCTTAGTGTATGGCAGGGGTGGAGCTAAAAGTGCTGTGTAACTGCTGCAAGGGAAGCAGGAAGGAGTCCCTGCTTCCCCCAACAACCAGAATCCAGGAGCTGCACTGCCTTTCTGCCTCCACAAGGAACAGAGGTAACTGTGTGATTGTCTGCCTGTGTGTATGACTGTCCGCCTGTGTGTGTGACTGCCTATGTGTGACTGTCTGCCTCTGTGTGTGTGACTGCCTATGTGTGACTGTCTGCCTCTGTGTGTGTGACTGCCTATGTGTGACTGTCTGGGCAGACTAGATGGGCTGAATGGTTCTTATCTGCCCTCACATTTTATGTTTCTGTGTCTGTGTGTGCGTGTGGCTGTCTGCGTGTGTGTGACAGGGTGTGTGGGAAGGGGGGAATGGAAAAGGGGGGCGCTGTGAAGATTTTTCGCACAGGGCGCCCAGAGGCCTAAGGCCGGCCTTGCCAACAGGAATATATATGCATTATGTCATTGACAAACTGTGCACTGAAATAAAAACATTATTAAGTTAGAGACAGAGTAAAGAGAATATGTCAGGTTGCTATTATTTTATAGGGGGTAACCCCTAGATAGAACATAAATGAAAAAATAGAGCAAAAAAGCTAGGAAGGGAACAGATAGGTCTAAACTGTTCCACTTCAAGCTTTTGAATATTAGAGCAACCCCATATGAATTGTAAAGGCTGATAAAATAAAATATAACTTTTAATTAGCTTAAGTAAAAATGTATATATATCCCTACATATCCTTAAACAATCCAAATAAACAGGAGGGGGAGAGAAAACAAAAAACAAAATAAGATATAAGCTAAAACGTGCTACCCTTATCTAGTAATAGCACCTGTGGCACGGGGATTTCGGATAAATAGATAATGTGAAAATAGAAGTTTCAATCTTCCAAGAAACTCAATGGTGGTTACGTATCCCCCCAACTCCCATCACCCAGTGCCAACGTGATAGCATAATCTCCTTCTCCCCCTCACGAACGATGTAGCTAGAACTACCTATTCGCTACAAAAATCTTCTCTTAAAATAATTTAGCAGGGTGACTAATCTGGGAAGGAAGTAAAGGCTGCACCTAAATCCCCTGTCACCCCTGCCTCCCTCTGCTACTGAGGTCCCGACGCGCGTTTCGCCAAATATCGGCTCTTCCAAGGGACTGAAATAAAAACATATATTGTCATTCCATTGTCTATAACAAGTCATGAAAAATGTATCAAGATTCAAAATTGACCCGTCTGGACTTGTGTAAGATCAGATCATTTTAGAAAAGAAAAAAGCCAATAAAAGGCTCCTTCACTGTAATGAAGAATACCATCTATTTTATAGTGTCACTCAAACTTTAACTGGATATTTAACTAGTTCAACTTCCAGGTAAAGAAGAAGAGAAAGGGGAGAACTAATACTGAGAACTGACAATATCCCAACATACAGTGTTATTTATTGAGTTAGTATCAAATTAAACTTCATAGAAGTTCTGGAGTAAAGAAGCATTCACATGGAATTCTGGAGGAGGATGGCTAATCAGTTAAAAATTCCGGTGAGACTTAAAGAATTATGAGCTCCGAGGCAGGTAGGTAAAAATGTATGATTAAAGGAAATATGTCACTCATAAAGTACGGGAATGACAAGATCAGCTCCAGGTATTGCTATATATTTTATTTAGATATTATGCTACAGAAATCTTAAGAAAATATATTTTCCACTACGGTTGTTGGGGAAGAGGCACACAACTGTCCACTGTGGAAACAAAAATTAGGACATTCCTAAAGAGAAGGCCAGGTACAATCTAAACATATTGAACATATAAACTGAAGCATCACTATCCACCTGTACCATCTAATATAATCATCATAGGAATGATCCATAGTCAGTTATAAGTTACAGATTAAACTACTGGCAAGGGTAACTCAGCTGCTCATCCTTAGGAAGTCAATAAAATTAGTAATATTATATTTGGTGTTAGGAATATATAGTACAACAAAGAATGCAGGTAGCACCAAAAATTAAATACTTATAAGCATAATGTAAAAAAGTAGGAACAATAAAATATAATATATATATATATATATATATACATATATATATGTATATATGTATATATATATATATATATATATATATATATATATATATATATCATAAGAAAGAAAGAAAGAGTCCAAAGCAGTAGTAGTAGATCTTCTAATTCTAGTTTGGAACTTTCTGAGTAGCTTTTCTTAGTACCAGCATATGAAACGAGAGCAAGGACAAAAGTGTAGTGGGGTAATTCATCTGCTGTAAGGGAGTCTGGTATCACCCTTATCTTAATGTTGCCCTTTTTTCCTGTTGCCCAAATTCTGTCGATTTTATGTCCTAAACTGACCAATTTGTTACCATTTTATTTTTTCACATGGTAAAAGACCATTGTAGGCAAATGTAATCCCTTACTTTTGTAAACCAAGTGAGAATTCTGCTGTGCTAGGCATTATATTGAGACTTCTTGCAGGCCATGTTACTAATTCACATATGAGAGCCTGAATAGGTAATAATTACAACTATGGTGATAATAATGAAGAAAAGGTTTTTCAGATTGTTGTGCCCATTATTACGGTAACTCCCCTTCACGTTTCTGTCGTGCAGCCGGAGATACATCATCACAAGTTATCCCTTGATGTTTCACTTGGAGGGTGCGACAACAGCCAAGCCGCAGCCTCCACTACCTGCAATGAAACCACAAATAGTTTATTTACAACAATGAATTACAGCTGTGTCAGAGAATGATTCATGACGCTACAGTTAATAGGTACCCTTTTCATTTGTCATTTTCAATTTACAATTCACTTCCCTGTCCTATAAGCATGTTAATTGTATTAACCCCTTATGGACACAACTTCTGGAATAAAAGGGAATCATGACGGAATATTTCCGTCATGTGTCCTTAAGGAGTTAAAAGAGAGTTACTGTGTGCATTCCTGGCACAATGCAAAGCTGGACCTATTAAGCAGTAAAATCTTAACAATTTAGTATGGGAATGGGAACTCATCAAACTGTTTCCAAAATCAAAATGTCTCCTCACTTTTTGCTCCTTTTCATTTACAATATGAACGGACTCTTCCTCCTGTCACTTTCATGATGTGAACCCCCTGTTTTTGTCTGCATTTCCACCATTCTCTCTTTCCTGTATGTCTCATGTCAAGAACACCTGATGTGGTGATAGGTTTTGCACATCTTTTTAATATTGTCCATGGTGTAAAAAAACATAAAATACACACTCACGGGCATTAATTAACCAAGTTTGGTTTATTTCTAAGCATCCTTCAGTACATTGCAGACTTCCCAGCATTTTAAATGGACAAAGAGGGACACTCGAGTTTTAGGGGTGTGGACCATGGGCGGAGCTGTTCTGAGAAATTTTAGGTGACTTACTAATAACAATTTTTGCACCTAAAATATAATTTAGAGCAATAATAATGCATCTTATTTACACAGACTCACTTCTAAGCACGTTTTGCAGCTTAGCCCCCTAAGGACACAACTTCTAGAATAAAAGGGAATCATGACAGAATATTTCCATCATGTGTCCTTAAGAGGTTAACATTACTGTAAATCATTGCTGTGGAGCCCCGTTATACACCTGGACACACCAATAGGGGTGGACTAAGCACTCTGGCATATCGGTCATTGACCGGGCTTTCTCCTAATTTCATTTTTTAAATCGGAAAAGAATTCCCATTCAGAAAACTGTTCTGCTGTAATTAGTGGGTCCATCTGATGGCAGTGCCCTGTTCAATAAAATGCACTCTGTTCTTACCCAGGTTGTGTAGCACAGCCAATGTATTAAGGCAGCCTACAGCTATGGTGTGGATAGGGTGGGGACATGACACTTGAATGTCTCCTGTTTCACACACAATTCAGCCATTTACTGGAGACAGAGTGTTTGGGCTGGGCAGAGGGGAGAGTCCAACAGATAAAAGCAGGATAGATGTACAGTTCCAGCTCGGCCACACTACACAAGGAATGGAGAGGAATTAAATATAATGGTATAGGGAGTAAAGGATGAATAGGGATAGACACAAAAAGGGATATAGTAAAGGAGGGATAGGTATAGACACAAGAAAGAGAAATGCAGAAGGAAAGGGGAGGAAAACAAAATCTGTGTTTTCTGAACACACATCCATATTAATGGGCAACACATACATTTATACATTTGGTATTTACAAATCAAACTATTACTGTTATATAGTGAAAGAAAAAATTGTGGGGTGCAGTGAGGGGGGAGTTAGACGTTGCCAGATAGATAATGCCGTGGGGAAAATGGGGAAACCAGAAATTGCATCACACAACTCTTGCTCTTTGTTTGCACAAACACCCGAATATTACTCACACTTACTTCACAGATACTTCCCACACAAATAACACCCATACAACAACAATATATATTAACACACTGCATTTCCACACATCATATACGAATAGATTTTGCACAACACACAAAGGCATTCTTACATTCAACCATTTAAATGTGTTATTGAATTCATGCATGCAGATATTACAGACAAATGCACACATATATTTACAGTAACACTGTATGCATATACATAAATACATCTGCAGTTGTACTAGAAACATAAACAAGTACTTACACTCACAATACACACAGCCAAACATACTTTCATACACATTCCCTTTACACTAAATGCACACATACAAATACACATAAAATGTGTATTTACTAAACTTTAAAATAGTCAAAATGTGTACATTGTAGGCCAAAATAGCCAATTAAAAACATTTTCCATCCCCAATATTTTTTAGCTATAAACATATGGCCCATCTTTTTGAAGTTTCAGTAAAGTTCAGTTAACATGTTATTTGTATTTAATGTGTAAGCTTTGTTTCTCACATCATACCACAAGTAAATGACTGATCTCAGCATGTTCTTGCATTTTACACAACATAAATTTTAATATGGGACAGTGGAAGGCAAAAGTCTGATATACATGTATAATTAGGAAAATAATTCTATAATGTAAAAAAAAGTGTTATGGTGAATCAATTTTTAATAAGACTGTTTGTAGCCTGTTATTTAAATCAGGAAACATTAATACCTACTGTTGACTTGTTGACTTGTCTAAAAGTTTTACATAAGTGTTCATCACACAGGCGTATGATTTTTATATGATTTATATAGAATGAGAACCAAAATGCGCTTATGATTCCTTTTTAAAATGATATATATATTTTACTGTGCTTCCTGTAGAGATAAACTGATAAGATAGGCACACACATAATATCTGCTTGCATATCCATTAAATAATGTAACGTTTTTTATCTGCTAGTCTGCTATAGTTATTCTTTCACCAGATTACAATGATATAGGTGCTTGTTTAGTCATTAAGCCTCATCATGGGTATCCATGGTCATTTCTATATGTTCAAGCACCAATACATCCCCAGTACCTAATAAAACACATTAGTACCATTTTCTTAAACATCGCTGACATGTTTACATGACCTTGAACTTCACAGGTGAAAATTCTGAACCAAAGGTGATTAATCATCCTATGCACCAAAAAAAGTAATAGATAGTAATAGTAGATCCCTGGAAAGAATTTACCTTCAACATTTTTTAAAATAGCAGTAACTAACTCTGTGTAAATTGCACAGGCGGTACCCTCCTCTTTCCTCACCTCCTTCCTCTCCTTTTCCTTCTTCTATTTTTTTTTCTTAGACTAATGCATATTCTGTCTAATTTGTACACTGTATTTCTACGTCTGCTTCTTTTAAATAAAGAAATAAAAAAAACAGTAATAGATACACAAATAGCAGTATTGTTTTGCTTGTCTTTTTGTTTCTCTTATAAAGATATTTTTGATACTCCGTCTGCTGCTCTTATGGCTAACTGCTCTCCCTGTTGTGTCATTCGTGATTTATATATTTATTGAAACATTAGATATGGATCTATGCATATATATCACATTTAAAGTTATAGTTTAGTTTTGACACTGCATTTTTTTTAATTGCATTTAACACATTAATTTTGCATTATATATATATATATATTTTCACAATGCCCTTATTATTATTTAATTTACACTTCACCTTATTTAGCATTAGCACTATTTGATTTGACTCCCACGTTGGATTAGTGTAGGACCCACCGATATTGGGGTACTATGAAGTAGTGGTGGGCTCAACACCATATGGCCATATGGTGGAACTGAATCCCCATATTCATTTGCTGATATAGGCGATTTTAAGTATCCTCATAGAATTTAGAAATTGATTTTTATGTGTGTGTGCTGTTCTTTTATCTTTGGTCACTACAGCAGAACCATTCCCGTAAGATGCATGTATCGGGTGTGCCCCCAATTCCCTTTTGTCTTTTCTCTTTTAACTATGTCATGCTATATAATGCTACATGTGATCTATTGTCTCACACATTAAAAAAAAGTATTACTTCCTACCTGCAAACAAACACAGACAGACTGACCTTGAGACCAGGGCTGCTGATTGGCTGGAGTTCTGTCTTATCAGCTTTGAGGTAGCAGTATTTGTAAAAAACTAATTGTAAAAAAAAAGCAATATATATGCAAAAATACATTCCTGCTCTATACTGCTACAATGGTGCACATCGTTTAACCTTTGCTAAGTCCTTGGGTAAGCACAGTAGCTCTATTACACAATACATCCTACCCTACTCCACCATATGACATATTTCTGTTTTGTTTTGTGAACAGTGAACTAAAAATGTTCCAGTACACTAAACAGTACTGAACAGTACACTAAAAATGTTCCTTTTAGAAAAATGTCATCATGTAATTTCTGGCCACCTGTCCAACAGACGTATAGCTGGGTACTTCCATATGGCTTACCAGGAATGGATCATACAGTTCAAAACATCACATTTGCAAAACATTGTAAGAGATACTTTAAGCGAGCACATTAATTGAGATTAGTTGTTCAAAACAAGTCAGATAAGCTTCTGCAATAACATAGTAATATGACACATGAGATGTGAAACGTTAGATTATAGTTTTGCAGTATCACGAGGAATGCATATGAATGGCAGAGTCCCTCCTCAATCACATCAGTCGAGTACAACTCATATGAAGTCATTTATTTATCACTAAGTGTGTAGATTTGTTCAACTGCCTAAATGCAACACCCGAGGCTTTCACGAAAAAGAGGAAGGATTTCTTCAACAAGTTAGAGCCCAGAACTTGCCGGCAAAGCATAGTACAGCTATATATCACTCTCCGATTTTCTTATATACTCTTCTGGCCTCAGGCTACAAGAACTGTCTGGACCTGAAAGGACAATTCTCCATGTCTCTGCATGTCACATGTTACATTCACTTCTAATTTCAACATACTTCATACAGACAGAATTAGAATACAAAGATTGATTCTAAAAAAGCATCACAGAATTCAGTTTAACCCCTTTATGGTGCTGCTTAGCAGCACCATTAGGATTTGTGTGATGTGATATAACCTTGCGTACAGCTGTTAGCTGGAGTACTATGCAATTCAGAAAAAAAAGGATCATATTAATTACTGGCCTACAATGCTAGGATGTTTGTAGTCTTATCATACAAAATCAAGCCCTGTACTCAAACTCCCACTACCCTTGGCTATAGTATTTATCAGCCAAAATAAATAGAACAAAGCCAAAAACAAGGTACCACCTCAAAATCCCAGATCCCTATGCATATTTAAATAACAGGATGTTTTTAGCACAATTCCAATGTCCATTAAAGTGTCCAGGCTGATGAGCACAGGGCTTAATTTTTATATGCTTGCATTTGGTTCTACATTACACAGCTATGATACAGTGCTGACCCACATCCCATGTGTGTAATGTTAAGGGTTAATAAATGTGTTGGGGTTTATAAAAAATACTCCTTTCTGTCTCCTCTGTACATTTTGCCACTTAGTCGAAAGCAGCAAGGTGAATTATTAATGTGGGACGAACCCAAAGAGGATTGTCTTAACGGAGCAGGTGAACTCCTTCTTTAATGGCCACTCGAGTGGTACTAAAAGTCTTCTGTTGGGGGCCGGAGCCTGACAGCCAAATGGAGCAGACGTGTGCCATAAGAGCTCCTGCATAAGCTACCGTGGGCCCGGGGATATTCCCGACCCTAACGACTCTACAAGCACAGCCTAGCATTAATCTTGCAGAGGAGGCTTCGGTGATTCGGGAGACACACTCACTCGAGTGTCCCCGCAACTGACTGCTCAAATCGAGGCCTTGAGGCCTACATACGAGGTACAGCAAAGCAGCACTTGTTGGAATTTGGAATGACCAATAATTAGACATAATAATATCAATTTAAATAACTGATTACAGTTATCAATCTAAAATGGTTCTCCATCCTGAAGATGTCAACACGTATGGGGTTCAACCCTTATGTCTGGTTTTCCCTGTGTCCACTATACTTCTATAATAATAGTTTATACCTAGATGAAATGTGATTATACAATTTTTTCTAGAAGTTCAATAGATATTTAGGTGGACACTTCTATGTGGCTTATATGTAACACAGTGTTAGAAGAAGAAACAATTTAAGTGAAACTGGTAGTGCAAAACTAGTAATATAAAGGGGCATGTAAACTATTAAACTATCATAAACTACTGTAAACTACTTGGAGAAATATACTTTGATGTAGAAATATTTTGGAATAAAAAAATAAATAAATATTATAGAAATACATAGGTTCAAACAATGTGGTTCCTTCATAGTAAAAGGTTAAATGCTGATAATGGACTTGCCAACTATCAGAATCATAAGAGATGGATTGATACAGACCCAAGACAAGTCAAGCAGGCAGCTGTAGTAAAAACAGCTAATGAAACTATGATTAATATTGAAGTAATACAGGTAATACAGGTTATATATAATATGTAATATTTGCACTACAAAAGTGTTTGTAGAGCAGAACTCCAGTCTCGCTTTGGCTAATATATGCTAAGATGAGACACTACAAAATTAAGATTGATAAAGATATGTGACCAAATTAAATTCAGATATATCTTGTTTCAGAGCTGGATTAAGTGACTACTAGAAGTCTACGAGGGAGATTTATAAAAGTGGTCTAAAGTACTAAAAGTGGAGAAATAGCCATGGAAATAAGTAGAAACAATAGGCACATTCCATTGGTGACTCCTCCCCTGTTACATTTTTGCTTTACTGCATAAAACAGAACACTTTGATAAATCTTTCCCCTCCCATGTTTTTCGCCAGTATTTAATACATTTTGTCCTGTAATGGATGGACTCGTAATCAGATGGTGGATGCTGTAGAAATCATGAAGAGAACGCCTTGGCGTTCCAGTTTTGAGAGGACATTAATTAATGACTTCCAAAACTGGAACGCAAAGGCGTTCCAAGCATAGAACTGGACTGTCCAATCTCAATAAAGTTTGTTGTCTTTCCAAACGAGCCGATACACAGACACGGCTCGCATAGAGATAATACACCCGGAAGTGATGTCATGAATAGTTGTGCTGGAACGCACGTTGCGTTCCATTCAACGGAACTCGGAATCCAAAAAAACAGTTAAGGGTAAAAAAGCACCGAACACTCTGTAGAAGAAGGATCCGGACATCCTGGAATGGTCCAAAGACGCATACAATCCGAGTCATATAAGGGTATGACTCCAGGCTTGTGAGTGACACCACTCTTGTCTTTTACTATATAATCATTTTACCAATACTGTATTGCACTATTGTTGTATAAGTTTATTTTACAGAATATCTGTCGAACTACTGCTTAGAAGCTCCATCTTTTGTATGCATGTATGTATTGTGAGTCATTTGCAAATTTAAAACCAGAAAGCATAGCCGATTTAGAGAATGTTTCTATTTCAGCTGTTTTGACCTTAAATTTGAAATTCACTTTGAAAACTCAATATAGTAAATAACTCTGATAGCGTTTCAACTAAAGATGGAAACTGCACAGAGCAATGTCACCAGCAAGTGAAAAGAAAGTAAAAAAAAAAAAAAAGTGATACTCCAAATGGACTAAGTGGGATTGCAATGATGGAATATGTGCTCAAAAATAATTTGGGAGACTTATCAACTCCAAACTCTGTAAATGGACAGCATGTTAAATTCTCACAAAATATCACCTTGCATAAAAAAGGATTATTAATACAAAAGTTAGAAGGATAACCTCTCCACTATACACAGCATATATTAAATCTCTTTTCAAATGTATAATATACATTTTAAAAATGTATAACAAAAGACTACAAAGTGAATGGGTCATTTTACAAAGGTGACAAACTGGATTTATTTATATTGCATCTCATTTATATACAAATATATCCAACAATTCAGATTCTTTGCAATGAGTACAGTAAGGCTCTTTAAAACAAAACTAAGAGAAATACACTCAAATTCTGGATATTTTTAACATAGATGTAGCTATTTCTGTAAACGAAGACTTCACTTGGCTAATGATTCAGTTATTAATGTGACTACACTAGGGGTTAATTTAGCTGCCCTAGGAGTCATGACCCTTCCAACCCAACCTTTTGACCAACATTATTAATAACTGAAAAGAAAGGAATTGTTTGACTTTTTCTTAACAAGGAAGACAGAAAAGGTTAAATATGAGGGCATTACAGATTTTTTATCTTTCAAATGTCTTGTTACAGCCAGGCAGCGGTAACAAAGATGGGCTAACCAGCACATTTAAATACTTCTGAAGTTGTATTGTCCAGCTGCATGACAGGTCTCATTTAAGGAGTGCAAATTGATATGCTATGAGCTGCTAAATAGGCCTGTTGCACAGCTGTAGCCATTAGATAAAGAGTGGATTTGCTTTAAAGAGGGTTCTAACCCGATCTTATTGCTAGTCAGCCTTAGGGATAATAGAAAAATATATATTTTTAGAAATGCAAAATAACTATTCTAATTGGAAAACATCTGCTATAGAAAAATCCCTTAGTGAAGCTCAGCAAGAAAATATTTGGGGAAAAAATAATAAAAAATGGGAAAGCTCCACAGCCTTTGTCACCATTGTCATTGGTCACCTAGTACTCACCTCCTAGCAGTGTGCGTCACTTCCTGTAGCATCGCACATCAGTTCTGTGTTTACTGATGTGGGATCCCCAGAGTCATCCAAGTACTGTGAAACCCCCCTTGAGGTCCTTACCATGTGAATGCGTGTGATTTGAAATGCAGGACATAGGAAGGACAAAAAAACTAAATTACGGCAACCGCCATCTTGTAAATGGCAAGATGGTGGCAAGGTGAATGAAGACTTCTGAATGGATGTAAGTTTGACAGAGCTCCCGCACTCTGATTGAGTTCCTCCACCAGGTTCACTTCCTCCCTCCACAGGGGACTCTGAAGTACTTCAGACCCTGTTGTCGAAGTTTGACTGGTCTCTCATTAGAACTATTCTAGCCAGCCAGGCTGCAGCTCTCTTCTTCCAGGCAGGTATCGTGTCCTCTGGCTTTTGAGCTTCTTTCCTAGATGGGTTTTCACACATTATGTCTGTAATGTGAATAGCTCCTGCCTTTAAAAAGGGCTAGAGGGACTGTGCAGCCAGCCAACAAGTCCAAATACTCTGTTACTGGGATCCCTGAACAAATCCACACAGGACACACAGTTCCAAAATGAACTAACATACAATACTTTAATTTTAAGCTAGGACTGGTCTTTGGGGACAATTAAACATTTGGTGACAACAATAGAAATATAAACATATGCAAGGTAAAGAACAAGCAACATAATCATTTCTCAAATATATAACATATTTACAACTTTCCAAACTATGTGAAAACATAAATATATAGCTGGAACTTTCCTAATTTGCACATTGTAATTATACAAATCAATGCATTGTCCAGTTTCTATCAACATAGGACAATAGAAAGCCTGAACGAATCCCCTCTTGAGACAAAGATATCCCAACCTCAAAAAATCCAAACCAGGGAAGAAAGCAGTCTGAAGGATTCCCGTACATTTGCCTCCCCAAAATAGAACCCCATTCCAGGCCAGAGCCCATGGTCAATAGGAAGGAGGCTGACTGCAGTCCTCTACAAGTACCAAGGTAACAGAAGATTCTATTACACTAAGTAGCACTGGTCCCAGGGTAATTAAATGTTATCAGGGGTCAGGGGAGCTATAGAAAGGATGGTGAGTGGCGGTAGAGTAACTACCGGGAGCGACAGTACAAATGCCCCGGGTGACCCAATGGACATCTTTGATCAGGGTGTCTGTCAAGCACTGAGGTCCTTTAACAGTGTGACCAGGCTCCTGCTCAGTAAAGCCACAGTGCTGGGAGGAAGGGAGTACAAGTCACTTCCTTCCAATTAACCAACGAGTCTCACAGGTAAGAGAGAGAAGGGACAACAACATAGAGGAGGGAGAGCACTGACCAACCTGCCATCAGACCCAGCCGGCTGCCACTGCACCTAAAAGGTATGGAAGCAGGGAGGTGGCTAAAAATATGTAAATTGCGACCTTTGTGTGTATATGTTTGTGTGTGTGTGTATGTTATCTGTGTGTGAAAAATTTATGTACGTGCTATCTGTGTGTGTCTGTATGTGTCATTTACGTATATGTGTTATATGTGTGTGTATGTGTGCCAGTGTGTATAAATGTGTGCATCTGTGTGTCAGTCTCTCTGTGTGTATGAGTTAGTGTGTATTTGGGTGTGTCTGTGTATATGTATGTATCTATGTGTGTAAGTGTCAGTACGTATCTGTGAGGAGGAATCAGTGTGTATCTGTGTATGCAGGGCCGGATTGGGACGAAAATTCAGCCCTGACAGTTAATGGCAGAGCATATAAACAGAGCTGGAAGCGCACTCTACCCCTCACGATGGAATCCAGGGTGCTTCATGGAAAGTCCCAGTACCCAGTCAGGACCAATAGTAGATAATTGTAGAAAATAATCCAGGCACTCCAATAGATTCCAAGATTAAGGCAATTTATTTGAACCAAGAACTACAAAGCAATGTTTCAGCCCTAACAGGGCTTTTTTCAAGCTTGAAAAAAGCCCTGTTAGGGCTGAAACATTGCTTTGTAGTTCTTGAAAAAAGCCCTGTTAGGGCTGAAACATTGCTTTGTAGTTCTTGGTTCAAATAAATTGCCTTAATCTTGGAATCTATTGGAGTGCCTGGATTATTTTCTACAGTTAATGGCAGAGCAGCTGTAAGAGGCGGGGCCAAAAAGGTGGTGTGTTAATTGTGTGTATGCGAATATAGAGTAGTGTGTGCATAGAGTGTGTGTGTGTGAATGCATGGGGGTGTAGTGTATATAAGGGATATAGAGTGTGTAGTGGGTGAGTAGTGTATGTTTACAGGGGGTATAGAGAGTGTGAGTGCAGAGAGTTTAGGGTATGTTTAGGTGGTATAGAGTTTGTGTACTGTGTATATGTGAGTGAAGGGTGTATGGGGTGTGTACAAGGGTTATAGAGTGTGTGTAATGTGTTTGTGTGTAAATGAGGGGGTGTCGTGTGTGTATTTAAAGGGGTATCGAGAGTGCCTAGTGTGTGTGTAAATGCAGAGGGTGTATATAAGGGGTATAGAGAGTGTGTTGTATGCAAGTGCCGGGGGTGTAGTGTGTCAATAGGGGGCAGGATGGCAGGCGGTGTAGTCGATTAATATGGGGTAAGATGGCAGGGGATGTAGTGGGTTAATAGGACTTATGATGGCGAGGGTGTAGTGGGTTAATAGGGAGTATGATGGCAGAGTATGTAGTGGGTTATTTGGGGGGTATGATGGCAGGGGGTGTAGTGGGTTAATAGAAGGTATGATGGCCGGGGGGTGTAGTGGGTTAATAGATGGTATGAAGGCAGGTGGTGTAGTAGGTTAATAGATGGTATGAAACAGGGGGTGTAAGAGCAATTAATGCAAGTAGAATGCAAAACACTCAAAAATAGGTACTCAGGTTAAAAAGTAATCTAGATTTGAAGATGGATATCTCAATGTGTTAATTGGCTGAAGTGTGTGTGTGTGTGTGTGTGTGTGTGTTATGAATGAATGCATGCATGTTTTATTTTGCCAAATTAAGTTTTCAGATAAACAAAGAACAAGGCAACAATAAATAGAATTATCAATTAGCAAGTTTCCAGTGTTTTTGCTGCTTAATCAATGTAATCATCAAAATATATATAATCCACTCCCCCTCTCTCTAATTACCTTGCCGGGGTACAGGGGAGCAGGCTGATGATGATCCTTGGTGGTACAGCCGGCTGGTCATTTGGTCTGTACCTCCGCAGGGTACAGACCATGCTTCTCCCTCTCGCGAGTGACGGTATTAGCGAGTATTGCCGCCGGGTATCATGGCAACGCTTGGATAATATCAGAGCTCACGAGAGGGAGACAGGAAGGCATGCATGGATTCATGAACCTTTCCTGTGATATCCCCTGCCGGCCTCGGGCCACGCCCTTCGCGGCCCACCGGGCATTTGCCCGGTTTGCCAGTTGGCCAGTCCGGGCCTGTGTGTACGTGTATGAGTCAGTATGTATCTCTGTGTGTCAGTCTGTGTGTGTATCTGAGTGTGTATGTGTCAACAATTATTTTTTTCTATTACATTATGACGTGCTTATTCATAAAAAAATGTAATGCTCTTTATCTACAAATAGTATAGTCAACTGATAGTGTAGATTTAGTCGCTGTTACTGAGACATGGTATAATGAGAAAAATGACTGGGACATAGCAATACCAGGATACTCTTTATATAGAAAAGACAGGGAAGGCAAGAAAGGGGAAGGGGTGGCCCTGTATGTGAAGGATAGCATAAAATCTAGCCTAATAAAAGTTAGTGAGGCGAACATAGAGTCCGTTTGGGTTACGTTAGAATTTGGTAATCACACAGTAACTCGTGTAGGTGTGATTTATAGGCCCCCAGGACAAATTGAAGAGTTAGATAATCTACTAGTTGAGGAAGTAGCTAAAATGATAATGAAGGGAGAAGTTATCATCATGGGTGACTTTAATCTTCCTGATGTGAATTGGAAAACAAAAATAGCTGCTTGTGCCAGGAGCACACATATTCTAAACTCCCTACTGGGATTGTCTCTAAAATAAGTTGTTGAGGAGCCAACTCGTAAAGAGGCCATACTAGATTCAGTGTTAACAAATGGAGATTTGGTATCAGATATTACTGTAGGTGAAAGTTTAGGATCAAGTTATCATCAGTCAGTGTGGTTTAATATAAGAACAGTGACTGAGTCACAACACACAAAAACAAAAGTTTTAGACTTTAGAAAAACAGACTTTTCTAAAATTAGAATATGTGTAGGGGAGTCATTATTAGCCTGGAGCAATTTAAATGGAGTCCAAGAGAAATGGGATTATTTAAAAGTTGCACTACTGAAGGCAACAGAAAATTGCATTAGGCTTGTCAGTAAAAGCAAAAAATTCAAGAAACCACTGTGGTACTCCGCAGATGTGGCCAAAATAGTTAAAAACAAAAAGTTAACATTTAGTAATTATAAAAAAAACCCAGAGTGAGGAAGACAAAATGATCTATAAGATTAGGCAGAAAGAGGCTAAGCAAGTTATAAGAGCTTCCAAATCACACACAGAAGAGAAAATAGCACAGTCAGTAAAAAAGGGGGACAAAACTTTTTTTAGATACATAAATGAGAAAAGAAAAGTAAAACAAGGATTAGTTAGATTAAAAACAAAAGAAGGAAGGTATGTAGAAGAGGATAAAGGTCTAGTTGACTGCCTCAATGAATATTTTTGTTCAGTATTTACAGATGAAAATGAAGGAAAGGGACCTCAGTTAGGAAAAATTACAAATGAGTCATTTATTACATGTGAGTTTACAGAGGAAGAGGTTCTATTTCAACTGTCAAAAGTAAAGACAAATAAGTCAATGGGACCTGATGGAATACACCCAAAGCTATTAAAAGTGCTTAGTGTTGTACTAGCAAAACCATTAACAGATTTATTTAACCAATCATTGTTAACAGGAGTAGTCCCAGAAGATTGGAAGTTAGCGAATGTTGTGCCCGTTCACAAGAAAGGTAATAGGGAGGAGTCTGGCAACTATAGACCAGTAAGCCTTACTTCAGTAGTGGGGAAAGTGATGGAAACCATGTTAAAGGATAGGATTGTTGAACATCTAAAAACACATGGATTTCAAGATCAGAGACAACATGGGTTTACTTCAGGGAGATCATGCCAAACTAATCTTATTGATTTTTTGATTGGGTAACTAAAATTATAGATCAGGGTGGTGCAGTAGACATTGCTTACCTAGATTTCAGTAAGGCTTTTGACACTGTTGCACATAGAAGGCTTATCAATAAACTGCAATCTTTAAGTTTGGATTCCAATATTGTTGAATGGGTAAGGCAGTGGCTGAGTGACAGGCAACAGAGGGTTGTAGTCAATGGAATATATTCGAAGCTTGGACTTGTCACCAGTGGGGTACCTCAGGGATCTGTACTTGGACCCATTCTCTTTAATATTTTTATTAGTGATATTGCAGAAGGTCTTGATGGTAAGGTATGTCTTTTTGCTGATGATACTAAGATATGTAACAGGGTTGATGTTCCAGGATGGATAAGCCAAATGGCAAATGATTTAGGTAAACTAGAAAAATGGTCAGAATTGTGGAAACTGACATTCAATGTGGATAAGTGCAAGATAATGCATCTTGGACGTAAACCCAAGGGCAGAGTACAGAATATTTGATAGAGTTCTAACCTCAACATCTGAGGAAAGGGATTTAGGGGTGATTATTTCTGATGACTTAAAGGTAGGCAGACAATGTAATAGAGCAGCAGGAAATGCTAGCAGAATGCTTGTTGTATAGGGAGAGGTATTAGCAGTAGAAAGAGGGAAGTGCTCATGCCATTGTACAGAACACTGGTGAGACCTCACTTGGAGTATTGTACACAGTACTGGAGACCGTATCTTCAGAAGGATATTGATACCTTAGAGAGAGTTCAGAGAAGGGCTACTAAACTGGTTCATGGATTGCGGGATAAAACTTACCAGGAAAGGTTAAAGGATCTTAACATGTATAGCTTGGAGGAAAGACGAGACAGGGGGGATATGATAGAAACATTTAAATACATAAAGGGAATCAATACAGTAAAGGAGGAGACTATATTTAAAAGAAGAAAAACTACCACAACAAGAGGACATAGTCTTAAATTAGAGGGACAAAGGTTTAAAAATAATATCAGGAAGTATTACTTTACTGAGAGGGTAGTGGATGCATGGAATAGCCTTCCAGCTGAAGTGGTAGAGGTTAACAAAGTAAAGGAGTTTAAGCATGTGTGGGATAGGTATAAGGCTATCCTAACTATAAGATAAGGCCAGGGACTAATGAAAGTATTTAGAAAATTGGGCAGACTAGATTGGCCAAATGGTTCTTATCTACCGTCACATTCTATGTTTCTATGTTACTTGCGTTCAATTAGGCATATAACCAGATGGACAGGGTGAATGGGTGTTGGGGTTGGTGATACATGGGGGGGCAAAATTTTGTTCTGCCCAGGAGACGGTGACTCTGGTTACACCACTGGTGACAGTGCTGATTTATAGGACCACTATAGGCACCCAGACCACTTCAGCTTAATGAAGTGGTCTGGGTGCCTGGTCCAGCTAGGGTTAACCCTTTTTTTATTAACATGTTTACATTGAGGGTTAATCCAGCCTCTAGAGCCTCTAGTGGCTGTCTCATTGACAGCCGCTAGAGGCGCTTGCGTGCTTCTCACTGTGAAAATCACAGTGAGAAGACACCAGCATCCATAGGAAGGCATTGATAATGCTTTCCTATGAACTGGCTGAATGCGCGCGTGGCCGCGCATGCACATTCAGCCGATGACGTCGCTAGGAAGGAGGAGAGGTGGAGGAAAACTCCCCGCCCGGCGCTGGAGAAAGGTAAGATTTTAACCCCTCCCTTTCCCCAGAGCTCGGCGGGAGGGGGACCCTGAGGGTGGAGGCACCCTCAGGGCACTATAGTGCCAGGAAAACGAGTATGTTTTCCTAGCACTATAGTGGTCCTTTAAGAATACAGAATTGAGGGGGAACACTATAAACTGTAATATTTTATGGTCTGTAAAGGATGAAAGAATAATTGGATATTTATAATTGGGTAATTAATGTCATTTTAGTTATTTCTAAACAAATATTTTATTAAAAAAATTTTTTTACTTCCATATGCATGGAAGTAATGCTGAAAATGTTTCAAATACATTTTATGTTCATTTTTTTTTAAGTTAATGAAGGCTTAAATGCATTTGGGCTCTTGTTTTACAGACAGTATGTTTTGAAATCACATTTGTGCGGTAGTAGCCAGAATATAAATATTACTGCTTTTATAGTGTGTGACAATACTTACGTACCAAAGTAAGACAATAAAATATGTGGAGGGGGCTTGTGATCGTGCATTTACTGGCCCAGAGCAACCTGGAGGTGTAGCAGTCACTCAGCAAGTCTGAGGAAGCTTCAGTCAGCCACTGTCTCGCTGTTATCACTTTCCTTTCATCTCTGACAAAATGATATGGGAGTACACAGAGGGAAAACACAGTCTTAGAGACCCGTGTCCCAAGGCCACCTTTCTGTATCTAATAACGTTGACAGAGATATTGTGTTCATTATTGTAATTATTGTACAAGGTAAGACAAATACAGATGATGTAAATGCACAACTATTTATAGGCAAAATTTGAATTTGTAGGATTAATGTATCCTTTTTATTTTTAGTGAATCCTGACTGCCTTTTTAATTTGGAGGAGGGATGTGGAAATTTTTTGTGGAAAAGAAGGAAGATATTAGACAAGGGAAGAATATGATACTTTTGCTAAAACGAGTAGCTTCCCTTTCAGGTAGTCCTCACTCAGGTCTCAAACAGGTTTTGCTCACTTGGGCCACCACAGAGATAATCTACTACACTCACATATCAGACTGATTCCACCCATAATGGCAGCCGTGCATCTCCAGATAATTTTTTCAGACTCCATTGGACTCTTAGGTGAGGTGTAGCTCATAAACCTCTAGAGTCTAGACACTATGAGAAAGGATCCAAGTCTCTAATACAATGTTTGTATTACTATCATTTGTTATACAAAAATTTTAAAAACTTTAATAAAAATTATTTGAAAAGAAAGGGTCCATGTCTGGATTAACCATTTTACAAAGAGAAACCCTAAGGAAATGTTTTAGAGCAAAAACAAACAGAAGATACAAAACAGAGTAAATTGCAAAAACTCAATAGCTTTTCCCTGTTATTCCTCATTCAAGTCTCAAACAAGTTTTTGTTTGTTAAATAATCAGAGTAGAAGTACAGAATCTAATAAGCAATTAAAGGGTTGACTACTATTGTTAATCATGGTAATATGTTATTCTAGCAATTGCATCTGTCTGCTTTTGTTTTTGTAGAAGAGACAGTGAGTAAAAAGATGGTTTGTCTGCTGTCACTTTATAGTTTGTTTTTTTACTCCGCCATGTGCTTCATGTTAGTACATATTAAATGTCATCTCTATGGGAAAATAAAAGGGGCAGTGAATGCATTCCATGGCCAAATGACACAGTGCCAATCAAATGTGGCAGGCTTACTATTTCAAATATGTAAACATTATGCTTTAAATCAATGTGATTAAGAGATTATACATAGCATACATTCAACCGTGCATACTTAAATGTGTTTGAAATGGAAAAATGTCAAGGCTTTTAATTAACAGAAATATAAAGGCCAACCTGTAATTCAGAACATTTTTTGTACATTAAATAAAAAGCTACAAGTGTGTATTAAATTATAGTAAATCAAGTTAAAGGCCAGATCCCTAACACAAAAGAAAAAAAGGCACGCTCTCTCTTTCTCGATGTCTTCCTTCAAAACCGTTAATCGAAATAACATACAGACTTGGGTAAATAATTGGTAGAGTAGAAACAAAAACTCTGTACAGTCTCATGGGTTTTATGCTATAAGGCAGTGGCTCATGAGCATGTGTTAGAGTATATTATTATTAGCATATATATTGCGCCAGCATATTCCACAGTGCTTTACAATTTTAGCATATTAGCATCTTAACTAGAGATGAGCGAACCTGAACTGTAAAGTTCGGGTTCGTACCGAACATTACGATTTTTGGACCCCGAACCCGAACACGGACATTTCAGTAACAGTTCGAGTTCGGTATTCGGCGATTTAATGGCGCGTTTTGAAAAGCTGCAGGGCAGCCAATCAACAAGCTTTTGACTTGTGTGCCCTTAGTAGAGATGAGCGAACCCGAACATTACGATTTTTGGACCCTGAACACGGATATTTAACAACACAGTAACACAGTAAAGGTGTTTAAGCATGCGTGGGATAGGCATAAGGCTATCCTAACGATAAGATAAGGCTAGGGACTAATGAAAGTATTTTGAAAATTGGGAAGACTAGATGGGCCAAATGGTTCTTATCTGCCGTCACATTCTATGTTTCTATGTTTCTATATTTCAGTAAAAGTTCGGGTTCGAGTTCAGTGTTCGGCGATTTAATGGCGCGTTTTGAAAAGCTGACTCGTGTGCCCTTAGAAGCCATCACAGCCATGCCTACTAATGGCATGGCTGTGATTGGCCAGTGCAGTATGTGACCCAGCCTCTATATAAGCTGGATTCACATGAGCTCTTATTAGTGTAGGGAGAGGAGGCTGCAGCTGTGAGGGACAGATTAGGAAAGAATTCTGGTGTTGAATCTGTAAACTACAGCAATTATTTTTGTGGGTGCTATACTACATTTTTGTACCCTGCCCTGAGCCCAGTGCCACAAAGAAATAAGCAATCAATCTGTTTGTTAGGTGGAAACTTGCAAGTGCATGTGTGCCAGGCACATTACTTTAATCCTGTTCTGGTAGCTCAGTGGGCAACATCTAGGCATTTTTAAATACTGTGGTTACATCGCAGTTTGACCAATTCAATTTATTTGGGTGCTAAAAAGTACATTTGTGGCGTGCACTACGTATCTGAGAGTCAAATAGAACCATCAAACACTGTGGTTACATCGCACTTTTAAAAATTTTAATTTTTTGGGTGCTAAATAGTACATTTGCTGCCTGCAGTGCACTTCATATCTGAGAGTCAAATAGAACTGTCAAATACTATGGTTACATCGCACTTTTAACAATTCACATTTTTTTGGTGCTAAAAAGTAAATTTGGGGCGTGCACTTCATATCTGAGAGTCAAATAGAACCATCAAATACTGTGGTTACATCTCACTTTTGAAAATTATAATTTTTTTGGTGCTAAAAAGTAAATTTGGGGCATGCACTTCATATCTGAGAGTCAAATAGAACCGTTAAATACTGTGGTTACATCGCAGTTTGAAAAATTAAAAATTTTTGGGTGCTAAATAGTACATTTTCTGCCTGCGCTGCACTTCATATCTGAGAGTCAAATAGAGCCGCCAAATACTGTGCTTACATTGCACTTTTAAAAATTCTCATTCTTTTTGTGCTTAAAAGTAAATTTGGGGTGTGCACTTCATATCTGAGAGTCAAATAGAACCGTCAAATACTGTGGTTACATCGCACTTTGAAAAATTCAAATTTAAACCATCTGTTAGTTTGGTGGGTGAACGCAAGGAATGAGGAGAGCGTCAAATAAGGGACGTGGCCCTGGTTGTGGTGCTGCTGGTTTTGGTGGAGCTCCTGTTGCAGGGAGAGGACGTGGTCGATCTGTGCCAGCTACACGCACAGGTAAAACACCTTCCTCAGGTGAGAGTAGGTGACAGAACCTTCAGCGTTATTTGGTAGGCCCGAATGCCGCTCTACAAATGGTGAGGCCAGAACAAGTATAGGCGATAGAAGATTGGATGGCTGACAGTGCCTCCAGTTCCCTCACATGTCTCCCACCTGGTCCCCTGCTGAAAGCTCAGAGTTGGCACCTACAGCCCATGGCCATCTGTCTTTCACCTCAGCCCCTTGCAAATCAGCCAAGCAGTCTGAGCAACAAGTCATGCTTTTAGATGACTCTGCTCGCGGGGTTTCCGTGGGCCAGCCACCTAGCCCTGCCCCAGAAGTGGAAGAGATTGAGTGCACTGTTGCACAACCACTTATGTGTCAGGATGTGGACATGCAAGGACCACCGCAGCATGTCTCTGATGATGGCGAAACACAGGTGCCAACTACTGAGGCTTTCTGCAAGGAGGGCAGGGTTGAGGTGTGGGTGGAAGATGATGTGGAGGATGATGAGGTCCTAGACCCCACATGGAATCAAGGTCATGCAAGTGACGAGTGCAGTTTGGAGGAAGAGGCGGTGGTCACACAGAGGCACCAGCACAGCTTAAGAGGGAGCAGGGTGCAAAAGCGGAGCGGCCGTCCCCTAGACAGTACGCCTGCTACTGCCCACTGCACCGAGGGACCGAGCACACCAAAGCCAGCTTTAACGAGTTCCCTGGCGTGGCAGTTCTTCAGACAATGTGCTGACGACAAGACATGAGTGGTTTGCACGCTGTGCAATCAGAGCCTGAAGCGAGGCATAAACGTTCTAAACCTGAGCACAACTTGAAGGACCAGGCATCTACATGCAAAGCACGAGCTGCAGTGGAGTAAGCGCCTCAAAAACCAAGAAAGGTCTCAGGCTCCTCCTGCTTCTTATTCTGCTCGGTCTCTTCCTCCACCTCTGGAGTGACAGTGGCACCTGCCACCCCTCAAACAGAGGATGTGGCAGCAATGCCACCATGTCCGCCACCGTCCTCAAGCATCTCCACACTGTCCCATGGAAGCATTCAGCTGTCCATCTCCCAAGCACTGGAGAGAAAGATGAAGTATCCCCCTACCCACCCATGATCCCTGGCCCTGAATGCTAGCATTTCAAAATTTGGGACCTTTGAAATGCTGTTATTCAGTCTGGTGGGGACGGACAGTTTTAAAAACCTGATGGCGGTGGCTGTCCCAAAGTAAGTGGTTCCCAGCCGCCACTACTTTTCCAGGCGAGCCATCCCTTCCCTGCACAACCAATTGGCAGACAAAATCAGGTGTGCACTGTGCAAGGCCATCTGGGGCAAGGTCCACACACTGATACGTGGACCAGTAAACATGGGCAGGGACGCTATATCTCCCTAACTGCACACTGGGAAAATGTAGTGGCGGCTGGGCCTGAGGTGGATATCAGTTTGGCACATGTCCTTCCGCCACCGAGGATTGCAGGGCATTTCTCTTTGCCTCCTGTTGCCGCCTCCTCCTCCTCCTCCGCTTCCTCCTCCTCTACCACTTCCTCATCCAGTCAGCGTAACACCTTCACCACTAACTTCAGAACAGCCAGGGGGAAATGACAGCAGGCCGTTTTAAAACTCATATGTTTGGGGGGAAAAACCCACACCACGCAGGAGCTGTGGATGGGCATGGAACAACAGACCAATGAGTGGTTGTTGCCACTGAGCCTCAAGCCTGACCTGGTGGTGTGCGATAATGGGCGAAATCTCGTAGCAGCTCTGGGCCTAGCCGGTTTGACGCACATTCCTTGCCTGGCGCATGTGCTGAATTTGGTGGTGCAGAAATTCCTGAAAAATTACCCAGATATATCAGAGCTGCTGCAGAAAGTGCGGACCATCTGTGCGCACTTTTGGGGTTCTCACCCTGCTGCTGCTCGCCTGTTTGCACTGCAGCGTAACTTCGGCCTTCCTGCTCACCGCATCATATGCGACGTGCCCACAAGGTGGAACTCCACCTTGCACATGCTGGAGAGGCTGTGCTAGCAGCAGCAGGCGATAGTGGAGCTTCAGCTGCAGCACTTCACCACTAATGAGTGGGCCTCCATGCAAGACCTGTGTGCCATGTTGCACTTTTTTGAGTACTCCACCAACATAGCCAGTGCCGCTGACGCCGTTCTCAGCCTTACTATCCCGCTTCTATGTCTCCTTGAAAAAATGCTTTGGGCGATGATGGAAGAGGATGTGGCACAGGAGGAAGAGGAGGAGGAAGAGGGGTCATTTCCACGGTTATAAGGCCAGTCATTCACAAGTGGCTCAGAGGGTGGGTTCCTGCACCAGCATAGGCCAGGTACACAATTGTCCAGCCAGGGCACAGTTCTGGAGGATGAGGAGGAGGAGGAGGAGGAGGAGGAACCGTGTTCACAGCAGCGTGGCACCCAACGCAGCTCGTGGGCATCACTGAAGCGTGGCTGGGGTGATACGGAGGACACAGCTTGTCCTTGCCTCTGGGCAGCCTGGCACACATGAGCGACTACATGCTGCAGTGCCTGCACAATGACTGCCGAGTTGCCCACATTCTAACTTGTGCTGATTACTGGATGGCCACCCTGCTGGATTCCCATTACAAGGACAACGTGCCATCCTTAATTCCCTCACTGGAGCATGATCGAAAGATGCGCGACTAGAAGCGCACGCTGGTAGACGCGCTGCTGAGGGCATTCCCAACTGACACCGGGGGCTCAGCCGAAGCACAAGGCGAAGGCAGAGGAGGAGGAAGAGGTCGCCAATGCAGCTGGGGCACCGCCAGCACCTCAGAAGGCAGGATTAGCATGGCCGAAATGTGGAAAAGCTTTGTCAGCACGCCACAACAACCAGCACCACCAGCTGATATGGAACGTTTTAGCAGGAGGCAGCATTTCAGCAACATGGTGAAACAAGTACGTGTGCACACGCCTACACGTACTTACTGATGGGTCTGCCCCATTCAAATTCTGGGTCTCCAAATTGGGCACATGGCCTGAGCTTGCCCTTTATGCCTTGGAGGTGCGGGCCTGCCCTGCAGCCAGTGTATTGTCTGAACGTGTGTTTAGCATGGCAGGGAGCATTATGACAGACAGGCGCAGCCACCTGTCCACAGCCAACATGGACAAGCTCACGTTTATTAAAATGAACCAGGCATGGATCCCACTAGACTTGTCTGTACCTTGTGCAGAATAGACATTTATACCAGCCTCACCTAGCCATTGTTATACTCAAATGCACTTATTCTTTGTTTTCTTTTTTTATATGTCCCAATATTTTGGGGGCTACCCCAATTAAAAAAAAAAAAATACAGTGTTGGCTACCTCCTCCGCCTCAACCGCCTCCTCAACCTCCTACTTCACATCCACCTCCTCCTCCTAGTTCAAGATTATTATTTTTAATTTTTATATAATTTATGTTATTTTAAGTTATTTCCCTATCCAGATTTGTTTGCAGGGCACTTGTCCTACTCTTACCCCCATTTTACTTCCTTTTGCAGCCCACTAGCCCTTTCCAGAACTTTTATAGAGCCATTTTAGTACCCAAGTTTGGGTCCCCATTGACTTCAATGGGGTTGGAGTTCGGGGTCAAGTTCGCATCAAGTTCGAGTCCGCTCATCCAGGTATCCGCTCATCTCTAATCTTAACCACTAAAGCAGTCAAAATTAAAACATTTTTTAATTCTTTATTTTATTGTGCATAGGAAAAACAAAGCAAGCAATGCCACAGCTATTGCCTGTTTGTAGATCAACATATGAAGACAATTGTTTGGCATAATTGTACATTGCACATTTTATAATTTAAAGTGGTATCAACAATGTTTAAGTCAGCATGTCAGTTGTAGGGTGAGGCAGACAAGGTACCCTAATTCAATTTAACAGACTGACTGAGTGTAATGTGCTAGTGTCACCTTCTTGACTAATTGAGGCATATCTTAGCTGTGTGCGTTAAACATCAAGATAAACTAAAGATAAACCAAATATGAAATCGCTAGGCATTACATTGCCAACAAAACACAAAAACATGTCAGGTCTGCTTATTAGCTAATAAAGGAAACCTAGGTTACGTTAGCAATATAGAGCTGGCTATTGCTGCTCAATGTTAAACTGTCACGTATTCATCCCCTTATAGAAATGTGGTTAATGACATTTACTGTCCACACAGGAAAAGTTGTGCCGAGCAGCAACCTAATCCACAGAAGGTTTAATGCTGAGCAGTAATTGTGCAAATGAAAACCTGGTGTCATGTATTCATCCGCTTATAGAAAAGTGGTTAATGACATTTACTGTCCACACAGGAAAAGTTGTGCCGAGCAGCAACCTAATCCACAGAAGGGTTAATGCTGAGCAGCAATTATGCAAATGAAACCTGGTAACTGACTTTGGGGTCAAAGGCCGGTTACAGCCTATCAGAACTAAAGGAGGGTTATTTAGGCCCAGTTCTCAGCCTGCTCAGTGCCCTGTCGTGGTTTCCCTTGTGGTTGTCCGAGAGCGCGTTCCTGTTTATAGTTTTCTACCTGGTTTTTGACTTTGGCTTTGTTTATTGACTTCTCTACATTCTGGTATCCTGACTCCTGGCTTTCCTCATCGCTGTGTCCCTTTCTGTGTTCCCTGACCTCGGCTAGTATTTTTGACTATTCTTTGTACGTTAAATCCGGCCATTCTAAGGACCGGTAATACGTTACTTATTTGTCATCCGTGCTGTACAGTTCTACGTGCTGAATCAAACAGTAATCCTGACATAAACTAGTGAGACCGACTTAAGCAGGGTATGTCAGTAAGCCGGTGTGTGGTCTTAGTGTTAGGGCTGAGTGTTTGTCTGTACAATTTAATCCGCGGTTATTCACTAAGTGGACCGTCGCTGTTTATCTGAGAGTTGTCGGAGGAGTGATACTGCGCAGCCTAGAGCGCCTAGCTTGGTAAGCGTATAAAAGGTGACTCAAAATATAATAATATATACCATGCTCGGGTCTATACAGAGCAATTGGTGCCACGTAAATATTTACCCTGACTTGACGTTGTACAGCTATGTAATGCTTGGAGCCAAGTTAAAGGCGAAATGTCGGCTGAACGTTTAAGGTTGGTAGTGTCTCGCTTGCTGTAATGCAGTACGATCATGTAGAATGCAGTAAAGAAATTTGGTTCTGTAGGGTATGTCCTGGGCAATTAGCTTTCTACCCAGGTATGCAAGGGTTAAAAAGTGAACTTTGGAAGGAGTGTAATGTGGGTTAAGTATAATGGCAGACATGTCATGTAGGTGCTGTAGGAGACAAAGTTGTAATGTTATTTAGGTAAACAGTTAACCATGACGTTGCCTGTGAATGTCAGGACACCTTGTGGTCTTCTCAGACCGTATGGTGTGGTTACTGCAGGCTGATCCTGCGAGTTACAAGTGTCCCTGTAATTTGCTTGGTCGACACCCTGCGATGGGGGGTTGCGAAGGCGTTGTTGCCGGAGTCCATAGATGTTCGGGTTAGTCCGTGGGTCAGGGGGGCTACGGGTATGTGGTTGTGGACTCCATTTGCTGCCGGCGCTCTGTCAGGTCGTTACCGCTGCATAGTTCTCTGCAACATGTCGTCGGGGGGACAAACGAGACAGCTGTTGCCGGGTCCCCTAGCCCAAGAGGTATGGAGGTGGTGCTTGGTCCCCTTGGTGTTAAGGAATCCTGCTGCAGGCCCAGGGTGGGAAGGAGTTCTCTTGCGTCCTGCAGGTCATGAATGGTGTGTGTGGAGTCTCCCTGATGGATTTGCAGCGCGTGTGGTCCCTTCCACTTATAGACGATGTTTTGCGTGCAGAGGAGGGAGGTGAGGGACTGCAGCGAGCGGCGCCAGGCCAGTGTGGACTTCGACAGGTCCGTGTAGAAAGACAGCGACTGGTTTTCAAATTGGTAAGGACTTTGGTGGCGCGTTGCTGACATCACCGCTATTTTGTCTCTGGTGTAGGAGAAGCGCACTAGAAGATCCCTAGGTAGCGTCTTAGGTGCCTTGGCGGGCCTCGGGAGACATAACATCCCCTCTGGGGTCACCTGCTTTGCGTACTTAGGGGATAGGAGGGCCATTATGAGTCGCTGAACGAAATGTGGTACCTCGGCCTCCGGCATCTCCTCCGTGATCCCTCGGATCTTAATTCCCGCTTCGCCTCTGGTCCTCCAGTGCTGCAAATTGTAAGTCATATTTAAGGTTCTGCTTCTGCAGGTCGTTTACTGCCTGTTGCAGGTGCTTGGTGTGTTTGACATTCAAGTTGGAGTCTTGCTCCAGTACGTTTAGACGACCCGTTAGGCCCTGGAGGTCTTTGCGTATCTGGGCCATGTCGGACTGTATGGCAAGCTGAACCCCTACCAGCAGTTTCTTCATGATTGCTGTAGTGAGTGGAGGCGGCTCCGGTGGTGAGGGAGCTGGGAGAGGAGCCTTCGGTGCAGGTGGGGGCTCTGTTTCTGTTCCAGGCATGTAGTCATCCGAAAAGTCAGAGCATTCATCGTTGAAGGCGGCCATGTTTGGTCCTATGGCGCCCTGAGCTTGTCTCCAGAGGTCGCCGATGCTCACGTTCTGCCGAGGCTTATCGGGTCTGGGCTTTTTCGTCTTCTGTCCCATTGTGTTGGTAGCAGCTTGGGGATCCAGTTAATAGCCAATATGTGTGTTTTGGGGTATATTGGAGGGTTATTAATAGCTTTTTGTCCCGGAGTTCGGACAGCATGCGACCGTTCAGTGCAGTGGCTTGGCTCCGCCTCCAAAGATGTGATCTTTATGAACTGTTTTAGTTTATCTTAAGAAAAACTTCAACGTGTGTAGAGGGTTATTTTTGGAAAAATGTGTCAAACAACAGATCTTGCCATTTTCCATCAGCCAGTCACTTGGAACATCTGATGGAAACAGGCATCTTCTCTTATGATGCTTATGGTATCATATTGCATATACATGAGAAGATTTATGGAGGATCCTGTTGTCGTGTGGTATATTTAATATCTTCCCTATTTTGTATTCTTGTACAGTCAGTGAAAGTACACCAGTGATGATTCTCCTCGCAAGTTCATTTGCCTAGAGCAACTCTGTTATTTTACAAGCATGGATATTCTTTGCTTAAATTTAAAATTTATTTCCAAACGGAATATGCAGTTTCAAAATGTAATTCTAAATAGGGCCGAACTATTCTTAAAGGGTAGCTTACTAAGTCCCAAGTCATCAACAGAGAGACCTCCCTTATGAGCACGCTCTTAAGAAACTGTTTGCTGCATCATACAACGGCCTTACAAAATTGACCCTTTGCTCTCAAGTGATCCACAGGTACAAAATTAAATCGTAACTTTATAGGCCTCTTATAAAGACTGTCCTCCCTAAGATAATAACTTACTATTGACGTCTAGGGAGACCAGTAGGTTAGGTGGAGATTTCTTCTGGGCCATCTGCCGAGGTAGGTTGATATCGTCCTTAGATCTTAAGTCCCATTTTCCTATAACCCCCCCCTTCCCTTGTCCGCCAACACCTTCTTTCCCTGAAGAGACAAGGTAACATGCCCACCTAGGTAGCACCCAAGTAGTGATGAGGCCTACACCCGTGGGTTTATGAAGCATGTTAATTGTGCAATTATTGTCTCATTGTTGTTGCAATACTGTATATTCTTATACTTGGTGCATAGTTCGAGCAGTTAAAGTATTTGCTGGCTTTCTAGAGTACAAATGTGGCATTGCAGCATGTACAGGAACCACATCTCTCACGAGCGATGTGCGTGGTAGAGGTGCCAGACTATGTACCCCGCATGGATCTGGCTATTAGTAAGACCAGACGACTTTCAAATCTCTCTAGGTATGCATATTGCGTACCTTTTCTCTTTTCTTTCTTTCCTTTCTCCCTTTATTCTTTGGGGTCAGGGCACACGGGTGGGGTTGGGGTTTGGAGGGTGGGGATAGCTACTAGATCGTGGGTAGAGTGGCTACCAGCTGCATATCCTCAAAGAGCAGACGTGGGCATATCCAAGAGAATATTAATTGTACCATACATATAAAATACACATTGAAAAAAGCTCTCTCAAGTACTTAGGGATTCACTTAACAGCGGACCCAGAGAAATTATATAACCATAACTACATGCCCTTAATGAAAACACTGACAAAGGACATGGACAAGTGGACTGACAAACCCATATCGTGGATAGGACAGATTAATTCTGTAAAAATGAACGTCCTGCCACGTATCCTTTTCCTGTTCCAGGCGCTACCTATACATATCACTAAGGCGCACCTACTACCCTTACAACAAGCCATAGGTACATTTATGTGGCAAAATAAATGACACGAATATCCAGGCAGGTATTGTATCGGCCGAAAAAGCGGAAACTTTTTGAGAATCTGGGACTCGTCGAAGCAAAAGTATAAGTTGGCATCATCCCTTTTTCCCCTTATGCCTAACCTCCGCAACAGGGTATTTCTCCCAGGTCTGACTGCTGGGCACTTCCAAAATCTGGAGCAGGCAGCCCTTCAGAGGATATGCCACTTATTCCAGGGTGCCAAGGTCATTACTTTCAATGACCTCAAACAACGGAAGCATCTTATGCCTTCCAATTTCTTTAGGTATCTAAAAATTTTAGATTTTGCGAAACAACCCCACATCAAAGTAGCAGCGCATAAACTGTTGACGTTCTTCAAACGTATCTGCATGTCCGAAATTATGACTAAAGGATTGATAACACTACTTTACGCCCACCTCTGCTTGGAGAATGGGGAATGGGGTAAACTGACATATGCTGACCAGTAGGAACGCGATCCAGGTGAGGAACTAGAGGGTATTGAATGGCAGGAGATATGGGAAGCTAGCAATACCACTTCTATGTGCGTAAACCTCCAGGAACAATTCTCGATGGTACACAACTCCAGTAAAGAATGAACAAATCCACAACTGACATTTGTTGAAGGGGATGCTGATTGAAGGGGATATACTTGCATATGTGGTGGGAGTGCCCACTCAAGGTAAGATTCTGGAATTTGGTTAAGAATTTGTTAAATCAGGTGTTCTCTACGGCCCTGGAACTAGACCCTTGGGTGTATCTGCTAAATAGATCCATAGACGGTTTGACCAGAACCAAAAAAAAACTTATACATAAAATCCTGGCTGAAACAGGGGAGCCCAAATTTTGCGGGAGTGATAACCAGAATCAAAGAGATTCACTTGATGAATGATCTGACAGCTAGAGTGAGGGGAGCCACTAAAGCATTTAAAAAAGTTTTGGAACCACGGGAGAACAGTCCTTTGGGAATTTAATGAGGGCAGGTTGGCGGGGCAACTTGACCATGCTTGAGGCTCTCATACACTTCTGAAGCCGACCCTTCTACCTACCACTCCCCATGGACACTGATTCCTCCCCTTTGCTCCCCCCTGTCCACCGTATACTCCTGACAAGGCATTTCAAGCTCTGCCTTTTATTACTACTTCCTCTCTATTTTCTCTTTTTCTTTTCCTATCTCCCTTTATCTTAAGGAAATTAATATTATAGAAACTATGACTGCCAATTTGCAAACCTTAAGTGTAATGGTATCACATAGATGTTCACTGTCCTCGTACCTTGTGAATAACTTAGAATACAAGAATACCTGATAATTTGTGGAACGTATTTTGCTGTACCATTACTGTTGTGTCTTTTTCTCATGTCATACAAAAATAAAGAATAATAAAAAAAAAACACACATTTAGCAGAGGAAACAGGATAGAACTCTTTTTTTTTACCTACTGCAAGTTTATGAATATAATACATACCAAACAAATATGTCTGGCATTTGTTTAATGTTCAGTGAGACAAGCGTTTGTGGTAGACCGTGTTTAAATCTGAAAGTCAGGTAATCAATAGGGTGACCTGGGCAATATGTTCTCCTGCCCTATAATAATGAAGGTGAAAGGTCAGATTAACAGATGTCCACTTCCAGTTATAATTAACTGTGTTATGCCTCCATGCTGCTTGTTCTCAGACCATTGACCTGTCTGATCCCTGATTCACATAGGTTTTTTATGGTGATTTCAATCGATATGCAATTTAAGTTTATATATAATGAATTAAAGAACCATATTGCTTTGGATAGTCTAACAGTCTTTGGCTTTTATTTCACATTCTCAAGCCTGATGGGCAGTGAATTGATTACTTTAACTGGGGAGTGTGGAGTTTGCAATGTTACTAGACCCATAATTCCATTAAAATTTTACTTATGACCAATGCACAATTAAACTCTGTCATTACACATTTAGATGTGATGTAAAGGGGCATCTCAGGTTTGAGTTAATTAATTTGTTTTGTTTTTTTTAATGCTAATACAAGTTTGTGTTATGCATTCTATAAAGTATTCTTCATTAAACTGATTTGAAGCCCTTGGTTAGTAGCCTAGTGAGCATCAATCTTTGCTTCTCATTCACAGCCACCTCAGTGGGAGAGTCATGGAGAATGAGTATATGCCAAAACAGCACCATGCAAGAATAAGTATTTTTAACTTTACAACCGATGTATCTAGTAAAAAAAATTTGAAGTTAAAAAAATACATTTATGTCTTGATAAAGTGAGGCTGATAAGGAAAATGTAAAGTTAAGGAAAATGTAAAGTTAAGGGTATTTAGAGATAGTTGGCTTAGGTTTGGGGTAGTGATAGAGGGACCTAGAGTAAGGAATAGTGAATATGTAGGTTTTAGGAGGTCCCTGCTTTTAAGGTGCTGTGATGTGTAACTCCTATAGTTGTCAGCCAGATGAAGTAGAAGCAAGTATTCCATTGACCCCCTAAAACCAAAGCTCTCTTACTCAACGTAATTATGTTGCCATATTTATCAAAGACTTTTTAACTTTATCAAAGACTTTTAAAAGTCTTTATTATTTAATCACTATGATAGCAAATCACTAGGTAAGGTTGGAGTGGATCGTTGTTTATCTACAACTGTGAAAGTGCCAATTGATAATTTTAAAAGAGTGAGTGTGAACATTGATTTGATTGTGTAAATTCACTGCTTTGAATTAGAGGAAATTGATACAAGTACATTTATGAATCACATTTTTACATTGTGTGACCACTACATCATTGTGTCAGAGTAGTTGCTGAACTGGAAAAGTGGACAATAAAACATAAAAGGACTCTGTTATCAAAAAAACAAAATAACTAAACATATGGGTTGCAGGACTTGCATAGCTAGATATTAATTGAAACATTGTGCTGTAACATTTATGAGTTAATGTAGTCTAGAACAGTGGTTCCAAATCCAATCTTCAAAGAACGCCAACAGCTTTAGATTTGGTATTTCCCAATTCTGTACCAGTGAAGATACTGATAAAACCTGCACTGTTTGGAGTGCTTTAAGAACTGGATTGGGAAACACTCAACTAGAAGATACATTTACAGAAAGATCATTTTGACGTCGCCCAATATGGCTTAGACAATCATCTTCTATTTTAAATAATGCTTTAATATATGCCATAAAATGTACTGTGAGTGTCCCTATTAATTAGATATCTCTAAAGCAATCACATAGATACACTTATAGATAAACAGAAAGGATATAAAACGAATAAATGCTATCAATGGTGTTAAAAGATGTATAGATGAAATACTAACAATCTATTTGTAATATGATATACCAAATAAATGCTATAAAATAAGGTTAAAAGATGCATTTTGGGGGGGGATGCTTATAACTTTTACCCTCAGTCAGGCAAGGCTTGACATTTCTGCCCATCTGTGTGTGGAATTCATGATCTCCCGGTGTGAAAGAATTTAACTTACCATGGGGTGCTAAAGTAACCACTGTGATTATTTATTTTCACATAAAGACCATATGATTTTCATGTACTGTGAGGTAACACTTTTAAACCATGCCTGACAGAACGTAGAAGGCTGCAACAATATCAGGATCTGTCCTATTCCTTACAAAATGTCTTTTAATCAATAATCTTGCTGTCGGATAAACAATCATGGATAGATGTTATTTCCACTTTTAAGTTTATCTCACATATCATAGTTTAAGGTCTAACCACAGCAATGGTGTCAAAGAGTGAGACCGAAAATAATTCACCTGATTTCTCGAATCCATATGGAAAACCAGATGGATAATGAATCAGAATGATCAAGTGCTGACTTTAGAGATAAAGGGCGCATACTTTGGATTCGGCATATTTCACTATGTTTAAGATGTCTCCAGACCAGATGTAGGAAATATGTAATGCTTTAACTTGATCTACATCAAGATATACTGAAAGCTCTGAATTCGTACAGGAGAGCAAAGCTAGAGTATCCGTATTTATACATAGGTATTATCCCAAGAGACTTCCCATATTGGCTGTGTCACTAGTGTAACTTATATTTATGTGTCTTAATTAGTGATGTCCCGAACGGTTCGGCGCGGACTCATCATTTAGTAAACTTTGACCCTGTACCTCACAGTCAGCAGACACATTCCAGCCAATCAGCAGCAGACCCTCCCTCCCAGACCCTCCCACCTCCTGGACAGCATCCATTTTACATTCATTGTGAAGCTGCATTCTTAGTGAGCTGTCCAGGAGGTGGGAAGGTCTGGGAGGGAGGGTCTGCTGCTGATTGGCTGGAATGTGTCTGCTGACTGTGAGGTACAGGGTCAAAGTTTACTCAATGATGAGTCTGCGGCGAACCGTTCGGGACATCACTAGTCTTAATGTGTGAAATGTGGTTCATTAGTAAAATGAATGTAACCCATGATCAATAAATGACAGCTGAAAGGTCATAACGTCTTAATTTCAGTAACTTGCTTTGATCAAACATGGTAGAGGACAAAGCAAAGAACACCATTCATTCAGCTCAAAGGTTTAGATAAGAATATCTTTCTTTGTTCTATGTAAGACAGCATGTTCTATGCAAAATCAATGGCTAAAACCATGATGCTGTCAGACCATGTATGTGTCACATAATATGTAGAACTCCATTTGTCTCTGCCATCATACACAGGGTTAGAAATGCTGCTTGCATTAAATAGACATTTAACAACAACAAAAAATATGCCAGAAAAGGAAATATAATAAAACTAAGATTTTACAAAAGAATGTCATGCAACTGCAGTGCTTGGCCACTGAAAAATACCAATTTACATCCATCGTCACTTGTACATTAAATCAGAGATGCTATACTCCATCCTTGTTGCACCCACTATCCAGTCTGTGTGTTGGAGGTAAATGTGGAGTTCACTTATCTCTTCCCACTTGCAAACAGTAAACATTATTAAATGCAGAATATTATAAGCAGAATATTATAAAATATAGGAGCATGGCATATTCTTTTTATATCATATGTGCATTGTTCAGTGGTAGCATTAGTTTTGCACATACAACTTATCTTGAAGAAAGTAAGACATTAAATACATATATGCCACAGTATATAAAGATAGTATTTTGTAATTATTTTGTAATTAGAGCATGGTTGAGTTTTAGAAAACAGCATGTTTGTTGCTAGATAATATGCAAAACTTGTCAGGAATAATATTAACCATATCTCCTAGGCTCTCCTATCAACCCGCAAATAACTCTATTCAAGTTTCATATGGGAAAGCTGGTTTTGCTATGTCTGCAATGTAAATTTTTTTCAAGTGATAGAGATTACTAGCCATTAGCTGGCACTCCAGCTCCACTAGGTTCCACTCTATATTTTGTTCTTCTAAGATCAATCAGACAAGTACCCTTATGTTTTGAAATAGTAAAACGTAAACGTGTACTTGAAATTGTATACTAGAGAAATATAAATACCTACTTCCTCATTAACCTGGGATGTGCAGGCCAGCATAAACTTGAGACTACAACTTTTGTAACACTTAGACTGGCTGGTATACCACCATTGAAGCTGTATTGTAGAACACATAAATGGTGATATATCATCTATGCCTGATGAGTGGCATTATCTACAAAGTAACTGAATTTAAGAGCGCATCATATCATGCACTTTACATTAAGCTTAAATTTGTATTCTTTTACAAACATGTTTGTGGCTTGTCTTAGAATGTGATTTTTGTATAAGAGCAAATAAGCATTCAGTGTACTGATAAATTAGATTGTTTAAGACTGTACTTTGTAGGGCATGCCTATAAACTTCTACATGTGCTCAGAAAAAAAATTTGTCTCGATTGTGAAACCTGTAAGGAACTCATTACCATGGAAAAATATTCTTTGCATCTACTGTAGCTATGAAAACTTCAAAAGCATCAGGGCTCTGTAGCACGTGAAGAAAAGCATGAATTATGGTAGAAAGCAGTGTCATGGGTTTTATAACTATGCTCAGACCCAGTAAATTCTGACTTAACTTTCTTGTAAACGGTTCAAATTCAAATCAAGAAATACCGATCAACAGAGTGGCCTCAGCTCCTAATTCAGTATGTCATACCCCTTTTATTGACAGTTACCCACAGTACATACACAGTGTTGGTGTCTTTTCATAGTGACCAATACTTCACTAGTAAAATAAGTTCTGTAACTGAATATTAAACTGAAATATAATATACACTAGAATAACTTTAAACACCTTCATGAGACTCTTCCAAGTATCGACAGGTCTCCAATGAACCGGGGAGGGCAGGCCTATTATAGTAAACAGTTTATTGTGGAGAGTTGCCTGGGGCCTAACAAATATGATGAGCCTGTTCCAACCACTGAAAGAACCTGCGGGCAGGTTTTTATGTCCTGACCCAAAGCTTACAAATTACAGCTTGAATGTTTAACTTCCTCTTTTTTCCCCTTTTTGTTTATTTATACATCCCAGCTTGATAACATTGAGGTAAAGTTATCCAGGATATTAAGTGTAAAGGCTTGGTTTACTATATTATTTTATAACGTTATAACGTTACATGTAAGGCAGTAGACTGTGAGCCTTAATTATTGAATGAGGGCAAGTCTTAACATTTTTTCTGCAGTATCCTCCATCTTTCATCAGTGCTTACAGGTATGTATTGGTAAATATAGGAATCAAACCATGTATATTGAACTGACTTATTTAATTATTTGCCATAGCAGTGTATGTATCCCCTGGATTCTTAAACCAGTGGAACACATTCAGTTTCTTTGCAGTTCTGAAACTTACAGTAGGTTGCAGGTAGAGGAAAATGGGTCATCTGTGTGCTGACCCTGATCGATCACCTACATGGCATGTTTATGACCTGCACACCTGCAGTGGTGGTGTTTGCATGTTCTCTGGTATTTTAAGAACAGAGCCTTGAAAACAGGAAGAATTATGATACCATCCACACACTATTAGGTTATAATATAAAGATGCTGCACTTCATCTGGGGTGAGAAGGTCGCCTTGTCATTACAAGCCTTTAAACAGGAAGAACCGAGTTTGAACTTGTCTTCCTTTACTTTCAAATGACAGACGTATAGAATGGTTTTAACCCAATAATGGACTGAAACAAATTTGCAGTTAGGCTCTCCTTACATGCACTGATCAGAAAGAACACTGAAAAACTTTCCATTGACATTAAAGGAGGAGATGTGCTCAGTGGCAGTTGGCAACTAAATGCACAGTTCGGCTATGAACAGTATGCAATCTTTAGGATCTAATTATAAATTGTGTGAAAATTTATGCAAAAATAACACCATAAAGTAAGATAATAAAAAAATATGGACAGACATTTACAACTAACAATTTTATCACAGGATGAAAGATATAAACTCTACAATGCTATGCTTTATTGCTCCATTGCAATGTTTCGTTTCCCTAGCGGCAATGAAAGGGCACCTACAGTGATACTACTATCCAGAAAGCCTTATTAAATGATCAAGAATACACAGTCATAGTCTTAGAGGCCCATACCATATATGTAAATATGAAGTATAAAACCAGTCAGAGATCCCATTCTTGTGGACCAAAGCATTGGCTGCTTTGAAGAAATGGTTCAATAAAAGCTAAGTTTTTATTACTCCTACATTCAACATTTATGTTTATTCAGCTTAGACTATGATGTAGTCAAATGAGGGAACATTTACACATGTTTTACCATATACTGCACATATAGACTGCTACTCTATTTTTTTAATATTTGTTTTCCTTGCTACAATCTGTATGGATTCCTGAAGTCATTAAACATACACAGAAACAATTAATCTTTATGAAATACTCATTATGACTGCGTTGAAATTTCACTGAAATTGTAACCAAGTCATGAGATATACCAAGATCACTGTATTTCTCCTCCGCCTAACTTTCTTAGTCTAAGGGTCAATTCCGATAGCCATGACCAGTAACGGCTGCAGGGAGTTGGCTGTGTCTATGGAGGAGCCGCAGTCCATGATATTGGTTCCTGGCGTGAAAAGGAGCAGACTGAACAAGATGGCGGCACCAGCGAGGGACAGGTTCAGCTAAGAATCTCTCACTTTACCTGCCCCCTGCCCCCAAGAACTGAACCTCCAGTGGCGATGCCACTGTTGTGTGTCTTTGTGAATTCAGCAAAGTCCCCAGACGGTGACACTGCCGCTTTAAGGTGGACCATTTTATTACGCAGATATAACTTCCCAAATAACATATTTTTCTTGTGTGCAAATATGTTTACTACTAATGTTAAGTGTGGTCCTTGAGTGCACAATTCCCTTTCTCTGAACATACATTTTTCTCTCTATTTGTATCTATGCCTGTCAGTCTGTCTATCACATAACACTGTGCTTAGTAAAAAGACCTGCATTTGTTCCACTTTTTGTTGTTTTTAGTGTATAATTTTGTTAACATTAGTATTTTAAAGCAGTTGCTGAGGAAACTCTCAAGCTTACCTCCTCAGGCTTTGTCAGATGATTGAAAGAATGATTTTCAGATTTTCTTTTCCCAGGCTCCCACCTGTTCCAGAACTTAGTAAATAAATACTTCTCCATAGCTTTTGGGACCTTATGTGGATCAATCTTCTCAAAGTCCTCTTCTGGAATTGCATTAATGTATCTTCAATGCAAGTAAAGAGAAAGAACATCACCACTAATTAAATGCATGTGCATTACTTAATGTAGTCCAAGTCCAAGAATGAACCAACACTGACTAAACTACAATTACATTCATTATCAGTCATCAAATACCAGGCCATATAGTTTGGGGGTAAAAAATAGTGGTAATGGCAAGAGTGGACATGTTTGAATGGAAATATTTTGGAGGCTCAATCTTAAACACAAGCTTTTATATACAACACCAAAGGTTAAGGAAATGATAACGGACAGGTGAATGAAAGGGAAACCACTACATTATTTTCTCTAATGGAAGAGAAAAAAATCAAAAGAGGATGGTAATTAAAAGGTAAACATAATATAGATATGATTTTAGTTTAATATTAAATAAGCTAAAATAAAATATTTAAAAAAATAGTAAATGATCTGCCAACAGATACAGAAAATGTAAATAAATCTCCCGAATATGGACTCATACATTCTGAGGCAATCACAGGTATTTTATAGATCACAATGCATCCTTTTGAGCAAGATCACTAAACAGCTTCCTATGTCAAGTTAAAATTGACTAGAATGTGAACAATTTCTGGAATTCTTTTAGTTTGTGTTGTAAAAAATATAACTGACTATTATAGCTCTCAACTTCAATTTCAGTAGGGAAATGTCTGCCCTCTCAGTTAAAAAGATAAAAACTTGTCTAAAGGCAGAATTTCACGATCTCTGTGTTTTTATGTTTTGTTTGCTTTTCCAAAGTATGCAGCTCTCTAACTTATTCTCAAACAAAAAGATAGTTTGCTGTAGGCATGTGCATGGGGAAAATATTCAGCTCGGTTCGGCATTCCGAAATTCGGAACTTCGTCAATTCGGGACTTCAGCAATTCGGCACTTCAACACTTTGGAACTTCTGCAACTTCGGCACTTAAACACTTCGGCACTTCAGATCTTAGACACTTTGGAACTTCGGCAACTTCGGAACTTCGGAACTCCGGCATTTCGGGATTTTTCTTGCAGCCGCTTGGTAGATAACTCCCTAATTCCCACAGTATTAGGGAGTTGTCTACCAAAAGACTGAAAGACCTAGTAAAAAGTGAGCCTGTGGCTGCTCACTGTTAAAAAAAAATGGTCCCCCCTCCCTGAGCGGCGGGTGGGGGCCCTAAAGTAACAAAAGGGGGGAGGACCTATTGTCCTCCCCACTGGCCCCCACCCCTGAGCAATGGGTGGGGGCCCTAAATACAAATTTGGGGGGACCTAATGTCCTCCCCCTGGCCCCCACCCCTGAGTGGTGGGTGGGGGCCCTAAACTAGAATAATAGACATGCCCCTACTCGTGGTATAGCGAGTAGGGGCATAATTTAATAATACTAAGTAACCTTTACTTAGTATTAGTAAATTTGTCTGAAAGACCAATTTAGGTCTTTCAGCCTTTTAGTAGATAGCTCCCTAATACCATGGGAATTAGGGAGTTATCTACTTATTCATTCCTGTCATTACACTGACTGGCTAAGTAACTTACATTTTATATGAATGTATGTTACTTGATTGTTGTAAATGTTGCAAATGCTTACAGCTGAATCCTGGCTATCTTTGTATACTTTTTATTTGAAATTGTATTCAGTGAAATAATAGTATCTATTATTTGATCTTGGCACAGTATGTATAGTGGACATTACTGTTAAATACAAGTAGTGAATAATATCTTAAATTTTTTTTGAGAAGAATCAAAGATGATAAACTTACTATGACAAATAACTAATGAATATAGACAGATTAGAAAGATAAGTTTCTATATTTTGCTTCTCTATATAAAGCAGTTTTTTGGCTATTTATAGCGTATATTTTATATTAAAAAAAAGGGGGAGAAGAACAGAGAGAAAGTAAGAGAAAAGGGAAAAGAAAATGGGAAAATATCAAGCCCCTATCTGTCAGGATTTATAGATCTCGGCACAGTATGACTTTATGTTTTTATGTTTACATGGTTTGTCATAGACAGTGAATAACTATTTAAGGTCCTCTCAAGTCGAAGGGAAGTTACTAAATTTGGTATGTCGTCTAATCTATAAATAAGGTGATAATTAAGGGTAATAAATTAAAAATTTGGTATCTTAGAGTGCTAGAACTGTCGGAATGTATTAATTATTGTATTGTTTTTTGTTTATATTTTTAAATGTAAGTCTTTTATTGTCTATTGTGATAAATTTTCAAAAAATAATAAAAAATAATGAAATGGAAGAAATTGTATACAGTGTAACATTCTTCTTCTTTCACTGGGTAAGTATATTAGTACTTAGGCAATACTGTGCTTCGTAACTCGGGACTTCGGCACTTTGACACCTCGAAACTTCGGCAACTTCGGCACTTCTGCAATTTGTCACTTCGGCACTACTACACTTCGGAAATTCAGTAATTTCGGCAGTTTGGCAATTCGGCAGTTCGGCAATTCAGTTATTCGGAAGCACCTGAATGTCCGAATTACCTGAAATTCGGCTGAATTTTAATTCAGACCAAAACGAATTGCACATGTCTAGTTTGCTGTTTCTAAACTTGAGAGCATGATCTTTTGGCAATATGTACATTATTGTTTCTAGTCATTTTTTTTCTTTTAGGTCTGTGTTCTCTACAATGTTTTAGTTATTCAACAACTACATATTCCATAAATACAACGGAACCACAAATCTAGAGTCAGTAAGAGGAACATTTAAAGAGATGTTTACATTTCACTGTTTCAGTAGCGTTAGTAACTTACTACAGTGGGATTAATCAAGATTCTACCAAACATGAAAAAAGAATTCTTCATCCCAAGTTACTACTAACTTTAAATGTTTCAAGACTGTAAAAATGTTGAATTCACTTTAACATGCTAGTGAAATATAATAGGATCATTACAGCAATGACATAAAGAGGCTACATTTATATTAGTGGATCATCATTAAAGTGGCATTTACAATGGCAAGTTTCTGTACAACACATCCACAGGGCATGGAAGCCCAAAAACATACTCACTAATGATAATGGACATTAGTAATGCTGTAGACTATAACTCCCATCACTCTCAGTCAGATTTGCTTTTCTAACAATGAAAAGAGGTATGTGAGATACAGAGTGACGTGATGCATATTAGTGTAGTTATGCATGCTTCTAATAATGAGCTTACAATTGTAGTGGAATTACGAAGTTTGAAGATTAATTAAAATGTACCAAATCTATATTTAAATAAAAAAGACAGTTGTTGTGTGTCATTTTAGCCATAAATCATCAATAAGCCATATCCAGGATTTGTAGCATAGGTCTTTGTTATGTATTACTGAATATCAAATAATCATATAATCTCCACTTAACTGATTCTATGTGATATTGCACATTGTTTTGTCACAGTGAAATCATACTCTCTATAATTTGCCTTTGGTGTATTATTATTTCGTCACAAATGATGAATGATCTGTAATGTGCCTTTTGTGTATTAGAATTTGGCTACAGTGATGTAGTAAGTAACTGATTCTGTCTATAAAACTCTGTGCTATTTTATCTATGCTGTGCAGTTACCTGCTGTCTGCAGGGGGCAATGTAAACACTGCCTTTTCTCTGAAAAGACTGTGTTTGCATTAAAATGCCTGAAGGCAATGATTATACTCACCAGAACAACTGCATTAAGCTATAGTTGTTCTGGTGACTATAGTGTCCCTTTAATACATTGGTAGTATTGCTTATACGTTGACCAGATATTTGCTGTTTTTGAGAAATCCTTTAGGTTAGTATAGTCACCATATTTATCAATTTACCTGATACAGCTATCCAGTTCTCCTTTCATAGTTTCCTCATGTTCTGCAAACTCTTCTTGTAAATCCCTTCAAAACACAGATCAAACATCGTTAATTTCTGAATTTATATTTTAGGTTTTAGTAAAATTGTGTTATGTATTAAGTAATTTTTTTTTTTTAGAAACAAACTGTCCAACACTAAAGGTAGTAGTGCCCCTTCTTGCCAAGGATAGCAGGGGTGCAACAAAAAGGCTCAAGTCAACATAAACACAGGTTTTGGAAGTTAGCTGTTTTTAATTTAGGAAAGCCTAATTGCTAGAACACTTAAAATATATGTTCAACTGGGTTATGCACAGATATTTCCAAAGCATGATCTTTATTCTTGAATACACATAACTAAAAAAACTAAAGTTGAGTTCAATTCTCAAACCCAGTACATTAAAGATAGTCTCAATGATGGCTTGCTATCAATCCTATAATTTTAAAATTAAATATTAATTTTACAGATGGTGGTTTAAAGCAGATTCTGTGATCCTCAGAGACAAATACAAAAATACACTATCAACATCTGTCTTATCTCCACACTTGTCTATATTTAACACAATGTGACTGCGCACATACTACATAACCCAATCATTATAGGTATTTGTTCGTGGTGACTATGTGCCTCAGGTGAGATTTTAAATAGGCTATAGCTTATTCATATAAACCAAATTCTGCTAAGTATCATAACATACCACAACCAAAATTAGCTGTATAACCCCTAGTAAAATGCTATTTTTTAAATTATCTACTAAGAAGAACAATATCAAGAAGGTATATTTGTGTATCTTAACAATGAACTGCCTTCAAGCGCTCTGGCATACTTTTGCAAGCAGAAAAAAAAACTTTCATAAATAATGAAAAGCAACTGCTGTATGCAATTATTCAACTGCCTGCCTATGGGATGTAATGCAATTGCGGCAAAACAATGGCAATTATAGAACCGTACATTATTCTGGCATGGAGGTAATGAATGTTGCTCTCTAAATCTTTCCTCTTCCTTTGTAGCTCTTCCGTAAGATTTTTCTTGGCTACGTCCTTTAGTCCTTCTCTGGTGTATCCTCCTTTGGGCAGAATGTCCAGTGAATGCCAGATCAGCTGGTGATGTTTTTGAGACATTTTGCTGTAGTCCTTAAGTATGCAGTTATCTAGAACTTGTACAGAGGTGTAACGACTACAGGCATCTGTATATCTAGGATCATGAGCCAAATGATTACCCTAGAGAAGGCCGAAAACTCACAGTGTTATCAAGACGCATGGAAAAAATGTTTTACCAAATGTAACATCTAGAAAAATAACATTTTCAAGTTAGCTTTTAGAAATAAATTTATGGTTTATGCTTTCATTCTGTTGCTAGAATAAACATTAATTTAATGTGTGTTATAATAAATCCTTATTAAATGCAATCCAAGGAGAACATGTGTACAGGGCTATTTCCAAGGATGAATGGTTGAGTTATTTAAAAACACAAGACTGGAAAGAAAGTGTTGAAACTAAAATTAATACTAAAAGCTGAATATTTAAAAAAAGTTTAGCATCTACTACACATGAAAAGAAATCTTATGGAATTGCATGTTTATGTCAAAAAGTTTAACCCAGCAATACCAAATAGTGTGAATTCCAACCACATCTATTCATTCATTTGTATGGCACATTCTCTGGGCGAACCTGACTTTAAGAAACCACCTATCCGTTCAGCACATTTACAGAATTTTGTTCGAGCAGGGATTTACGGCATTTGCTCAGCATTCCCATTATTGTCTTACAGGATTATTCACTAACGTGAGAATTCAAAGTGAATTTAAAGTAACTCTTTAGCATTAGGAATACAAACCTATATTACTAATGCTATAGTGTCCCAGTCCCTAGCTCTACACAGGTCACCCCACCCCTCACTTGCAATGCAAATTCTAAAAATGTTTTACCCTTATGATTTTCCAGCACTAAAGCTCCTTTGTTAAAGTTATGAGGAAACTTGGCCTCCTCCACAATAGTCCACTCCAATAGTCCCCATAGAGGAGCATTAGAGACTTAAGCGTCACACATGCATTCAAGCTTCCCTATAGGAACGCACTGAACCAGTGCTTTTCTGTAAGGGCTTTGGCATCCTATGACCGAGCTTTTATTGGTCAGCATACTGACAGCCACTAGAGGTGGATTTGAAACTGCCATGTAAACATTGCAGTTTCTAAAAAAAAACTGCAAGTGGTCTATTTGACTATAGTGTCCCTTTAACCCCTTAAGGACACATGACATGTGTGACATGTTATGATTCCCTTTTATTCCAAAAGTTTGGTCCTTAAGGGGTTAAAGAGATTCTATAGCATAAGGAATACAAATCTGTAGGCCTTGTGATGATACGTCATTTTGTTTGTGGCATCTCAAATGTTAATTGTTTAACCGCACTGTTCTACCTTAAATAGTTAATGTGTTGGTATACTTTAAATCTTGTCATGTAACCTGGAACACGAAATAGGTCACAGGTTATAGTTCAGTTGTGAAGGAGATACTGAGAATAAAGAGATCCTGGTTAAGCTCCTGAATCCTCTCTCAGTATTTTATGTCACTACAACACAGTCCTAACACTAAAGTGCCCTCTGGGATCCCCTTCCCTCGCCCTGGGGCGGCGCTCCGCCTCCTCTGACATCATCCGAGAGGGGGAGACTAATACACATGCGCCATTTCAATTAACTGAAATGGTCTGGGTAACTATAGTGTCCCTTTAAGACCAAAGTAGCCAAACGGGAAGCATAGCTAACTTTCTAGTTCATCTATTTTACCTTGAATTTAAAATTTACTTTGAATTCTCACTTTACTGAATAACCCTGTAAATCTTGTCTGAGAAGAGCTCCCAGAAAGAAGCTGCAAAACCTGGGGTTTTGAAGCAAATGCAGAAACTAGAAAATTGGGTATTTTACTTTTGCACATTGTATGCGTTATCAATATAATGTGTTAAAAATTGAGGTCAACACTAGCCGGAAATATCCCTTTAGATAAAATTCCCATGCAAGTTGGTGGAATATCCCTCCTTGTCATAACTGTTCAGACAAAAAAAAAAAAAAATCTAGTTTACCTATGTAAAGTTATAGAGTACTATAATGTACAAAATATTAATTCCATAAACCAAAAGGACATTCTTACTTTTAATTTCAACTGAGTTAGGTGACGTAGGCCATTTAGAACTTGCACAGTTTCATCCAGGGATATGATATTGTTATTTGAGGCATCTAGGATGTTGAGTCTCAGCGAGGAGGAGAGGGGCAGGACACTGGTGATCACGTTATTCTGAACATACAATTCATAGAGTTTGGGGAGATTTTGAATACCATCCAAGGAGACCAACTGCAGTCATAGGAAACATCAAATTAGGCTAATTGCTTAATGACTGTTAACAGTAACATAAAATGAGTCTGCTTCTTAGGTCACACATTACATCTGTGTATTATGTTTCATGAAACCATTTGTTAGCAGTTTTATATCATTTAGTTTATTTTATATTTTTTCTATTATCCTTTCCCATTTGTTAGTATCGCAAGCAGGAGACTTTGGCATTCTTTTTCACCACATTAGAAACTTACTGAGATTGTATAACCTAAAGGGTTAACTAAAGTGAAAATTCGAGGTGAGTTTATAGTGAATTTCCAATTTAAGGCCAAAGTAGTTGAAAGAGTAACTCGGCTAAATTAGAGATTGTTTCTGGTTCGACTATTTTGACCTTAAATTTGTAATTAACTTTGAATTCACTCTGAATTCTCACTTTAGTAAATAACCCTGCATCACTCCCATTAACACATCATAAACAGTACTGAAGACACTGGAGGCACAGAAGCACTTCTGACCTTTCAAAGTGGAAGATAAAGTTATCTAATGGTGTGTAGCCTAAATAATCTTAAAAGGATTTGTTCTTGCACTGTATTTTCAGTGTCTCCATCTGCAATAGGGTAGATTGGAAGTCATGTCATATACGTCATGATAAATAATGTTGGTTGGTGAAGTTTAACAATGGTATGGTGTTAGACTCTACTTGACCTTGAAAAAGCCTTCTGTATAGGTGAAACGCGTTTAGTGTGTTACTTACTTTTTATTTGTTTAATAAAATTACTTTGCATTGTAACCCTGGACCTTCAGTGGACATCTTTTATTGGGGAAGCTGTGCCTCACATTCCCGGGTGGGGTAAAAACAACCTATGCTGTAAAGGACTGAGCAATCCCTATTTGCTCATCCATTGTGAGTATATTTCTCTCTTTATTTTATTTGTTTTATTTACACAGAGAACACTATAACTGTTCTTTTAAATCCTATATATATCACTGGAGCATCATCTCGAATACACCACGTGGATTATTGGCACAGGGATACGATACCAGAGGAAATCAAGACCATCCTAACATCCACAGACAGGGATTGTACCGTCCATACGCTGTGATCTGGAGCTGATCTTGAACTCCAGAAAAGTTTGAGTGCAATATATTTTTTCCGTATATTCTGCCTCTGCTGTTATAGACATACTACACTATATTAGTATTCCTGTCCCATTTTGTTTTCTCCCTTATATTGGCTCCATTGGACTCCACACAAGGACTTCAATTGTTAAGCGCTGCTTCCCTACATCCCCCGTTTTTCTTGCATCAACGATCAGAAAGAAGAGAATCTGGTTTGGGAACGTTTTAGCTGCTGTACACATAAGGAACAAGCGCTATAAATCTCACTTGCTGCCTAATCTGAAACTAAAAGCATTGCTGGCTTAAATATGTTTCCCACTTTTTGGCTTTTATTTTGATCTTGCATTTGAGATTCACTTTCAGTTCTCACTTTAGTGAACAGTTCTGCTAGTTTTCACATTCTACATCACGACAAAGCTGAATGTGGGGAATTCTCCCTACAGAGAGGCATTGTAATGCTTCCCTATGACGAGAATCCCATTGGTGCAGCACAGTGATTACCGCACATATTCAGTAAGACTCTCAATGCATCTCTATTGAAAATCACTTAATTGGCCAAGATGATCTCCGATGAAGTAAAAGCAGCGGCTGCAGCGAGACTGGGTTCCTGCTGGATGAGAGGTGTGTTTTACTTTATTTTTTACTTTCTAGAGGGGGCCTTGAATCTAAAATGCACCAAGGGCACTCTAATATTATGAATATATATATATATATATATTTATAAAATTAGAGTGTCTGTTAAATTCTTGATTAAGTGTAAACTACAAAAAAAAAAAATAGCTTTTAAATAGTTTTGGTCATGTCACCTGTGTGTATGTATACAAAAATGTGGAAACTGTTTGTTTAAACAATTTTTTTCCTACATGAAGATTTGCAAACCGTTTGGAAAGATGGGTCTTAATTGACACCTGTTCTAACTTGCCAGCTCAATAAGTGGGCTTTCAGAATATTTCTCATACTTTTGGAATGGGTGGTAAAACGTTAAAAGAATGCTAAAACTAATACATGACTGAACTTAAGTATCTTACATACCACTCTGCATACCATTATTTACTAAACTAAGAGTTGTTTGGAAATTTTAAGTCCAGGATAGCTAAACTAGAAGCATACCTGACTTGGACATTTTTTGTTCAGATCAGCCATTTTGTCATTAAATGTTAAACTCATTTTGAAATTCCAACAATTCTCACTTTAGTGAAAAACCGTGAATGGGGTTTATTCACAAAACATCAAATTATAGTGAACTGAAAAATGAACAGGAAAATGGAGGTTAATAGAAGATTTGGAAATAAAATATCAAATTCAGATATATATTACAGCTTTGGAATGTAGCAAAATATCAGACATCATGGTACATCCATCATTATTAGAAGTGTCATGTAAGCTCACAAGCAATCACTTTGAAAAGTTGGTGGCAGACATAATTTGTTCTGTATTGAGTGAGCCTATATCGCCATCTTGAGGTCCTGAAAAAAACGCTGTTTATCATCAACAGAAATGTGTCTAGTACATTCAGGAATGAATATGCATATGTCCTATCACAATATACCTATTAATTTATAGTACTGTCTGCACCTCTATTACACTTGCCCAACAGTGTCCTTACTATCCTCAAGTTATCAAAAAGAAGGTAAAAAGTCCCATACAGCAGACACAGCAAGGTTTATTATTTTCTAATAATTTATCTAATAAACTAACTATATAAAGTATAAATGCTAAACTGGGGGAGGGGTAACCCCATCTAAACTGAATGTCAAAGGAAAACAAGGGATCTAGGTCATGAGTTATCAATGTGGTATCAATGGTAAAGATACCTTTTACAGAAATATGGGAGTCCTGAACTAAACAAATATTATCTGCATGTTTCTGCTTCTCTGGAGAAGTCATATTTGTCACTGCACCATGTGACATGGGATCAATGTCATCATCTTGAAGCTTCAAAATCCTAAAAAAACAGCCAAATTCTGCAATTCTACTATCTGCTAGAAGGGGAGAAATATATCCTAAACTTAAATTAACTTCCCAAACCAAACCCTAAACCACACTTTATATCTATCCCTAAATTCTAACATGTTCTATAAATCATACTGCAACACTAAATCTTTGAATAAAGTTTGAGTATTATATAAATGTATATGTTTAATCCCATACAAAGTTGTATTAACCTTATTCTCACACAGGGGTCAAGTCCTGGGGAAAAAAGTGTATGAACTCACCCAAGATTCCCGCCCCCCCTCCCCGCTCCCTTTAAAAAAAAAAAAAAAATTACACTCCTATGCATATAGTGCAGTGCAGGGTGTGTATAATGAATGTAGTGTGTTTGTAGTGAATGCAGAGTGTGTATAATGAATGCAGTGTGTTTTTAGTGAGTGCAGAGTGTGTATAATGAATGTAGTGTATTTGTAGTGTGTGCAGTGTGTATAATAAATGTAGTGTATTTGTAGTGAGTGCAGTGTGTATAATAAATGTAGTGTGTTTGTAGTGAGTGCAGTGTGTATAGTGAATGCAGTGTGTATAGTGAATGTAGTGTTTTTGTAGTGAGTGCAGAGTGTGTATAATGAATGCAGAGTGTGTATAATGAATGTAGTGTGTTTGTAGTAAGTGCAAATTGTGTATAATGAATTTAGTGTGTTTGTAGTGAGTGCAGAGTGTGTACAATGAATGCAGTGTATGTAGTGTGTTTGTAGTGAATGCAGAGTGTGCATAGTGAATGTAGTGTGTAGTGAGTGCAGAATGTGCATAATAAATGCAGAGTGTGTATAGTGAATGCAGAGGGTGTATAGTGAATGTAGTGTGTTTGTAGTGAGTGAAGAGTGTGTATAATGAATGCAGTGTGTGCGTGTGCTGGATGATGTGTGTGTGCGCGCTGGATGACGTGTGTGTGAGTGCTGGATGATGTGTGTGTGTGCTGGATGATGTGTGTGTGTGTGCTGGATGATGTGTGTGTGAGTGCTGGATGATGTGTGTGTGTGCTGGATGATGGGTGTGGTGGAGTGCGCTGGATGAGTGCTGGGATGATGTGTGTGTGTGAGTGCTGGATGATGGGTGTGTGTGAGTGCTGGATGATGTGTGTGTGAGTGCTGGATGATGGGTGTGTGAGTGAGTGCTGGATGATGATGGGTGTGTGAGTGCTGGATGATGGGTGTGTGTGTGTGCTGGATGATGGGTGTGTGGGTGCTGGATGATGGGTGTGTGAGTGCTGGATGATGGGTGTGTGTGTGCTGGATGATGGGTGTGTGAGTGAGTGCTGGATGATGGGTGTGTGAGTGCTGGATGATGGTGTGTGTGAGTGCTGGATGATGTGTGTGTGTGTGCTGGATGATGTGTGTGTGAGTGTGTGCTGGATGATGGGTGTGTGAGTGTGTGCTGGATGATGTGTGTGTGAGTGCTGGATGATGGGTGTGTGTGTGTGCTGGATGATGTGTGTGTGAGTGCTGGATGATGTGTGTGTGGGTGCTGGATGATCTGTGTGTGTGTGCTGGATGATGTGTGTGTGTGTGAGTGTGTGCTGGATGATGGGTGTGTGTGTGTGCTGGATGGTGTGTGTGTGTGTGTGTGTGTGTGTGTGCTGGATGATGTGTGTGTGCTGGATGATGTGTGTGTGTGTGTGTGTGTGTGTGTGCTGGATGATGTGTGTGAGTGCTGGATGATAGGGGGGGGAAGCATTTTTTTTTAACTTTATGTGTCTATATTTTTTTATTTTATCCCCCCTCCCTGTTTCTTACTTTGTCAGGGAGGGTGGAGATCGCCTGGTGGTCCGGTGGAGGGAGGAAGGCGCTGCACAGAGGGGCCATCACACGCTGTGTTCCCTCTCCAGCTATAACTCTCGCGAGACTCGCCTGTGCGGAGCGTTACCATGGTAACAGCCGCGGGTCTCGCGAGAGTTATAGCTGGAGAGGGAACACAGCGTGTGATGGCCCCTCAGTGCAGGTAGCAGGGCCGGTCCTGCAGGACAGGTAACGGGAACGGCATTCCTGCTTTGGAAAAAGTGCAGGAACGCCGTTCCCATGCGTTCCTGCAGGACTCGAGCCCTGTTCTCACAGCATTGACCTGAGTTTAGGAGCATTAAATCTGCACTCCTCACACTGAGCGGTATAATTAACTTAATATATAGTGCATTAAAGTGTCTCTGTAACAAAATGATCTACTTGAATATTTTACATCGCTCTCAGTTTTACAGTGGACTTGGGACAACATACAACACGCATTTTAAAAAAACATTTATTAATTCATCTTTTGAAAAAATATAGTATTGGTTAGGTTTACCAAGACAATGTGCTTGTAGTGTATCACATATTACTTTGGTGAGTTCTTTTTTAATTATTGCAATACTTTGCCTACGTCTGTTCTGCAGGCTAATAGGCTAATTTCTTTGCCAATGTTGGGTTATATAGGTGCCAACAAGCAGTTATTTATCTAGTGAGATAGATAAATAGATTAATAAGCAGTGCTGTATTTATGGAGAGGCCACCACACAAAAACACCATCCCCAAAGGCCCCACCGGTGTCTTGTTAGCTTTGTGTCATGAGGAACCCAAGAGCTAGCAGACTGCCAACCTTAGGGCCCCCCAAGGCGGGCAGCTGCGCATATCGCAGATGGGCGACGAGGGAGAGATGTCCTATGCAATCTTTTTGCTGTGATGTCGGAATATGAAGTCACTCCAGCCCTGGCATCAGAGGGAGCAGAGCAAGAAGATGATATTTCCCTCACCGCCTCCATTGTGTGCCCATCTAGCAAGCAATCCAGAGTACCAGCAGCCCACCCAGCAGCCCCCCTGGACCCCTGGGGAAAAATCCACTCCAGCTCTCCCAAAGGTAGGGAGGCTGAGTGGATTTAAACTAAAATAAAAATAATAAATAATTTGTGAGTATATGAGAAGACTGTGTGTGAGTGTGTCAGTATAACTGTGTGTGTGTTTTTCAGTGAATGTACAGTATGTGTGTCTGTCAATGTATGTGTGTGTCTGTCAGTGAGTGTATGTGTATCTGTGAGTGAGTGAGTGAGTGTGTGTCTGTCAGTGAGTGTATGTGTATCTGTGAGTAAGTGAGTGAGTGAGTGTGTGTCTGTAAGTGTGTGTCTTTCAGGGAAAGAATGTGTGTCTGTCAGTGTGTGTGTTACTGTGTGTCTGTGAGTGAGTGAATATGTGTGTGTCTGTCAGATTGTACAAACAGTGAAAATGTGTGTGTCTGTGAGTTTTTGTGTTGGTGTGTGTCAAATCAGTGAGCGTGTGTGTGTGTGTGTGTGTGTGTCTGTCAGTGAGTGGGTGTGTCAGTGAATGTTTGTCAGTGAAAGTGTGTTTTGGTTAAACAGTGTGTGTGTGCCAATGACTGTGTATCTGTCAGTGTATGTATCAGTGAGGGCATGTGTCTGTCAGTCAAGTCAAAATACATGTTGGTCATAAACAGGAAGAGGTGCAGCCTTGAAAGGAAGAGGTGGGGCAAATTTAATCATGTCTAGAACTATACAAAACCAAAATACACCACTGAACAGCATTGTTTATTACCTTATTGGAGTTCAAATGAAGCTGTGTGAGGTTTGCAAGGACTGATAGATCCTTTATGGTCCTAATTTGATTGTGAGACACATTAAGAATTGTCAATTGATGACAGGTTCCATAGCTGTCCATATGTCTAATTGCATTGAAACTAGAATTTAAAATCATCAGATTTGGTAGATCTCCTAGTCCAGAAATACTGATAAAAAAAAAAGAAAGCATGGCATTAGAGATATAAGCTTTTGTGCCTCAGAAAACAAAGATCTTTATGAATAACAAGACACACTTGGCAAAATAATCACACAAAGGTGAGAGCAGGAATATTGGTTTTTTTTTCATTTAAACTACTAGAAAGGTAATAATTGTGTCAGCTTGATAAATTATGAAACAAGTAACTATTTAAAAAATAATAATATACCTCCCAACTATCCAAGGTTTGGCCATACCATCCCAGTTTTCATCACCTATCCCTCTATCCCAGGTTTTTCACCGGTTCATGTAGCACAAATCATCAGTAACACAAGTTCCAACACTGTCATGCCCTCGATAAGCTGGACCTCCATGTACCATTTTCATTCTTTACATTCTTAGAGGGTATGCGATATATAACCCCATGTGTACAACATCATTCTTGTCTTAGCAGATGTGATTTTCTCTTGATTCATCCTCCGTATTTTTATATATATATATATATATATATATATATATATATATATATATATATAGTATTCTATAACATTGTACATTAGTTAACCCTATTACTTTGCTGATCTGTTCACGATTTGTTAGAGTTACTGACTAAAGTGAGAATTTTACATTTTCAAATTTAAGATCAAAGTAGCAGAAATAAAAGCATATCTGACCTAGATATTATTTCCAGCTTAGCTATTTTGATTTTAAATTTTAAATTCACTTTCGCTTCTCACTTTACTAAATTAACCTGTTAGTCTTGGAACCACCCAGTGTTATAGTTTATTACCTAGATTAATTGTGGTTCTATGCAGAGTCTGTAATCTGATTGTGGATTCCAAATTTGCTGATTGTCCTTTGTCATTTGTCCTTTGTCCTTTGTCATTTCAAGTTGGTATACTATAGATATTCTCTACAAAAGCTGTAAAATGCAACTAATTGCAAATTTGTGGATGTCTGTAAGGTTAATATTTAAAAAGAAACGCACATCAGGTGCAGGGCAGAAAATGTTGTACCATTGTTGCGTTGAGAAAGGGCTAAGCAGAAAACCAGGGCATAACCCTGAAATACAAATATAGAAAAAGAATGAGAGCTGGTCTCAGTAAATAAACAGGTACCCGAACTCACAATGTTACCAATATAAATATTAACATCCTATGTATAGCAAAAATTTAAAAAAAGAGAAAAGTTTATTAGGTGGCAATGACGTATAATAGTGCCACAAAGATTAAAAAAAAAAAAAAGAAGAAGAAGAAAAACTACACATAAACACTTAATGGTGATAGTGTCACACACAGTGAAAAAAAGAAGTGATTAAAAAGGGAACCAATAACTTTCAGAGCTGTACATAAAGAAGTAAAACCCTAATTGCAGAGAGTTAGCTCATTTGCAATCTCACTAGTAGGTTAACCCCTGATTTACCAGGCATACTGGACTCGCAGTTTTCATTTATAGTTTGAGAAACTGAATATATAAGCCCCTTAAGATCATATTAATAATTAGAATAGTCATCCAATTATTTTGATCATTCCTTCAGAATATATGTATAAACCATAGTGAAATATGTATATTAAAATACATATTTGGTTGGTGTTTTAACATCTATGATCAAGTGAGTACTTTGAAGTAAAATAGATTGGGCTTGAACGAGTTTTTGTCATCAAAAATAAGTGAATTAATGTTTTTAGAGTTAGTAGTCAGAAATTGGACATAGTATATATCACGAGTAGGAAGGCTCTTGTTAAATAGTTAATTTAGGGAGCATCAGGTTGTTTTGGGGTAAAAAATGAACTTAGACCAAAAATAAATACAGTGGAGTAATCAGATGCACTTCTATTTGGAGAAGAAATATCTCACTTAAGGGTAATTCATGCAGTTTTGTATTTACTAGGTGCTTATCCATCTAATCTATTAGTAGACTCACTTCCTAGTGGACTAAGATCCACTCGCTACGTATTACATAGAATACATTTGATACAAAGTAAAAATAATTTATTAACCTTAAGAACACATGATATGTGTGACATGTCATGATTCCCTTTTATTCCAGAAGTTTGGTCCTTAAGGGGTTAAAGGAAAAGAGAGAGTGTAGGCTAGATAAAAAGGGAAAAGGAGAAACCTTCATTAAGTCCCTTTGGACTTAGGGTTTTCAGTTTATATATCCATTGGCATTCCCTTTGTCTTAGGTGTCTATCATAGTCACCTGGGTGGAGTCAAGCAGAAGACTGAGATAGATGACATTTCTAGCAGCTCCGAGCACGTTACAGAAAAAAACATCTCTACTATTTCAGATCGGAGATGTGAAGGAATACCCCATCACTTTCTGCTCCTTTCGTATAACTGATTCATATTTAATTTTGCTTTGTTTATTTTGCACGGTTCCCGAACCAAGACCCCCCCAGAGACCCATTAGAACGTGGAACGTTGAATATCTTGTACAAAAACTGTAAAGGAACAAATTAATAGAATGCTCCACTGGGTTGCCGCCATTTCGTGCATGCGAACGCACATGGTTGGGACTATGGATCGAGGCCATTTTGTCTCCCGAACGCTGGCAGCGGGACTTGGTTGTTGAGTGCCTGGAACTCCTTTCGGCCAGGCACTCCCATAAACACTGGTCACCATGGACCTGCTGCCCATTCCAGTTCCAGTACACCTACATGAATGGAGTTTGGGAGTTACAGACTACCGAACATGGGGAGCATTCTACTCGAATCAGCTTTCATCTACCTTATGTTGTTTTTGTACAAAACCCCATGAACGGAGATATTTTACCTTTGGGATTATTTGTGTTTGTTTATTGGGAAAGGGGCATCTGTGGCGGTGATACTCTGGCAGACCACCACTGGTGACATATCAAGCCATTAAAATCAGCATCATATTTGGGAAGCAGTCCCGATTTGGCAGATGCACTTCCTTTTTCCCGCAGGTACTAAAACTCAGGGGCGGGGATCTCGGGCCTACTATGTAGGAGTCCCACGGTTGTTGATTAAAGCCTACTGGGGCAATACAGATTTTGATGGCGACTTACCTGCGGAGACCCTCCCTCTAACTCCTTTGAGGTTGGACATAGGACACAAGAAGCCAAATCAACCCTCCATCAGGGACGGGCAAGACATCAGCCAGATGCTCGTGTCCACAACTAACACTAGAGGAATGGCCGCAACTCAGCCAATGAATCACCTATGGATGATTTAGTGATAGTGGAGCCCGCAGCCATAGCCAACGGAACTGACCCAGCTACTAAACAAGATATGCTCAACCTACTTATGCACTTCCAAAACATGTTTTCAGCCAAACTGACTTTGGTGAAGACTGAAGTGCAAGCAGTGACAGAAAGGGTGCAGGCCGCTGATGAGGACTTAGTAGATAACAAACAATGGTTAAATACCTTGAGTGAATCCGTACAGCAACTGTGATCCTTACATACAAGCCTATGCAGCTGAATGACAGAGGGCGACAGAGAAACATCAAGATCCATGGGGTTGTAGACTCACTCCCCCCAGAAGTAATTCCCCATTTTATCAGGCGCTTAGTTGCAAAATTTGCCAAGCAATTCGCTTTTGATGGGGCATACCACATCGCAAGTCTTCTCAGGCCTCCAAGGCAGCTTCTAGAGATCTCGTCCTGTGCTGTCAGTCTCTTGCTCTCTTGCAGACAAACAAAGGCTCTTAACTGCCTTGAAGGGGAAAACACCACTTCAATTTGAATCACACAGGATTACTTTCTTCCAAGACCTCAGCAGACCCACATTACTGTGGGGAAAGTCAACCCAGCCTATCACGAAAGCCCTCCAAACCACTGGACTTTCATACAGATGATCTTACCCCAGATCTCTCACGATTGTCAAAAATGGGAAATCCTTTAGGGCATCAGGATCCTTGGAGGGTTCTTGCAGGTGCTGAGCCTACTCGAATCAACTCCATCAACAAGCTTCAGCCATCATTGGGATGTCTCTATTATTGCATCCCCTTTGTAAATGAGGGGAGAGCGAGACTCTCTGACCTGATGTGCTGCTGACTACATTAAAGCTCATTATTGTTTTCTATAATGCATCCTGATTCCATGCTGTTTTTTTTATCTGTGTAGATAATACTGTTCTTATGTCATATTTTATTATTTCAAACACCACCTGTTTGAGGTGGACAACTCAGTGTTGCCATATAAGCTACTGCAGTCCTGTGGAGGTGATTTTCCTGGATTACATTCTAACAGAGTTTTAAGCATTTACACCACCTCCCTTAGGTTAGAGGCATCTGTATTTAAGTCCTTTATACATAATCTTGTATACTGTTGATAATCTGTTTGAGAACAACCGGTTGACCGATTAATCATCTTCGGCTCCTATGCCTCACTAGTCTAACAATAATCGATGCCATGTATAAAATAGGGTGATTTACTCAGACACTACTGTTTTCAATTTCTAATTTAGCTTGTCAGCTGTGTCTGCTTCATTACTTTGTCATGTATCACTTGCCGAAATAGCAAATTTAAAGAAAAAAAAAGAAATAAATGAGATTTAAAAAAAAGAGAAGACCTCACAAGAGCAAGTTCTGGAACAGCATTCTTTGGGCAGATGAAACCTGTACCAGAATGGTAGAAAGAAAAATGTATGGAGAAGGCGAATGGCGCATGATCTGAAGCATCTGTAAAACCAGGTTTAGGTAGTGGGATGGCATGGGCATGCATGACTTCCAATTGCACTGGGTCACAGTGTTTATTGATGATGTGACAGAAGACAGATGCAGCCAGATGAATTCTGAAGTGTATAGGGATATATTGTCTGAGTTGATTGGACAACGCTTCACTTTACAGATGAACAATGACCTAAAACATACTGCGGAAGCAACCCGAGAGATTTTTTAAGATAAAGAAATGAAATATTCTACAATGACGGAGTCAATCACTTGATCTCAACCCAATCGAACATGCCTTTCACTTGCTGATAAAACTTAAGGCAGAAAGACCCACGAATAAACAACAACTGAAGACAGCTGCAGTAAAGGTCTAGCAAAGCATCACAAAAGAGGCCCATGCATTTGGTGATGTCCATGTGTTCCAGACTTCAAGCAGTCATTCCCTGCAAAGGAAATTTGACAAAGTATTGACAATTAACATTTTATTTATGATTGTATTAATATGTCCATTTACATTTGAGCCCCTGATATAACAGGACCGTGTATGAAAATGGTTGCAATTTCTAAATGTTTCATATAATAATTTTGTTCAACCCCTTGAATTAAAGCTGAAACTCTGCACTTCAACTGTATCTCGGTTGTTTCATTTCAAATCCATTGTGATGACATACAGCATCAACATTATGAAAATTGTGTTAGTTTCCAGATTTTTCTAACTATACAGGTGATACTCGAAAAATTTGAATATCGTGCAAAAGTTCATTTATTTCAGTAATGCAACGTAAAAGGGGAAACTAATATATGAGATAGATAAACACAAAAAGAATTCAGCGCTAGTAATCACAAAATTAGTCAAGGTAGGCAGCAACCCAAATGAAGGAAAACCCCTCGGGTCCTTCGGTGGATAGATACAAAAAGATATGGAAGGGCTGCGCCAAATAAGGGTAGATAGTCCAGTAAAGTATTGCTAGGGTGCCAATAGATGGTCTAGGATACTTGATAGAGTTCCTCTGTGGATGCGTCTGGTGTAGACCGTTCCGTATATGTAAATACAAGAGAGGTAGAGGCGACTAATGGTATAGTATGAAAGTTCAGGGTGTGATAGGTAACAAAAAGTAAAGAACTCACATTCAAGAGAGCTATGGCCAGCTCTGGTGTGGATTGCGTACAGCGGTATAATCCCCGCTTATGGGATATGTAGGGAGGGGGTCTCCGTCAACACCGTCTGGTAGTCCAGAACTCGGAAAAGAAAGACAGAAAGCAACAATAGTGCTCTCAATTTTGATGTGGTTCAATGTGCAGATAAGAAGAGGTAAAAAACTCACATTTGAGGGAGCTATGGCCAGCTCTGGTGTGGATAGCGTACAGCGGTATAATCCCCGCTTATAGGATATGTAGCGGCGATACGTCCGTCAGCACCGTCTGGTGATCCAAGGCTCCAATATAGAAGAATAAAAAGCAGCAATAGTGCTCTCAATTGTGATAGGTTAAGAGAGTAGTAGAGAAAATAAAATAATACTCACAAAGATAGAGCAGAGGTACTGCTCTATGGATAGGCGCCGGTGGTATGATCCCCACCTAGGATTTCTTGGAGTACTGGAACTTTAAAATTGCCAGTGGAAGTAAAAGTAACCAGGAAAGGTTAAAATGCCAGGAATAGGTAAAAAAAGTTGTTTAAAGTGCATAAACAGTGCAATAAAAAGAGGATTGGTACAATAAGGTAGCCAAAAAACTTTTATTGATCTAAAATACACAGTAAAATACAGAATTAATTCTGGCCATAGCTCTCTTGAATGTGAGTTCTTTACTTTTTGTTACCTATCACACCCTGAACTTTCATACTATACCATTAGTCGCCTCTACCTCTCTTGTATTTACATATACGGAACGGTCTACACCAGACGCATCCACAGAGGAACTCTATCAAGTATCCTAGACCATCTATTGGCACCCTAGCAATACTTTACTGGACTATCTACCCTTATTTGGCGCAGCCCTTCCATATATTTTTGTAATATATGAGATAGACCCATTACATGCAAAGCAAGATAGTTCAAGCCGTGATTTGTCATAAGTGCGATGATTATGGCTTACAGCTCATGAAAACCCCAAATCCACAATCTCAGTAAATTAAAATATTACATGCAATCAATAAAACAAGGAGTGTACATATAACAATATCGGACCTCTGAAAAGTATAGGCATGCATATGGACTCAGCACTTGGTTTGGGCCCCTTTTGCAGCAATTACTGCCTCAATGCGGCGTGGCATGGAAGCTATCAGCCTGTGGCACTGCTGAGGTGTTATGGAAGACCAGGATGCTTCAATAGTGGCCTTCAGCGCTTCTGCATTGTTCGGTCTCATGTCTCTCGTCTTTCTCTTGGCAATGCCCCATAGATTCTCTATGGGGTTCAGGTCAGGCGAGTTTGCTGGCCAATCAAGCAGAGTAATCCCACGGTCATTGAGCCAGGCTTTGGTGCTTTTGGCAGTGTGGGCAGGTGCCAAGTCCTGCTGGAAAATGAAGTCAACATCCCCATAATGCTCCAAAATCTCCTGGTAGATGACTGCATTGACCCTGGACTTAATGAAGCACAATGGACCAACACCAGCAGATGACATGGCTCCTCAAATTAACACAAACTGTGGAAACTTCACACTGGACTTCAAGTATCTCCATTCTTCCTCCAGACTCTGAGTCCTTGGTTTCCAAATGAGATGCAAAAGTTGCTCTCATCAGAAAAGAGGACTTTGGACCACTGAGCAACAGACCAGGTCTGTTTTTCTTTAGCCCAGGTAAGACGCTTCTGACATTGTTTGTTGTTCAGGAGCGGCTTGACAAGAGGAATACGACATCTGAAGCCCATGTTCAGGATCCGTCTGTGTGAGGTGGCTCTTGATGCACTGGCTCCAGCCTCAGTCCACTCCTTGTGAAAGTCCCCAACACATTTGAATGACCTTTTCCTGACAATCCTCTGGCTGTGGTCACCCCTGCTGCTTGTGCACCTTTTTCTTCCACACTTTTCCCTTCCACATAACTTTCTATTAATGTGCTTTGATACAGCACTTTGGGAACATCCAACATCCTTCACAATTATCTTTTGAGGCTTTCCCTCCTTATGGAGGGTGTCAATGATGGTTTTCTGCACAATTGTCAGATCAGCAGTCTTCCCCATGATTGTGATTCCTACTGAACCAGACTGAGAGACTATTTAAAGGCTCAGAAACCCTTTACAGGTGTTATGGCTTACTTAGCTGATTAGAGTGGGACACTGTGAGCCTAGAATATTGCACCTTTTCACAATATTCTAATTTACTGAGATTGTGGATTTGGGGTTTTCATGAGCTGTAAGCCATAATCATCGCACTTATAACAAAACACGGTTTGAACTATCTTGCTTTGCTTGTAATGGGTCTATCTCATATATTAGTTTCCCCTTTTACATTGCATTACTGAAATAAATGAACTTTTGCACAATATTCGAATTTTTCGAGTATCACCTGTATAGTTAGGTCTAGAAAAATCTGGAAACTAACACAATTTTCATAATGTTGATGCTGGAGCAAAATTTTGTGAGTTGGTCAAGGTGGTATATGGACCTCAATTCGAGGTAGTAGGATAACATAATAATGAAATAAAACATCTGACGGAATACTGTCAAACAGAGATGTATTGTTTACATATGTAAAAAACGAAATATTCATAGAAAACACTGTTACATTTTATTTAGCCCTAAATAAAAGTTGTTACTTTGAAGATGTTCTTACCTGATTAAGGTATTAAGAGATACATCTAATTCAACAAGGTTCTTTAATGGCAGGAGGCAGCCAGCTCTCAATTCCTGGAGCTCATTGAGGGATAGGTCCAGTTTAACAATCCTACAGCATTAACAGAATTGATAAGATTCAGACTATATTACACAATATAATTAGCATTTGTCCTAAAGGAGATTTGTCCATGTCCAAGATTTTGTTAATTAAATCCATTTATCACTTTATGTTTTTTAAACAAAAATGTGTTTGTGAGATGTAACAGAAACATAAATACGGTTAAATGCACTTCTTTATCCAGCAAATAAGCACCTCCATTTTATCCTCCTGTCAATCATTGCCATAAACGTTGTACTTTACAATCCGCATGCAAAAAGCATACAAGGAAAAAACGAAATGAAAAATGCTATTTCTGCTCCTTATGTCCTATGCCTGTGCCTGGACTGAACTGGATTTTTATGTAATTTGCTAACAGAGGTATTCATTAAAGTGAGATTTCACAGTCAATTTTAAATGTAAAGCAATAAGGAGTAGCTGAACTGACAGTACCGCTGACTTAGAGAATTTTTCCAGTTTGGCTATTTTGACTCTAAATTTTAGGACAATAATGCCTCAGTCCCCTTTCATCCCTTAAGGACCAAACTTCTGGAATAAAAGGGAACCATGACATGTCACACGTCATGTGTCCTTAACCCCTTAAGGACACATGACATGTGTGACATGTCATGATTCCCTTTTATTCCAGAAGTTTGGTCCTTAAGGGGTTAAGTAGGCACCTTGGGACCTCACACAGTTCTCCCAGCGTCTCTTCCACTGTCCAAAACACTCAGAAAAATCCTTTTTTGAAATCGCCATCAGCTGCTTCATCGTATTTACCTGAATTTCATTGCCGGTCTGAAATCTCTTCCCTTTCAAACATGATTTTAGTTTTAGGAAAAGCCAGAAGTCGCAGGGCACCAAATCTTTAACAGATTTTTGACCATCTTTGAAGCGCTTGTGCCACACTTCTATTTGTACTGCACTCATTGTATCGTCCCCGAAAGCCTTCTAAATCATCTGCATAGTTCCCGTGGAGGAATGTTCAAGTTTAATGCAAAATTTGATGCAGATTCATTGCTCTAGTCTAGTCGCTCAGTCATTTTGAATGCGATAGCCACACAGGACACATGCTCACTCAATGGCGTCTAGCTCACCTATTGACAAGTACAGTGAAGTCCAGTCCACTATCCTTGGCTGCCAGGTTACATCTATGTTGCACAAACTATTCTAGTTATATTTACAATGGCTGGACTTTTTCTGGACAGATCTCATAAGTAAATTAAATCACATCATTATGTGGAAACAAAATCACACGGTATGGGTGATTTTTTTGTGTTTTAGTCAATGGTGTAATTTCCAGAGAAGTGATGGTTTCCCTTTAATAAAACTGTTACTCCTAGCACCATGACCACTTAAGTGATTTGAAATAGTCATGGTGCCTGGAGTTTGTATGTGCAGTTTTTCACACATGGAGTTTAACCTATCTGCTGCAGGAGGTGTAAGTCCACCATTAGGGCATCATTAGCCAGCCTGGAACAAGTGTTTCACCCTGCTAATGTAAATTTTGTGCAAAGTGTGCATAGTGCATAGTGTGCCATTAATTGGCTGAGAGAGGTCAGCTTACGCCAATGAATCCTGACTGAATTGGCTTCTGCAGAGCTCAGACTCATGCGTCACACAGCAGGAAAGGAGTCTCGGAGCCAGGCTAGAGGACTATCTGTTACTAAATGGTTTCCCCAATTACCAAGGACCAAGTATGGTACTCTTGATATCATAACCACTAAAGCGGGCTGTAGTGGTTATGATGCTTGGAGTAACCCATTAACTTCCAATGAGTAATTGTAATAATAATGAAAACATATTCTTTGTACTAATAAATATTCTATATAATCTTATATAATGTACTGTGTACATACACAATGCGACATACTCAGTCAAGAGTTTTTTTGTTTGTTTGTTTTTAGGGTTGCAGCAAAGTTATGCCAACATTGATATACACTAACTTGTGTAACTTTGCTGTGATACTAGTTAGCAAATGGTTCATTCCAGAGTCTTGATTTTGCTGACTCGAAAAATTACTTTTACTGGCATAAATGCTACTCATTGTGAGACCAGGCATAAGGTAAAAAACATAAATCAGTAAAACAGTATTCTCATTGTTCTCACCTCTCTGGAAAGTCTGTAACTGGGAACTGCTCTCTGCTGTAACAAATAATGAGAGTTAAAGAAGAATATAGAAATATATAGAAAAGATATATCAGTCTTTAATTACTTTTAATAACTGTGCATTCACTTGGAATTTAGCCTTTTCAGTTGATTATTTAGCCAATAAACAAATCAGATGGGTACAATATTTTTACAGAGTTGAGTTCATGGATAAGCCCTGCTAACTTATACTATGTACATTGTACTGCGGCTGAGTATCTCCGCTGTTTCCCCTCGTAGTTAGAGGAAGCTCTGGTTAGTGTTATAGCTCTTTCCCCCCAGGAACTAGACGACACACAGTTCTGGGAGTACAACTGTTTTTTATTGTCATAGAACAGTCTTTTACTCATAGACCCACAGCATGGTGTCCTTATTCAAATAAGTAGGCCCACCCTGGTGCCTCTGTGTCTGGGAGATAATTGAGTCAATTTTATAACTATAATATGTTACAATAGTGTGCTGTTTGAGGTTTTTATATATTTTTTTCCTTATATAAATATGTATTGAGTTATGTTGCTATGTGTTTGTTTATGTGCTTTACAATAAAAAAAGATGAGAGTGCTGGCTTAGTTTACTTCAGCCATATAATCTGTGGTTTTATGAACTGTGTGAGACTTATCCAGATCTACAATGCCTTAATGATGTGAGACACAACGGTGCTGTGGTGTCCTTGCGCATGCGTAATTACGCAATGTGAAGGGTTATAGTACCTAAAACATGGACACAATCCGGAAGTAAATGGGGAATATCGGAATAATGGCGCCAAATTTTAGTTCCGGATAGAATCCTTTATAAACGGACAGACAGAAGAAGAGCGTAAGGTTTTTTGCTGCTTGCTGCTATTTCCTATGTTTTATTCTGCTTTTATTTTTACAATTGAGTTTATAGTATTTTATTCATTATTATTCATTATTATATTGATTCTGTGGAGGAAGGAATTCCAGAATTGTAAATTAACAAGGAAGCACTTTTACTGTTTCAAGCCAACATAGCCAGAGCCTGCTATATGTGGTTCTGGAGATTGTGAGTGACCCATTACCTCTGTGATTAATTATTATGAGATAAAACAGTATTATACTAGGTGAGTTTTTTTTTGCTTTACAGATTAATCAGAGGTTTATCATCAGGAATTTCCTGTAAATAAGAAAATCTCACTGTGTGTTGGTGGTAATTATTGCGCACCCTGCCTTTTGTATTATTAGTTGGTTTATCTAATGTAAAGCACTGCAGAATATGTTGGTGCTATATAAATCATCGTAACTGTAATTGCTACTAAGAGTAAAAATCTGCAAATATTGTATTATTAAGGAATTGGGGCTTAGAACATATTCTTAGCTTGATGGAAGAAAGTGAAGTGAATGAGTACATTTTATAAGCACTGTCCACATAATAGAATAAATATATATAACTTTAAATGGTTTAAACACATAACCATATAATTTAGCTATCTGACGTGGCTTTCTCTGACTTAGCTCTAAAACCCACCTGGGATTCCCAGACCCAAATTTGAATCCAAAATTGAGATCCTTGAGACGTGACATTTTCAATGTAACACGGTAATATGGACCAGGCCATTTTACATCCCAGGAGACAGGGAGCACTTCTAGTACAGTGGCACGATCCTCCACAAACTGTCTCTCAATTTTACGTTCCATGGACGGTTCTAGGCTGGGAACACTGCAGGTAAAACAGTAAAATTCTGGGGGGAAATGATAATCCATGGAAATTATTAACATTAAAAAAAAACATTTCCTTTTGGAAATGTTGTCAAACATTGCAATTCAAATTATTATTTTTAGCACAATTAGAACAATTCCATTTTATGTTTTCAATTTTAAGAAATGCTTTCCAGACTCGGCAACTAAAAGGACTGACCTACACAAGAAGGTGGAAGAAAACATCTATGGCCTTATTCCCTGAACTAAAGTTGTCAAACAGTGCATTAACCACCACACAAACACGTGCACTGCTTTTGTCAGACTACAGCTCACATTATTCTATCACCAATGTGATCTTTCTCAGTAGAGAGAAATCAAACAGGCACCCTAGTGGGAAAGAGGCCAAATCAGTCTAACTCAGGTATCATGGTCAGCAATATGGCAAATCCAAAACATAAACCCAAGAGCAGAAACCAGATCATCAGCACAGGGACCAGAAAATCGACCGACTGAATGATGGACAAATTGCTAAGGTAATGCATAATGCGTTACACAAAGAGGGGAAACTAAGACTGTCTCCTTAACCCCTTATTGACTATGCTCCCAGCACAATCTGGACTTAAAGAATCCTATTCCTAAACAGACAGTTCTCATTTAACACCACCATGGCTGCATATAATTCCCAGTGCAAAATATGTATTTAACACTGTAATGTAATGTAACAATGTAATGAGTTACTGCCTATATGTTTTCATACCAAGCCCAACACCTATGGCTAGCGGTCTCCCACTCTCACTCAGATTCCTTCCCATCTGTTAGGTAAGGGATGGTATGTAATAATGTTAATAAAAGTACCTGTAAACAATTTTTTTTATAGCTACCTGTAAGTCTTAACAGTTTGAAGATATTCTATCATATTCTTTCTTTCATCTTTGTCTTCTTTCTTACATGTTCATGTTCTTTCTTCAGTCTTCTTTTTCAGCCATAAACAATCAAGGTTAAAAAGTTTACACACTGCTGAAGAAACCCATGACTACTGTTTTTTGTCCCACAATTATCCCACTAAAACCACCGCACACTAAGATCTCTAAAAATAAATATAGTAAAAATAGTAGATAACATAAAACATGCAGAACTCAGAGCACATGCCAGTCAACTATATTTTCTCTTTCTTTTTTTCAGTTTTGACATGATCTTACCTGTAAGCAGTATGAAGGTGTGCTTTGTAGAATGAAGTTTGCTATAAGTCAGAGTGAACACAGATTAAGGGAAAAGCGTTGCTAGGATCAGGGTTGTAAATCATTGCAGGGTGCAGCTCTACTGACTAACACTATACTGATAAATATTGACCAGCAAATATTCACAGATCTCCAGTCACACCTACCAACTAATAAATACACCTCTTCCAAATATGAATCTATGTGTAGTGCATAGACCAAATAAGAATTTATATATATACGCTAATTCATGGATTAAAAAAGTGGATGAAGCTAACATAACATAATATAAATAGTGGTTTATGCTTATTAAGGTGATCTTCCTCCTAATTGAATGTAAAGTATATCACCAAGATCATAATGACTAATTGGCTAATATACAATTTTTATAATTATTGTGTCTATTATTAACAAACTATTAAAGCCACAGTTAGGGAATCATATTATCTCTTTGACCAGGAACAGTTTTAAAAAATGCATCACACATGGTAAATTTTATTTAATCCTCCATCAAATACTTTCTTTAAATGTCTCCAGGAGACTGTGAGGTTTATTCAATAAACAATTATCTACTAAAGCTTATACTTGCAACAGCAAATTTTGTAAAAATCGTTTACACATTTGGTGTGTGATATTATTTATGTGTGTGTAAGTGGCTAGTTACAGTATGTGTGTGTGGCTAATGAAATCAGTGTGAATGGACAATAGTAATGTGGTGTGGCACTCAAGGGTTTGGAAATAGCGAGTACACCATGGTATGAAAGACCGCAGCCTCCAATCAATAATGAAAAGTAGAGAATCCACAGGTTCAACAGAATGCAAACATCAAACAAGATTTATTCGAAACAGGAACACAAAAAAATACAATGTAAATGGATAATTAGATTATTTGGAAAATATTATTTAAAACTTTTGTCCAAAAACATGAAATGATTAAAAAAGCTTATGCAAAAGTATTAAAGGCCATAATTATAAAAACTTTCAGTATGTGGATACTATCTTACAGATGCATGTGAAAATTGTTTATATGTATATATAGAGGATAGTTAGTCACAACTCTATGACATGTCAATGGTTCAGTTGTGACCAACTATTCAACTATATATACCAGTAGCAACCATTTATTTTTTTGATCAGACTCATGAAAATAATCAACTACAGACCAACGAGACCATAAATAGGGCTCTCTACTGTCTAAGCATATACATGACATCTATTACCTTATAGAAACATAGAAAGTGACGGCAGATAATAAAGAAAATTGGAAGCAGAAAGGATACACTCTTACAAGGGATTAACCCTTCAAAGACTACAGCAATAGTAAAAATGGGAAAAGAGAGAGCAAATGAGTGTCCTCAGAATAAAATGTAACTTTTAATATTGAAATAGATTAAAATGATTTATAATAGATAGTAATAACTAGATCATATAAATCAAACCAAATGTAGGTACTGAGTAAATAAAATACTGGAGGATCAATTTGTTTCTAAATATTTGGTAATAATGAGCAAAGGAGGTCCTGTTCAAAAGTTTTCAGGATAAATCTCCAAATGTAGAGAACCAAATTGGTTTTCTAATATGTTAAGGTATGTATCTAAATATGTTAACAAACTGAAACAACAAATCCATACAGTGTTAAATAAAAAATTGCTACAGGCATAGTGCTAGGTAGGATCCCAAACTGCACTAGACTGTACAATGCAAAAAAAGAAAAAAAATTATATATATATCATTCTTCAATTTTTTTTTTTGAAGAATAATATATATATAATTTTTTTTCTTTTTTTGCATTGTACAGTCTAGTGCAGTTTGGGATCCTACCTAGCACTATGCCTGTAGCAATTTTTTATTTAACACTGTATGGATTTGTTGTTTCAGTTTGTTAACATATTTAGATACATACCTTAACATATTAGAAAACCAATTTGGTTCTCTACATTTGGAGATTTATCCTGAAAACTTTTGAACAGGACCTCCTTTGCTCATTATTACCAAATATTTAGAAACAAATTGATCCTCCAGTATTTTATTTACTCAGTACCTACATTTGGTTTGATTTATATGATCTAGTTATTACTATCTATTATAAATCATTTTAATCTATTTCAATATTAAAAGTTACATTTTATTCTGGTGACGGCAGATAAGAACCATTCGGCCCATCTAGTCTGCCCAACCTTGGAGGGACACATGGAGTGTATGATGGTGCTAATTGCAGAATCTTATCTGAAAAGCAGTCATGCATCATGTCTGGTGGAGGTAGTGCTGGAGGGACACTTGCAACATGCATTTTAAGCCTACACTTAGGCTACTCATCACTGTGCTTCATTTATACATTATTTTCATAACTGTGTGATTTATTGCTGTGGGACACTGTGGTATACTTATGAGCACAGGGCTGCATTCAGAAATTTTAGAGCGCTTTACACAACTCAAGGCTGTGTTTCCGGGGCTCGTCCCTGAGTTCGCCCAACCCCCGACTGAACCCACATGGCCCTCCCCGAGCTTACCCGCAAGGATAAGTAAATAAGTGGATGCAGTGTGTGTTTGTCTGCATAGTGGATGCAAGGAGTATGTATGAGTATAGTGGATGCAGAGGGTCTGTGTATAGTGGATGCAGAGACTGTGTATTAGTAAAGTGGATGCAGTGTATAGTGGACAGGGGGAGAACTTGAACTGAATTATGTTCTCCCTTTTCCTACTGTATCAGAGATTTCTGCTGGTTAACATGGCAATGTGCAGACAGGGGAGCACATCTCCCACCAGACCACTAGAAAACAGGATTGCCCCCTCCCTTAGTCAAGGTAAGCCTTAGGGAGGGGACAATAAACTTTAGGGTTTTTTTGTCAGTCCTTATCGACCCCAGTTGCAGCCCTTATGCCCTGTTACAGCCGCTAAGTAAGTAAGTAAGTGCAGGGAGTGTCGTGTGTGTATATAAGGAGTAGGATAGGGGCTTAAATAAATAATTTAAGAATGTAATTATTAAAAACAAACACACAGTTACTTCCCCTAGCGATAGGGAGAGACAGAGCCTGCCATTCATGCTGTCCGGAGGCCGCTTGGCTCACTTTACCCTGGTGACCTAATCTCCCCTTCGGCCCATGAAGGGACAGAGCTCACTGTTAGGGCCGGTGCTGCCCTGCATGGGCCGGAATGGGAAATCCTTTGATCTCTTTTGTCAGCCTCGGTTCATGGCCATCGCATCCCAGTTTGCTCGATGGCAATTCTGCACCTGCCCAATGGGCGTTCGCACGGGGTGTCCCGGGTGTGCCTGGGCACACCCTAATTCCCGCTGCATGCCTGTGAGTCCTGCAGGAACGCGTGGGTACGCCGTTCCCGCTGTTCCTGCAGGCACTCTGCCACCCCCAAATGCCCTCCCCCCGTGTTCCTCCGTGTTCCCCCTGTCATGGGGGGGAGCAAGAGGTGATGGACACCCCCCCAATCGGGCGCTTATCTCCATACAACAAGCGGCGAGGGACCTGTGTGCTCTCTGCTTCCTCTCGCCGGGCGCCGTTTGCTGATGGCGGGAGCCGGAATATGACATCATATTCCGGCTCCCAGCTACAGCAGACAGCCCGCGCGGCAAGAGGAAGCAGAGAGCACACAGCTCCCTCGCCGCTTGTTGTATGGAGATAGGCGCCCGACCCACTGGACCCCAGGGACAAGTCCATGCCAGCTCTCCAGGTAGGGAGGCTGGGTGGACAATTTTTTATTAAAAAATAATAATTGGTGAATGTGTGTGTGTCTGTGTGTGAGTGTCTGTGAGTGTGTGTGTGCCTGTGAATGTATGTGTGTGTGCCTGTAAGTGTGTGTGTGTGTGTCTGTAAGTGTGTGTGTGTGTGTGTGTCTGTGTGTGTCTGTAAGTGTGTGTGTGAGTGTGTGTGTCTGTGAATGAATGTGTGTGTGCCTGAAGTGTGTGTGTATGTGTGTCTGTGAATGTATGTGTGTGCCTGTGAGTGTATGTGTCTGTAAGTGTGTGTGTCTGTGAGTGTATGTGTGTGTGTCTGTGAATGTGTGTGTTTGTGTGTCTGTGAGTGTATGTGTGTGTGTCTGTAAGTGTGTGTGTGTGTGTGTGTCTGTGTGTGTCTGTAAGTGTGTGTGTGAGTGTGTGTGTCTGTGAATGAATGTGTGTGTGCCTGAAGTGTGTGTGTATGTGTGTCTGTGAATGTATGTGTGTGCCTGTGAGTGTATGTGCCTGTGAGTGTATGTGTCTGTGAATGTATGTGTGTGTACCTGTAAGGGTGTGTGTATATGTGTGTCTGTGAGTGTATGTGTCTTTAAGTGTGTGTGTGTGTGCCTGTAAGTGTGTCTGAGTATGTGTGTGTGTGAGTGTATGTGTGTGTACGCGTATATATATATACACACGAGTGTATATAATTTTTTTTGGGGGGTGGGAATCTTGGGAGAGTTCCCACACTTTATTCCCCATGACTTGACCCCTGCCGGCAGGGGAGATCTCCGAATCTCCCCTGTCGGCTCATGCAAAGCTGGCACTATCTGAGTACCGGCTCTGCTCTAAGCCTCCATGGGCCGGCGGGGAGATCAAAGATCTACCTCACCAGCCCACAGCAGCATGGAGGGAGGCCAGAGAGGACCCAGGTAGCTCTAGACAGAAGCTCCGCCAGGTTCCTCTTGCGAGATCTGAGCGTTTCCGCGGCAATGCTCAGATCTCGCGAGAGTGAACTCTAGTCCCGCAGGCTAGAGTTCACTCTCCCTTGGACAGCAAGGATACCCCTCCCTACATAAGGTAAGAAGGGAGGGGGTTATTTACTAATCTGCTCCCACCTTCACAATCCCTCCAAACATACAGCACACACACACAGCACCTACACACATACAGCACCCTAACACCTACAGCGCGCGCACACAGCACGCTCACATACATAGCACACAAACAGCACCCTCACACACACAGCACACAAACAGCACCCACACACATACAGCACCCACACACACAGCACACATACAGCACCCTCACACACAGAGTATCCTCACACACACACACACACACACACAGAACACTTACAGCACCCTCACAAACACACACACACACAGAGCACCCTTACAAACACACAACACCCTCACACACAG